TACAGATAATTGTTGCCGATCTGGGTGTATGTCCACGTGACAGTTACGTATGTTAAAGGTCCTACAAAAAACAGGATAACGTTGCGTTAGTGGCAATACTTTCGAAGGGAAGATTGTAATGGACCTTCCAGTTGGCAGTGGTCATTGGGACTTCCCCTAACCCCTTCCACACGAAATACAAATGTTAACTCACTCACCAGATGAAACGCAAAAGTTATTATGCAGTTTTTCTTACAGTTCAAATAAGTGATCTGTAAGAAAAACAGTGAGATGTGTCTTCATGGTTCTTTTCCGGTCGAGTCTGTTCATTCTCGCTACAACGGATGTTGCTGCGTAGAGCCACAGAAAAGCTGTGGCTGGATGTCTATCCAGTCAGTCAGTCTTGACTGACTTCTTTCAATGAAGAGGGAGTTTCAACCTGTTCAGAGGAGGGTTCGTAAATCACTATATGTTTGGCCGTCCTACCATTTTTTATTATTTCCTCTATCTTGTTCTTCATTTGTAATTTACGTGCAACCCAAAATGACGATCATTAAAAAAGTCCGCTCTACAATTAAAGGAACGTGACTAGAAACAGTTATCATTGTGGAATCAGTTACAAAACAACACACCCGGTCAAACATTAAGAAATATCGGAAATCAGCTCGATGTCACAATCGGATTTCTTTTAAATTAGTGATTTAAAACGATTTAATGAACTATTGAGGTACCTTATATTGGGGGGTTTGAAAAAATGACAGAATTAGAATGAAAGAAGTAAAAAAAAAATATATAGACAATGCTGCTACATTTGTCTTTACAGCCTTTTTTTGTTGGAGTAGTAAGCTTGTTTATTCATTTATCGGTGAAATGCCATTGATTATAAGACGAGTGATCGTCAGTAGTTTAATTTTATTATTCTGTACATTGATGTTTTAATAAAGATCGCGCTTGTCCATTCTGAGCGGCGTTTAAAAATTATTCCGCTTTACATTATGTGACTTATATAAGTGAATGTGACACATGATGTAAGACGGAAAGAGATAACAGTATACAGAATTGCAATAGAATTTACACCGATTGGCGTTATTTGAGTCCTCAGTTTCGGTGCGTTAGTGTCATATCTACTCCGTATTTGTATATATCGTTGATTTACGGTGGTAGGGCCACGCAGCAGCCTCGGCTGTTGCACGAATGGGCAGGCCCGTCCGGGTAAGTACCACGACCTCACAGAAGACCGGCGTAAAGTGGAAGTATGACAAATGCTTTCGCGTTTCGTCTGGTGAGTGAGGTAGCCGGAGCCCAATTTTCAAAAGGTTGTCAACGCATCTGTAACCCTCGAGTGTAGCAGATGGCCATGGGGCGGCGGTATTCACTTAACATCAGGTGAACCGTCTGCTCGTTTGACAACTTTTCGCATAAAAAAAAAAAAAAAAAAAAAGACTGCCTTTATCATATACTATGTATTATATCTATATTTTCTACCTCAGAATTACATAATTTATTAACCGATGTTAAAAAAAACATTCGACTTGGTTCCAGGTCCTATGTTCTGCATCTCTTATTGGATTTTGTTGGACTCGTCAAAATCATATAGGACTTGTATAACTTAGTGAGATATTCGAAGTCTGTTTTGTTTTTTGTCAATAAGAATGTTTATTTGTTGCATTTGTTACATGAAGTGGCATCGTGTAGTTGAACTGTCGGTTGCTAAATGGCTAGTAAATCCCTCAGAAGCTACATTATGTATCCAATTATCCTTACTAATATTATAAATGTGATTGTATAAGTTTGTTACACTTTCGCGCCAAAACTACTCAACCGATTATCATGAAATTTTGTGCCTACACATATTGTTAGAGGTATTTAAAACGACATAGGATTCTTTTTATTAAAAAAATGTTTTAAAAAAAACTCTTTAATGGGAGGGATTTCAGTCTGAACTAAAACGTCAGTCACCTTTTCTCTAGCTTTATTCGTCTGTTGCATACGTTCTGCATAGATTCCTGTTGAAGTCTTAAACAAACTCCGTCGTGGAAACTTCGTTAGGGGAGTTCACAGCTATGCTATATGAAATTGTTACTGAATACACTACGTCTGGAGGAGGTGGTGGCAGCGGCGAACGAGACACCCGCCCACCTTAATGTGTTTCAGATTGTTTGGGTGTATGTTTGCCTCCGTGTATAGTTAGAAAAGCTATCATACTGGTAGATCAGTTGGCCTTAATAAGCCACTGTCGAGGCGACTCCAAAAAACTAATGCAAAGTTATTTTTACGTAATATCGGTGATTGGTAGCTTTGCTTTATTGTTCTTCATTAACAAAGATATAATATAAAGAATGGTATTAATTAAATTTGATACACCGTCTAAATTTAATTTATGTAATATATTAGATATATGTAATTTATGTATATTAGATCAATAAAGATTGTAACAAATAGAAAAAAAAAATGTAATTATGATCTCTTTAACGGAAATTGTTCTTATGCGGTTATAGAGATCCGTTTTTTTTAACCGGGCTTTTATTCTGGAACCTTTGTGTTACAATAATGAAAACATAATGTTTTAAATTCAAAAGAAATGCAGAACATTAATAAGTTCTGTATGAAATATTACATTCATTATATTATGAACTGTCCATTTGTGCGGGATAGTTTATGTTATGACTGATAGTTATCGCTGCTACATTTTTGTTACTTATTAGTTAAGTAAAAATAAGTATTATACTATAATATTTAAAAATATAACGTATAACAAACTACAACAATAATAATTTTGATATAATACATTTATTGTGATTTCGTTTCATAAAATTATAGATAAAATTAAATACCGATTTTTTTCGCGACTACACAATTTGTTGTTTGAAACTCTGAAATGGCGTTAACATATTAAAAATTGCAGGAGAAATATCCTGGAGTTCATCCTGAGTATTTTAAGTGGAATCACCAGATAATTTATCTACCTCGAGAACCGGTTGTTCTAAAAGCTCTCTGGGGGTATATTCTCCAAAGTCTGGGCTCAACGCTCATTGACAGCTACTTGAGAACCTCAGTACTCATGGGCCTGGTACTTAGCCATATAAATGATTATCAATTTGTTGTCATCAGTAGAATCCAACGTACGAACAGCTATTTAGCTAATTTGGGTGGCAGAAGAGCTGTTTCTCGTAGGAAGAAGTTGTGGCTGTATAATATACGGCGAAGAACCGCAATCACAGGTGTCGAGGGGCTTTTCAAACTCGCCAAAGACCGGAGAGTAGAGCTGACTGCCAGCAATAGTTGGAGAGGCTGGAAGCAGTAGTAGTAAAAGCTACATAGCTTTTGTTTCAATTCTGTATTGTAAAGAAATAGGGTCCTTCGATACCAAAGTTTGCCATTAATCCCCAGTGTGGGATTTCACATATCAAAATTTCTCACTACTATCCTTATACCACCTTTGTAGAGTCGGCACAAAATGAGTCATGTTTATGGTGCTCACTTGGGAATAAACACCGAGATCCAGAACAATCATGAGAGAGCCACACAAGTACGTGTAAAGTAAAGTAAAGTAAAGTATCAGCCTATACATGTCCCACTGCTGGGCAAAAGATTCCTCTATACAGAGGGTATCAGGGCATAGTCCACCACGCGGTCTCACTGCGGCTTGGCGGACTTCACAAGTTTTCTAAAAATGTTTTTTATTATTTCGAATATATGCAGGTTTCCTCACGATGTTGTCCTTCACCGCTGAGCACGTTATAAGTCAGCACATAAAACCCTTAACTCTATGATCACTCACATGAGGTATGTTTTTCTTATTAATCTAGTTTTGATTGCAACTTTCTTTTTATTATTTATTTTTATTTCCATCATGTACATTCCACCCATCAACAATTCCTTTTGGTAGATTTCGGAGGTTGCCTGGAAGAAATTTCTGTATAGCAATAAGGCCGCCTTTTGATGACCAATATTTGATAAATATTTTGATTTTTCCACTTTATTATTTTTATTTTTTTGTTGTACAGTAAATTATATTATTATTATTATAACATTAACAATTTCATTGGTGCCGGCACCGGGGATCATATTGGGAAGTTCATTGAATTAAAAGCGACCGGACAATCAACTTTAGTGGCTCCTTAATAAGAAGTGTAACCTTATTAACCCTCGCTGAGGCTAGCAGTAGGACGTGTATAGGTACTTAACTAAAGTAACATAGTTTTTAGCTTTATCATTTACTAATGGTCAATTTGTTTATTCGTCATGAGCTAAGAATTCTGATGAATGTATCGAGCAGCGGTCTAAAAATTATTCTTCTATCTGCGGCTTTATATTTTGCGATTTTTTTAAATAACTGGGACGTCTGGAAATTGCTGGAATTTTTTGCTGTATCGGAATATTCCTCTACATTCATCTATACATTGATACACATATTTGTCACCCCCTTCAGTAGCACCTATTGTAATTAATTAACGGCTAAGGTCTTAGTTATAAGTTATTCGCGGCTAGCAAACTGAATGGTGGTAGGTGGTAGGGCCACGCAACAGCCTCGGCTGTTGCACGGATGGGCAGGCCCGTCCGGGTAAATACCACGACCTCACAGAAGACCAGCGTAAAGTGGAAGTATGACAAATACTTTCGCGTGTCGTCTGGTGAGTGAGGTAGCCGGAGCCCAATTTTCAAAAGGTTGTCAACGCATATGTATCCCTCGGGTGTACCAAATGTCCATGGGCGGCGGTATTCACTTAACATCAGATGAACCGTCTGCTCGTTTGACAACTTTTCGCATAAAAAAACAAAGAATAAATAAAAAAATAATCTCCATTAACACGAAGCTCATAGAATAGCGTTAAAATATGACCTTTTACTAGATTATTTTGCTCGGCGCCGCTTCGATACGCAATGAAATAATTTCACGATGATGACACGTGCAATATTGAAATTTGGAGTCCTTCCGTAATTACGTAGGTGCGAATGATGTTCGATTGGGCGAAGCATCCGCGAATTATTGACCCTTCTGTGCTGCAGAAGAGCGAGTTATGCGTTCGGCGCGCGTTAAATCGTCGCCCCTGCCTACACCTTTCACAGGAGAGGCAATAATGAAATACACGCAGCGGCACGGAAGCGACCCGGGCGTGTGTGCGTCCGGCGCATACGGTAGGCACACAGACGCGTCGGGTTCAGAAACTAAAGTTAAATTTGCAAGTGATAGATATGCGAGGCGCTCTCGGAATGTAATTTTCACACGCTCAAGCGACGTCACTGCACCCCCCCCCCCTCGCCCCCCGTACAATACCGAACCGCCCGACCGCCACCCCCGAGTAGTCGGGGAGCCCGACAAAAATGTCCGATGATTTCGCCATTTGCTATTTATTGTCGACCACTTTATTGCGAAACGAAACTAGATTGAAATGGAGCTCAAAAAGGTTTCTCTTAGAGCAAAACTTTTACTATACATATTTTTTAAACCACATGTAATAGATTTTTTATCGCCATAACGCCGGTCAAACCATAATAATAGATTGTGCTTAAGTTTAAGGGACCAAATTATAATTGCCCTTGAGGATTATGACGCCTTATTCAGTTTGAAATAAGGACATGACGATAATATAATATAATAAGTCTTTACGATACCATAGGTTTACCAACAAAGATTAAGATAATTATTAGAAAAAAAAAAAAGTACTTAAGTAAGCTATGCACAATCGATCGAACGCTGATGGGGCAATTGAAGATGCGCTTTGGAAACCCTTTTAAAGATCCCTTGCAAAAAAATGATACCTTAGTGAAGGAAGAACAAACTATGGTTCTTTGTAAGCATATAGCAAGGGTGGCAAATGTGAAATTGTACTATAAAAGCATGCATCATAAACATTTAAAAAGTTTTTTATAAGGATCTGTAGGATTGAGATCAATCATATTCAGGCGGAGTGTTTACGAAACCGGTGACATCAAGTAATGTTTCACCTCAAGTAATCTTAAAAATCATCCAAACACACAGTTGTTCTATAGTATGTCTCCTGGACTACCGCCCCCGCGGGCTCTCAGGACGGATGCTCCGGAAAATTGCTACAATGATTGTGAGCGGGAATTCCGAAATGAAGGAAACGTACTTAAGCCCGCCCCGTCCCAGCCCGAGATGCCATGCCGCCCTATGACTTACACACACCTGACACGACACGACAGCCTTCCTCCGATCTTGCAGACCTGGGAATTTTCGATCGGCCGCTATGTTTAAGCAAAACATTTGTCCAAACATTTTGGATGGTACCACATTAGACCTTGCGGCTCCACAAATAGACCAACACGAACGGGAATGTACCTCACGGGAGACGGGCAAAGCAAAGCACTAGTATTTCTTTTCATGATGACGTCATCGGGGCCAATTCTTTTAAAGTTGAGGGATGTCCTTGCATTTCCAATGACCTTAACAGAAAACCACTTCTTTTTTGTAACCCTCTCGTATAGAATGTGCTATTCCCGTATTAGTTTCATTGTGTTTTAACGTTACTGCTGTTGATTTATAGGATTGGATTTTCAAAGCATTACCGCGTATATTTATTTATACTTCATGCTAAAAGCCCAATCTTACAAATGCTGGTGATTCATCTAGAACTTCTATAGAACGTTGCAGATGTTTGTCATCGATAATTGTTCTTTTTCTATTTTTGTTTAGATGTAGCCTGGTATAGCTGTAGAGCCAAAATATAGGTCATGTTATGTTTCGCAATTACGTTTTTTCTATAGTATGTACTATTACAGAAAATCGTACGGCGAATTTATCTTTGTTCGTATTACATTGGATTCGGGTAAAAAGTGAGTTCCTATAAAGAATAATATAACTTGGTTAGGCGTAGTTAGATGAAATACATACTCGAAAATACCAGAGCCGATGCTAATAATATAAAAAAATCACAGCACCACCACATTAAAACGATGTATACGCTTTTTGGGGGTCTAATTGGGAGGCTAATAATTTTACTCTCATAATTTTTTCCAAACGCCTCCAAAGAAGTGTAACTTCGGAAATAGCAAGGCTTTACAAAGTTCAGTGAACGCAGCTCGAGAATGAGCGAGCGGCCACATTCGACCAACTTGTGTTTGGTACACGTAAAGTTGAGGCGATGTTCGGCATGAAGTGCGGAATTTAATTATCTCTCAGCCTTCGCCGTTGCCGACTGCGAAAGTTAAATGTAATAAAGTATACATAGACGTTTGCAACTTAAACAAATTCCCTGTTTAAACACCTACTGCTAAATTAGCGATCGGTGTTTTCATTCGTGTTTTGTCTATCTCACTCATCTTAAACGTATTCAACTAATTACTATAAGTTAAAAATTCTGTGTGGGTGTAATGGTTGCGCGGTTGAATTGCCATCTAGTGTTGCAGGTTTCCATGGGCGACGGTGATCACTTACCATCCTGCTCGTTAGCCGCTTTCTCCCCCATAAAAAAAGATCGTACGTTTGATACCTGTGTGTGGACTAATAATAGTTTTCCATTATTTCATGTGAAAAAGTCCAATGGCTCATATTGCTCAATGTGAGGTGACAGACAGTAGGATATATTTATCGCACTTGTAACGGGGAGAGGTATATATTTTTTATATAGTTTAAATATTTTTGACGACCATTTTAGCAAGTATAATTTCACGGTGAGTTAGCTACTAGGCTATCATAAATCAAGTGATGTCGATCTTTCAATAATCCAATCAAAGCGGTTTCTATCCGAACTAATGTTATTGTCGAAGTCGAACCAGCCAGCCATTATACCGGCGAAGCGACCATCTGAATGTCCAGTCACGTATCCAAACGGGCGAGACAGATATATAGAATTACATTGGAGCAAAAGAAACAACCGCGACGATGTAAACAATTCTTAGCCATCAAATTTAAAAGATCTCAAGTCGATTAGCTTTTTTTTCGATAATGTATCCTAACACCTTGCAATAAGCTTTGTATTTATTTATTGTGATTGTAGCAAATTTCAAGAGACGACCATGAGCACCGTAATGCTATTTGTTATGTTCGATTTTGAACTCAAGCGCGAATCATAAAGGGCTTAAATTGGCAGTACTGCCGATTAAGGCTTTCCAAAGCACTTTTCATTAGTCAGTAAGAGAAGTGAAGTGGCGACATCTATCTTGTGTTTCTTATTGACATGGCCGTCACAGGCGGAATCGGAATGAGGAAATAAAGAAATTGGAATTCCCTCTGTGTATGTATCAAACTGGCTTACAATGTGCTGTTATGAAATAGCTATAATTAAGTAACGTATTTCCCACAAATTTTTACAAACATTTTTGATATTAATATTGCTTTATTTTTACAAAATCATTCTATTCCGCTGAAATAACGATAGGTCATTGCGGATAAAGGCCGATTTATTAAGATATTTATCGAATTATTAATTAATTCTTCAAAAACGAAAATCTTAAAGTCCTGCCATAGACAAACGTTTATATAGGCCGGCGAAAGTTATGCGCTCCTAATAGAATCTAGTCGGGGAGTAACTTCTGCTCGCCCTAGTACGCTTATTTTTAATAGTGTTCAAATTTTAGTATAAAATGTGAAAGTAACGTGATGTGTTTAATGAAAATTATATAAAATTTATTATTTTTATGAATTCTACAAAGAATGATTAAGTAAAAAAATATCAAATATTTCTCTATATGTGTTTTTTATACTTTTAAATTTACCTATGTAAACACATATTTACATTCATTATTTTTTTATATAAACTAATATTTTATTAATAACAGACTTGAAGGAAATAGTTATTATTATTAATCATAAACATAAAAGCCTTAAAATATTTACAACGCTATCATTTCAAACGGGTAAGTTTAACCAGGAGTTTAACTGTAACAGTTAAATAACGTATCAAAGTACCAGGGCAGCATGCAGATGTAGGAGCGCGCACGCGTAACTAACGGCCCGCGGTCGGGAGTCAAATTTTTCAGGTGCCGTCCACGCGGAAAGCGTTCGCGTTTGGCGGCGGTACTGTCCGCAGAGTAATCGATGTTTTAATTAATAAAAATTAATACATGGCAATGTACGAGTACTCGTTTAAAATTTGAGCAGATTGTCTACATATATATTTATGTGTGTTTGCATATTTTACCTATTTTGTACAAGAATATAAATGAAAAAAAAAAGACAATGTCTTATATTTAGATTTTTCTTAAGCTTTAAGAAAAGCATATGTACGTTATGTTTACATAACATAAACATATATACCTACATTAAACAAAAAGAAAATAAATACATAACCTAACATCTAAGAGAGAATTTGTTTTAGAGCATAGATAAAATTTTTATTTAGGGCGATTTGGCAAAGTTAATTATTTAACAGATAATTTCCCATTCCGTGTTTGTTTTGCTGTCGCTACCGCGACGCGGTGACACGGCCGTTGGCCACCGCGTGCGTTTTTCACGTTGGCCCGCCGGTGATGGATTCGATCCGGGACCGCGCGCCGGCGGCCGCTCGCGGCTGATCCACTGGCGCGGTCGCTCTGACGTATTCTACGCCGCGGCCGGCCCTATTGCGATCTAATGCGGGCCGCGTTAGTAAAGCGCCGAAGCAAATGGCGCGATATTAACCGGCATGCACGCGCGTGCATTTAAGCAACGTGTATTTCAGTCTAATACATTAAACATTTAAGCAACGTGTTTAATCCAAAATGACGTGTACTGCGTTAATAAATTGTTTTGGATGACACGAAAATTCATTTATTTCTTCTATGTCAGAAGATTGTCTATGTGTCCCTCCTATATGGTCTAATTATTAGAAAATAAACTAACTTTCGTCTGCAATTTAACATTGAAGTACTAGGAATGCATAAGCAAAAGTTGACATAAATATGAATTGCGGCTTACATCGCGGCGAGTATTTTTGTTTGTTTCGTAGTCATATAAATCGGCTTCGTTCGTTTTTATCATTATATCTTGAGTGATTTGTCAGCTTGGAGGGCAGACGAAAGTACTTCAATATCGGTAATTGGGTATTTGTGTGCCCCTCTCATACGCGGCTCTGTGGTCGTAATAATGCGGGCGTAATTGGGCGAATGCGGGTCGATAGAATTAGACCACAGTTGTGTTACAACATGAAATAGTGGTAGCTCCGTGTTAGCACAGTATTTATCTTCTTCATTGTTCTCCTTGATGGGTTTACTAACTTTTGAATTACTCAATCTTTTCACATAATATTTATATTACTTTATAGTGACAATTGTAACAGCTGTAAGGCTAGTTAGTTTCTAGGGATCTTATAACGTTCAGAAACGTTACATGAACAGATAATTAAACAGATATTTTTAATACTTGTCTTGTTGAATGACTTGGAAGAATTGATGAAAATTTCGACATAATTTTCATTGTAAGTACGTTGTAGATTTTTATGCAATTTTCGTGCTTTTGACAATTTAATAATTTCCGTTGGAAGCGGAACAGTGACCTACCTATCCTACTCTGCATCGAAAGAAAAGGGATACGCCTCTGTGATATTTTTCATCTAGCTAACATCCTCGCGACGTCACGGTCACTTCGCCGTTAATATACACTGATGAGATAATAACGCAATGCGGTACCCAATGCACCGAAAACAATAACAATAACTCGGACGGAAACGGAAGTCTCCTAGCGAAAAATCGTTAAAGCGCCCCGACAAGCGTCCAGCTTCGGCCATCACAGCAGTTATTTGGTCCATTTAACTTGAAATAGTTGCCGTGGACGTACTAGGAGGGCAGCGGCGCAGGGCGGCGGGGGGGTTTTAAAATACGATTTATGGCGGTATCAGCGGTTTTAATGTCCGCTCACGCTGCGCTATGCTCGCCTGGTAGGCGCATGTCGCGAGCGCTCAGTCGCAGCGGGGCGCGGCCCTTCAAACGGACCGTGTGGCTTCGATATCGATACGCGCTCGCTTATTTATTACGATATAACACGAGTTATCGGCGATATGCCGCGCTCAGTTGGGACGGTCTGCACGCGGCGCGAATTAATCGCTTAAGGCCCTTAAACTTGTCCATCCGGTAGATCGTATGGTGAGTTAAATCGCTGTAAATCAGAAAGCGAAATTATGTCATCTGCTTCAACTGTTTTTATTGTGTCCGTCTATATAATTCAAAGTTTTCGTCGCGTATAAAATAAAATAAAATTTTTGATGTATCAATCTCACCCAGATTTGCGTGATTACTTATTGACACTGGTAGAATAAAAATACACGAATGGACTGTTCCAGTTGTCAAATAAAAGCTATAAGTTTAATAAAATACAGTTCATACGGAAGATTGATTAACAAATCACCTGTATCTCATCAGTGTTTAAAATTTACAGCGAATTTTTTAACAACCGTTTGTGTGAGTGCCGTAAACTGTTTTACTGAAAAATAATGTCTTTAAGTTTTATTTGACATACTTTCATTTGATTCTGGGTTAAAAGTGACATTACGTGCATCTAAGCCGTAGTCCGTCCCGGAACTATAAATGTTGCATTTAAAATGCCAGGTATTTGTGAATCACATGTTTGTTACCATTCGTAAAATTGGCTTGATGCGATGAATAGACTTCTGTCTTTAAACACTCATTGTGTTAATTGCTTTACCGAGTAGAAGAAAGTATCCTACCTATAAAGCGGCGTTTGCTCGGGGTTTGTATGTTCGATATTGCGAATTTAATTTACACCAATTTAAACTTTAGGTTTCCATCATCATCATCCTCTTTTGATGACGATGGATATGTGTTCTTTACGTGGTTATTTGGTTTTATGTCATCAGAATTAAACGCAATGTTATTTTGACGGGGGTTGGGTATATTTTATCACATTGCACTTTTATTTTGATGAATTAATATTTTATAATGACTGGTAAGAATAATATTAAACACGTAATTATTTCTACATTATTTGCAAATTATGTTTATAGCATATCGTGTAAGAAGTGCATGTTACGTATAAGTTATACGCTCGTTATAATTTTAGTGATGAAGGGTTTAATTAAAAAAATGGAAAATCTTTTTATAAAATTGAACTTTGCGCAATTTCTTAGGTTGATGTTATTGAAACATTTAAACAATATAATATTTTTTTATTTTTATTCATTAAAAATCTTATTAATTTTTTTATTATAGTAGAGTTTTACTTTGCTATTATACTCCTCAATCGGTTTTATGGCCGGCCCATTGCCACTCAGCTGACTAACCTTTTGAGCTATGTCAGTTACCCTTGCTCTACAGTGGATGTCTTGGGTGCGAACTCTACCACGCAGAGAAAGTTGGGGAAGAATGGTTCTCGAGTGGCAGCCTCGAACTGGGCATCGAATCATGAATTTAATCATTAAAAAATAACTTGAAACATGTCAATAATTAAAAAAACACTAATAAAAAATATTTTTCGGTATGAAACAAATTGTTATAAGCGTAAATTTCTGTGCCAAAACAACCACCATTTTAATTGTTTATAATTTTAATTTACCCAGTGATACTCGCGCAATAAAAACAATACTACTTAGGACTAAACATGTCATTCGACAAAATCAGTCTTTTACTTGTTACGAGGGAACATAAAGACATACATATTTGAATACGTATAGTCAAACACATAATCCTCCTTTTTTCGCTTCCCCGCAGTCGGGTATGAATGAACCGAAATGACGGACGGATCGCGGTCTTTCTGACTTTTTCCAATCATTTTCCAGCGTTTCAGAACTCATTACTAGTAGGTTGTTCGTTATGGGGTTAATTAGGAGCGCCCCTCGGCTGGCGGGGGGGAGGGGGGTACGTCCGAGGGAGGGGCGTGTCGCGTAATCGGGATCGCGTTATAAATTGTGCTTCCGCCTTATTGTTTCAGCTTCAGGTGAATGAGGTTGTAGCGACTACAAAACATGGAGCGATCCAAAGATGATGAGTTCAACGTCTACTTTGCTGACTATGAGTGGTCAACGTTCAAATTAGTAAATTGGCATCAATATATAATTTATGAGTGCAGCGGTAAAACAAACGCTACGTGAGCATATTGTCACAGTGTAATCGTAACTAGCACTGTCTGTCCTTGATGTTTAGGTCTTGAAGAAACTAATGTTCATATATTTGTGAAAATTATTCTTCTTTAATCTGTTCTTCTCTAATCCTTCTTTACTTTCATGTTACCTACATAAATGATAATCATAAATTTTAAATATGTTTCAGATACTTTTAAGAAACTTGATATTGTAATTTTATTGATATTAATAAATGAGAAATGAAAATTAATTTTATTAGAATTAAAATTTTTCTGGAAAAATTTAATGCTCAACTGTGTAATTTTTAAAGGGATCAGCGTAGACTACGAACTGACATTTTTATTAGCAAAACGTTAAATTAAATGAAAACAAAAAGTACGCTTTTCTTTTTTTTGTGCAAAGTTTTACAATAATCATAAGTGACAGGTTCACAGGTGCTTAGTCTGTAATCGTACATTAATCACAATTTTGAAACAAATAACCTTAAACGAGGAGATTCCAAGAGGCCCATTGAGACTAGCACATTATTACCTACCAAGCATTTGACCACAATCTGCCAGCCGTGATAGAGCAATTCATATTTTTAACGGCACGATCACTTATTTTGCTAACGGTTCCCCTTCTGCCACTTGTTTGTTACGGCGTAAAACTTTAATTAACCAATAAACATGTCGCCGGGCGGCCGTCTTAAATTAGGCCCCCGTTGAAATTGCGACGGCGACTTGTTCGCGTCCATGATGCTCTGCGGGCGGTGGAATCATTTCTGTGGTCCTATCATCATACAAATGGTTAATAGGTTAAGCAGTGATCAGATCAGGAATCAATCTAAGGGATATTATTGGGCATCACTATAAATGCAGAGCCGTGATAGCTCAGTGTCCGGGCGCTCGCCTTTAATTCAATATACTCGAGAAACCTGAGTTCGATCCCCGGTGCCTGCACCAATGAAGTTTTTAACTTATAAGTGCTGACTTATCACGTGCTCCGCGGTGAAGGAAAACATCGTGAGGAAACCTGCATATTTTCGAAGTAATAATAGAAAATATTTTTTTTTCGAAGATATGTGAAGTCCGCCATTCCGCAGTGGGGCCGCGTGGTGGACTATGCCCTGATACCCTCTGTACAGAGGAGGCCTTTGCCCAGCAGTGGGACATGTATACGCTGTTACTTTACTTTACTTTTATAAATGCACCTATAGCAAACACGGGGAACCGCAAATATCTTTACATACCCAGAGCTCTTACGAATTACAGATGCAATTATTTTATGATTAGGACTGCTAAATTTATCAACGCACGTAATATCAACCCATAGAGCAATGTTTTTCCTAAAATAGTTAATTAATTATAAAGTTCGGAATATGATTTATGTATTACGTTTCATTTTTCTTTGATCACTTGCTCGACTTTTCTTTAAACATAATTATGTGTTAGGTGGAAACTTACTCTTTATACTGGCTCTTTATATATTTTACATTATTTTAAAATAAGTACTTAATAGCTCTAAGTTTTCCTTCTAGTTTCTAGTAAAAATCGTAATACTATATAAATAAATAAACATTTTAGGGCACATTTTAACACAACGTTCTCTATTAACGGAACTAGATAACTGATAAACATACTTAAACATACTTATATTTTGTAAATAAATACATATTATACATATATATATAAACACCCAGACAGTAGAAAAACACTATGTTCGTCACACAATATTTTCCCAATAGTGTGGATCGAACCCACACCCGCTGACGTAGGATACACTATCCACTACGCCATTCTTGTCGTATATTATACCTTTTATTTTTATTAACTTTATGTACGCAATTTATTTTACCGGTTATCATCAGCAGACTGAGGACAGAAGCACGCCAGTGGTATACGAAACCACGGCTGACTTCTCCATGTATAGGATAATTACAACGATTTATTACGTTACCAATCTGCGATATTGCATTGCGGCCCTCACCGATAGATCGAATCGACGCCCTAAAGCCATCTGAAGCTATAGATAATATATCTGCGCTTGCTTGGCGCCCTCTGTCGTATATGTGATAGAATGTCGTAGCTCCTGAATGATATACGCGACATATTTTCGCGCTGGGAGAGTAAGAATAAATTTTCGAAAACATTTTAAGTGATAACTGTCAGGGCTGCAGATGCGTTGCAACCTTTGAAAAGTGGGCCACCAGTTACCTTATTAACCCGACTCTTCACGCCAGTTTTCTGTGAGGTCGTATCTTAAAATATACATGTACAAATATTTCCGGACATATATTTTACACAACGTTTTCAAGTCTAAACGTACTTATTTCTTTTGTTAATAAATGTATATTATACATGTGTAAATACCATGATACTATGAAAACATTGTGTTCATCACACAACATTTGTCCAATAGTGGGAACCGACCCCACACCCTGTGGTGCAAGAGAAGAGTCATTCATCATCATATCAGCCTGTTTGGGTCCACTGTTGGACATAGCCCCCCCCCCCCCCCCCCCCCAGACTGCCACGAAGCACTATCCTGAGCCACCTGCATCCATCGACTTCCCGCACGCTTAGGGTCATTATCAACTACAAATTAATATAACATTTTTTATATTTTCCGACACATAACTCGTTTACGTGCAGTTACGTACGTATAAGTTCCAAGGAGAAGCAAATAAAATATAATATAATTAACAATAAGTAATGTTCTTATGTCATGGGTTCAATACTGCGACGCTGCCTTGGATATAAAATTTTCATTTTTGTATTCATATCTGTTACCCGCGACTTTGTTTATAAGCACATACAGGATTTTTCTTAGAAGTCCTGAATCATTTTTCGATACTCGTGAGCATTTGTGAAGTAGACCGGAAAGGGTTGAGTGAAATGTCGCATTTATGTTTGGAGGTCATGGGGTTATTTTTATTCAAAACTGAATAGACAAGCGCGTGTGGTCTTCAACTAAACGGGACATGTGGATGATTTTTGCGAAAGTGTGTTTATTGGTTTGGCATTCTTTCACTAAGCAACAGAGCAGCAGATTTTAATATAATTTTGCGTTGAAGTTGTGAAGAATTTGTGTGATGATAGGCTAAATTTCATATCGTCTGACAGAAAGTTACCAGTGAATACGCGGGCACAAGCTAGTAAACAGTGTAAACGCAATTTCGAGCACGTATTCACTCCGTACTTATTATTTATTCCCAACGGGAATCGCGTCGTACACAGCTTAATAACGTATGATTTAGCCGTCCATACATCCTCATACACAATAGAACGGTCGCGAATATCGTTACCAGGACTACATACATTGACATGGCTTTAGTTTCATCTGGCGCTCGCGTTTCTTTTGTCGTCGGGGGTCCGCGGGGGCGCCCGTGGGGGCGATGGGGCGTGGGGGCGAAAGGGGGGCTAAGGTTGACAAATGGGCCGCTCGGAGCATCCGCGATACAATCGCTGCGTTGCTTACTGTGCTCCGTTGTAGGAAAAAACTAGGGGTGTGCCCGGCATGCTGTTGCCGTGGTTCCGTTTAAATATTTGTTTTCGATGAAATCATCGATTCTTCGACAATATTTGGAAATAGTTCAGTGTAATAATTATTGACAGTAGACTGAAGAGTTAGTTAGATGGATACGTGTAAATATGGTCTTATCTTAACTCACTATTTGTCAGTTCTAATGGTCACTGGTAATTGCTTTTTATCAAATAAAAACATTATCATTATTTACATTTTATGAGTTAAAAAAAATCTAGTTTTACAAAAATAATTGTGATTGGAAGTGAATTGTGAAGGGAGTTTGAAGAAAGTTGTTGCTAAATCGAGCTCGTCTCTGATTCGTGTTACTTACTGCCAAAATTAATCACAAGGAAAATTGGCTTAATTAGTCATTACCGCCTTTCTTATCATCATCCTAACAGCCACCAAAACGGCTCACCAGTGACGCGTCAAGCATCCAAATCTATCCTTAATTTTAAAATATCCAAGAGCATTAATTATTTTAATAAATATTCAAGAGTAACGATTTGTTTACATACGTCGTGACAACCCTACGCACGCGTCACTGGACTCGTCCCAGCGTGCCATTACTCACTGTCGGCCGCCATTTTCGACGCGCCACGCCCGCTACGCCGCTACGAGGCTACGGCGTAGCGCTGCAAGCCGCTTATAGCTACCACTTGCGATTGCCGCTATCTCCGTACTTTAATTACTATTTAATGAATAAAGTAATAAATTTCATTTCCAATTTTGGAATAAGAAATTGCGGATTATATATTTATATCAAATACACTTTATTTATTCGTTATTGTCTCAAAATGTGTTTGTTAAGTCCCGATTCAGTACTTACCACAGTTGAATCTTAAGAAATAGACGTAATTATAACTATCTCTTTCTGGAATGTACCGAAAACTTAGTCAACTAAATAGTGCGATTGAGATCAACAAATTAGTAGACTTTCTGTAAGCTCATAGTACGCCCTCCTAATTCACCATTAAACGTTTCAAACTGCCAGCGCTTTTAATGAATCAGCACTTTCTTAATAGTTCCCGAGCTGTACGTAGACGGGAGTTATTTCGCTGCATCTGCTCTCCTGGTAACTTAAAAGCGGCGATATCTCTTGTGCACCTGACGACCTAGTGCTCGTTATAAGACACTTTACTTTGTTTCCCGACGCTCTCGCTACTTTTTGCTAGTTCTGCCTCCCTGGTGTTTGTTAGACATTATTAAGGACGTGTCTCTTTTCTCTAGCTGCCATAGATACAGTTTTTTTGTTCAACATACTTGTCCGATTATGATTTAACTAGTTTATATTTAATTTTTAGGGTTCTGTACCCGACTTCGCTGTCTGTCTGTCTGTCACCACGCTGTATCTCATGAACCGTGATAGTTAGACGGTTGAAATTTTCGCAGATGATGTATTTCTGTTGCGGCTATAACAACGAATACTAAAAAAACATAATAAAAAATATTTAAGTGGGGCTCACATAAAACAGACATGACTTTTTTGCCGTTTTTATAGATCCCTTCGTGCGCGAGCCCAACTCGCACTTGGCCGGTCTTCCTTACAAGTTCTGTACAAAAAGGTTTTGTATCATAAAGTTGTTTTATTAGTTTAAATTAATTTATACATGGGATTATTGAAGTAATCAAGCGTAGAATTCATTAAAGGCGCGATTAATGTTACGTTGGAAATGAAACGAAGAGTTTTTTTTTGTTTTTAATGTTTTTTACACAATTCGTAGCATTCATAATGCCGACACATCTCCTCTCTCACAACGTCCCGTCAGCGTCGAAAGATGGTTACAATAGACTTCTTTACCATATAGACCAGATTGTCGTCTGTGTCTTGTTACTATTACAGTATGTACCTCGCCGAAACAATACAATACAAATATATAATCAAAATTTCCCTTCCTCGATATCGGTTGTGGTTCGCTGAGAGACGCAAAATGTTAGTTCGCTATATTTACAATATTTCCATGACTTTCAAACTCGTTATGTATAATACATATACATATAATAAAGAGAAAAATCAAAATAAAATTCTTCAATTAATACATTAATACCTAACAGCTACTATTTAAGACTTTCCTCTTAATAAAATATATTACACGCCATGTAATTAACAATAATAATAATAATAATAGGGAAATATTAACAAAGACCAGCGTTCCAAAAGAAATTGTCGGTTGCTTTTTTTTTAATCGTCGAAACGTATAATTTTTTTTAATACTGAAACTTCACTGGAAACAAACGATTTTTATACAAAGGAAAGCGTCTCAAATACAATTCGATGATATATTTACAGAGAGAATAACAAAAAAATTCTAAAATGATTTCAAATGCGGTACAGTTGTCACAAAGACTTCAACTGAAAGTATTGTTCTAAGGATATCTTCACCTTTGATATATACAATACCCATATATTAACAGTTTGATGTTTATGTTATTCGTGTAGTTATTAATTAACTTGTGTCATTAATATTTGTTTCTAAGTAACAGCCGTACCGCATGATTTCTACAAAGAAATATGATGTTTATTACACTAATATAAAGCTTGATCTCGGATAACTCTTTATCGCTATTAAAGTTACACCATAGCTAGGACCAATTTTGACAATTCTTATAGCTCCCATATCGTATACATGGCTTAAGGCTTGTAATGCAAAGCATTACGTATCGTAAAAACTATTGTGGAGTAAAACAAAAGTTCTACTAACAATGTATCCAAATTGCACTTTAGTTGTTCACCACAAAAAAGTGAATTTTGCAATGCGTATGGATTATCCACGGGATTTTAAAATTGGCCATATAAAAACACTCCACGTAATCTTTGTTGAAATTTAGAAGACGCGCTAAAACCAGAATAAAATTGACAACAGCTGTCACAATTGTCCCGCACATGTGACATTTTAAATTTTATTCAGTTTTGGGCAAAGACAACATGAGAGCGGCCGTTTTGCTGTCGGAGGGGTATTAAATAAACCGAAAAAAAAAAAAAAAACACGAACACTTAACAGTGAGACGTAATGCATATTTAAAGCAATTTTAAGTAACAGTTATAGATCGCAGAGTTGAGTGAAAGTATACAATGACTGAAAACTTTCCGCTACACAATCGCCCTGTCCAGCTAAAATGGCCGCTCGCATAATTACATCGGGATCCAATTCGAGTTATGAAGCTCAATCTATCAGTCCACAAAAATCTCACAAATCTCGCATTGTATATGTATGACATCTAAAAAGGACTACAAATAAAAATAGTATATCGTATTTTTCGCAGTCCTCACAACTACGAGTGCTTTTAACATCACGACATCCAGTTAAAGTACAAGGCAATGTCAGGTATCGAGACAAAATAGAGCTAAAAATCTCATTGATTTTAACATTGTAAAATATCATTTTTTTTTCATCGTATACATCGGTTACAAATTGTGCTACATTATTGAACACCAAGGCAAGGTGAAACTATGATATTTCGAATCTCAATATCATCGTATTAATAAATATATATGTATGTATAATGTATTTATAATATATATATAATTCAAAGATATGTATGTCGTCCTGTAAAGCAAAATCACAAAACTACAGCGCGGGCAATGAAATAAGGTTTCGACAAATTGACGTTTCATCTAGAAGTACATTTTTGAGCTTAGAATCCGAAAGAGTTTTAGGTGAGAGATGCGGAGAATAAACAAAGTGTGATGCTTAAATTTCACTGAAACCATTTTCATGTATGTTCCCACCGGTTGTTGGGACCGTCGCCTACGATTGAGTCGCTGGACACCATCTCTATACCTTAGAATTGACGAGAACCTCTACCATAGGTTATATTGCCATCGTATTATAGTTCTTCCAGCCATCTCGATCCGCGCGCGTCCTCAACAACACAAGCTAGACTAAGTTGAAACGAAACCTATATATTCTATTACATACACAACTCCTTTACAAAAAAAAAAAAAAGAAAGTAATGTCCCACTTCTTCGACCCTAGTACTTCCAGCGATAGTTACAACTTACAACTATTCAATTATTTATTTATATTTACGTAATAACAATACACAATTAGCTATAAATATTTATACGATAACTATCAAACTGTAATCATCTTTATTGTTACATTCATCTTTGCTCCTATAGTTTCAGAATGAAACCGCGTCCCGTTTACATTAAGGTGATTGCACCGTCGTTTATGTTACATCGTCCACAGTGTCACTCCGCGTACGTTACCATTTACATTAATTTAAACGTTAAAGTTGACTTTAAATCTTAATTTAGGAGATCGTATACTGTTTCAATATTACAAAACGTATCGCTTATGTACATTTAGCATCGTTCTCCTGATTGTTCGTATCACGTTTCGGCCCGCTCAGGTCTGTTTTGGGCTGGGCGCGGCGGCCGCCGTCTCATTCACATCTGAAACAAATCAAAATCGCCACCTTAATACTCGTCCACCTGACTTATCCCCGTAATGAGCTGGGCTTTAAAAAACCTAAAACGGCTTGCCAGAGACTTTAAACATTTAAAACTACACCTTACTCTTATTCCAAGAGTACATATCGTACAGCGTCCTGCAGTATATGTAGATTATCATATTAGCTAACTAACGCCCGACTTCTGAAACACTGATCAACGTAGAAGTTAACTAATCAGCTGTCAAACGGCTTCTCAAATGTTATTTGAGTTGCCAAAAGGACATTAAACTCTCTGAATTGATCAGAATGATCTTTTTAAAGACTTCTACGATGGTCAGTGTTTCAGAAACCGAGCGTAAATGTATCAATTTCTGGCACTAACAGAACCAGACGCTCTCCAATTCATAATAAGTGAGTCAGGCTTCGCTTTGCAGCTACGGTGCGTCCGGAGCTGAGATCGCTCTAAGGACTACGCCGTAGCTTAAGCTGTCGTCTTGAAGCGGTAACTGTGACCGTAACAAAGGTAAAACAAAGGTAAACCTGTTTCTCAACACATTAAGGTAGAATTGGCCTTTAATAAAGGCCTTGACCATCTACGATTACGACACCGTTTACCATCAGTATGATTAATAAAGCACTAGTAAGTTATAAAAGTAGATAAAACATTGATCACCATTTAGTTTAAAGGCTGGCATTATTATTGGTAACCAAGGTGTCACGCAACATATTTCACTGTTGCACGAATGGGCAGGTCCATCCGGGTAAATATTACGACCCCACAGAAGCCCGGCGTAAAGTAGAAAAGTTACACTTATGCGTTTCGCCTGAGTGAGGTAGCCGGGGCCCACTTCATTTAAACCCTACGCGATTTTCAAATGTCCATGGGCGGCGGGTTTTACTTATTGTTTTTGCCAGCTCGTTTGCCACTTTTTCACATTAAAAACAAATTGACGTTTGAATGATGAATTAACACTTACATGTACAAAATTGCTGTCCGCATTAAAGATGGTGGCCGTAGTACTCGGCGGGGTAGTGCGCGTAGCCCTGGTGGAAGGCGGGGTCCGTGGGCGGCCTGTGCATCATCTGCTGGCCGTCCATCATGTAGCCCATGGTCGCCTCCGGGCTGTAGGCGCCGCTGGGGCCCGCGTGCGGGAACACTGCCGGGTAGAACACTGATCGGTTAATTAGACCCGCCGAAGCTGGCGACACCGTCGCGGCACCAACAGAGCACGTGGCTCGGTTGAAACACTTCGATGTGCATAAAACGTGCCATCGGTGTAACGAATCGATTGTAATGATTCCGAAAATTTTGCTGTCTGTGTATTGACGAGTCAACATGTGTGATACTGTCTTAACCAAGGTCCTTTAGAACGTGGATTCAGACTGGTTAACTTACAATGGAAAGACGGATTAGGAATTCATAGTGCAAAAACAAAATTGGTTTTACTACCTACGTAGTGTCCATGGGCTAAGCGAAAATTACAATACTTTCTACTGCAGGTTATTTATAAAGCAAAATTGAAAACAAACGGGATTTAAGAGTTAGTTGGCAAAATCGTTAATTCAGTTTCGCGGACGTCGTCGAAAAGTTTCCGCAAGAAAAAATTGCGAGTTGAACAATTGGCGAACGTTCTATCGGGCGCCCGCTCGGTTTTACCGCAAAACTGTTATGCCTTCCGGTCCCAATATATCCCGGGGATTATCAATCGTAAACTAATGGTGTTCGCCCATTATAGACGCCGATTTCCGCCTTCGTCGTGGGGCCTTTATGGTGGCACGCGCCATTGCGCCAAGAGAGTTCGGAACAAACACGACAGCGACCTAATGTCTTGTTTGGAATGACTTTCCCGAAAAAAGTACGTTCGACATCGTCAATACACGCGGCATATAAGTGGAAACTTCTTATGTCGACGTGCGTTCGTTTTTAATTCGTTGTTGTAAAGCTCTTTTAACAGATAGATGATCATATTCATCAATTTTTATTAAACATTCTAAATTTTTTAATTTGGATACTCGTATAATAGATTCGAATTTATTTTTGGTAAACAATCAAAGAAAATTTATTGACGGTAAAAGTTTTTATTACGTAAGAAAATTTATTGGAAATAAAAAGAAACGCACCATTGTCAATGGGAAAATGTGGCAATAGCCCGATAGACTCGCACAAGTGAGACCGATGACGCGTAGATCCCAGTTTCGAGACTAGGAAGACAGGAAACAATAAAGGATCCCCCGGGACGCCGGTAGCGGCCCCGGCTACCAGGAAACTATGATTTAGTAGGCGATAATCTTCACGAGCGTCCTTGACGTTATTGTCGATGTATTGTGCAATACGAGGCGGGTTTGCAGCGGCCTAATCAACTTGTAGTCCATGCGGACGGACTATCTGTCTTCGTGCACTGTAAGTCATCGTTCGGAAAATTGATATTTATAATATACATTTGACAGTTGAAACATTTGATTCACGGTAACAGTATGGGCAGTGCACAGCTACGATCTAATAGGAAAATGCTACTTGATAACGTTGTCCGGTAATGATAGAAGCTATTTATGTTATTGATATTTTTTAAATATTGCCTTCATCTATAAATGGATTTTCAATTTCTATGCGAAAATCAGTGCCCCGCATTGTCTAAAGTACCAGGGCGACAGGCGGCTGGCAGCGGTGTACGCTAAACATCCAGCGCATAAAGCAGGCGGCGAATTCTAAATTTCCCGAGCGGATGCGCTCACCGCCAAGTTTGCCGACGACGGAAAATGGAAAAACCGGAGGGTGGAAGGATAGATGGAAAATTGTTTTGGCAATCGGCTAAAGAAAATGGCCACCGCATTTCCTGCGGTCAAAGCGGCGGCTCTCCCAATCGCCGGGCACCGGGCGAGTTATGTATTCCCGGTGAGTACGAGCCGCGTCCTGTTTAGCCAAGTTGAATTTCTAAGCTCGGAAGTGCCGTACAATTCGATTTGCTTTATAGCTCTCTACTGTGAATAAAATTTTCAACTATTATATCGTTAAAGAACGTACAAACTATTATGGTGTAATTAAAGCAAATTTCTTTCTTCTGGAAGATCATGTGAGCCTTGGTAGGTTAGGTGGTAATTATTTTACTTAAGTTTTCGAGTTAACAACATTATAGTACAGAAAGCACTAAAAAACAGAAAGCAATATAGCATTTACTTCCGATGCGACGCGATGGCTGGATTTATTTGTAGTGACGCCGATTATGGCGGGAAGAATCGCCGCCATTAGCGAAATCGAACGCGCGCGTCCTATGGGGCTGTCATCGGCACATCGATATGGGCATTACGCGATGTCGACGGAGTACGGACGCGGCGCCGTCGACGCAGCGACGCCCGCCATACATACCGGCCGCTGTGTCGCGCGCTAATGAATTTATTATAAGGGCATAAATTGCACCGTGATGCGACGCCATTACCGGCCGTCTGTAAATTACAATTCGCCCGACGGCGGCCGACCAGCGCCGCTACCCGCCGATCGTTTATCGAGCTTTTCGCGCGGATTAAATCGCACCGCGCGGTTTATCAAAAAATCGTGTGCAGGGTCGTCACCAGCATTTGATTCGCGGCTCGCAATTGTCTAATGCAGCCCGTGTTCTTGACATAGTCCAACTTGTAAAGTCTTTTGGTGACGTGTTCGCGACGCTTTTTCCTAATAGCACTCAACTTTAATGAAATGTCCGCGTGAATTTATCTGCACGGTGCGCGTATAAAAAATTCAAAGACAAAAGGAGATGTAATCCCCTCATAGGAGAGTAACACACATCTAGATAGGGCCAGGGGGGGCGATCGGAGGCGGCGGGGGAGGGGCGGAGTGATGGATAGCCCGGGACGGGTCAACGAATTCGGACATTATTCTTTTTTACCCTTCTTGCGTTCCGTTCGCAAGAGTAAGCCCTTTTTCTGCGACGTCCTTTTTGCTCCCCTCTCCCCGGGCGGAATTTCTGCGTCCCGGGAGCGTTTTATGGACTGAGCGCAACAATTACAAAGTAAAAATGGAATTGGCCGTTTGCAATTCCACTCGGCGACGTCGACGGGAGAAACGCCGAGATCGATGGCCGAGATGTGGGCCGCGCGTTATAGTGATGTCGATATCTTGTTTTCATTTGTCGATATTCCGAGATCGGAAGTTGGTAGGAAGTACTTAGAATTGATATTTATTGGATGATAATGACTATAACATATTGACAAAGACGAACGCTAATCGAGAAATGGACAGTCGAACTATAGTTTCGCATCAGTTAGCATCGTTTTCGTATGATGATGGTGTGACAGTACCGTTACATACTTTCTCGTTTTATAAAGTAATAATTCTTTAAGTTCTAGTTGAAAATAACTACCGACCAATTCTATTGTGCCTGATCAATTCATAGCGTTCAATATAACACCAACTTAAAACGTCATCAACGCCGACAGAGAATGGAATATTCTGGAGCATTGCATGCCCGGTAGAAATCCCCTTCCTGATGTAGTTTTAAACCGGGGAATTAGCGTGTGAGCCCGGAGCAATCTTGCGACGGGGGCATGTCCCGGTGCAATTTTCATCCGGGCACGTTATTCACACCGCAGCTGCGCCTGTTTGTCCAGGGCTGCGTCCGAGGACCCAAAGCCCCCGGGAGCGGAGCCGCCCAGGTGCAACCCTGCATAATGTATGAGCCCGCTCTGCGGTCAGCTCAACTTAATTTCCTACATCAAAGTATCTCGGACCACGGGAGAATTTCAATATAGCCAGCTCTGAGTGGCCGAAATGGGAGCCGTCGACCCCTTTTCCTCTTGTTACTCTTTAAACACGTGTGTGAATCGCTTGATTTTGCAATAGAAAGTTTCTTGTAAAAAACAAAACAAAAGACAAGTTCATCTGAATCCACTTTCTTTTATTTGTTCTTGTTTAAAAGCTTTAGGCGTTTGACAATTTCAATATTATACTATATTCTATTTATATACTATATACTTATATTTCATTGCGTATAATATGGTATACAGTAAGGTGTTACAAAATACTTAACCCAATAGGACAATACTCGCCTTGTGTGGGGGAGACAAAGAAATTAAATTGTAATTAGGGTTTTTCAAAATAATTGTTATCATTCCTATCGTGATATATCCACACTCCGAGTCACTTAGCCTTTACGAGGTAAATTCGTTAATGTGTGTTCAAAATTTAGTGTTTATTGACAACACATTTAATTGAATAATCAATCACTTATATAAACTCTCTGAGTGAGATTTTGGGCACGGTCGTCATTTTTTGAACCCGCAAAACCTCAAAATATGTATTCAGATGTATAAGAAGTATGTTACCTGCTCTATTCGACTGGTCTATCATCGGCTGTACTATCCTACGTCTCGCGTTGATAAACCTGTGGACAAAGAGACCAAAGTTGATTAGAGAAACACGTAGCAATAATCTAAAACACATTCTAGAACAATCAGGGTCAAGATGAGTGTTAGGACTTTCTAATCGTGAAAGCCAATGTTTTCTCATTCTATTCCATCAAGTGCAGTGTTATCAATCTGATAAATTGATATATGTTAATGTATACTCGTCGAGGTGGAAAGAAATCGTGACATTGTCCTAGTAAATTAAGAGGACTAGAACTAGAGTTTTTCCATGTTTTATATAGTTTTTTTGAATAAATAATTCATAATTACTAGATATCAATCTGTGTAACCGATAAATGTCTAAGGAGTCGAAATAAGCGAATCTAAATTACGAAACATGATATATTAAGTGATATATTAAGTTACAGATGATAACTGAGTTTTTGAACCACCATGCTGTTATTCAGAGATCCCCGGCAAGTATACTGGTTCGGTGCCCGTTCAAACACTGTAGCGATTGCACGGCATGGGTGTGGAGTCATCGACGTCGGTGCACTCCCAAATTAACTGTCACTACGGATAGGACGCGGCCGCTCGGAACTCGACGATTGCTCTGCCATTCGATTTGTTCTCCGTATAATTCATGCTATGGCGAATTGGCTTTACACGATGACGCCATGAGGGATAATATATAGGATTTGCAGAATGATTTTACTTCAATTTTTCGATATTCATGTATTTTGAAGTAAAGGAATGGTTAAGCTGCGGTTAAGAATTGAGACAAATCGGCGATTAGTGCCAAATATACAGTATTGATTTTAAGTGCTTTTAATAGACAATAAGGTTCGAATTGAAATCAAGTAAACATGTTACAGTTGCTTTAAAATACATAGGCAATAAAAAGGTTGAAATTGAAAGGGAGCCAGAGGTCCGGATAGCACCCGGCGGACTCCGCAATGCCCGAGTGTCCCTCGGAAGGGCCATAATTGCCACGAAACATGGCGTCGCGTCCGATGCGACTAATGTATTGTTAATATCTAGATTAGTTCATTAACTCTTTATCCGGGGACGCGGCGGCCCACCCCGCTGGCCCTCTGGGAGTGGGGATGGAACAGCAGCCCCAACTTCCCCGGCACTTGGGGTGAATTTGCCAAATCGCCGTCGGTATTAATTTTGACAGCAATAATTGTTATAGCAGCGCATTTGAAGCGACAATATGTCGGACGTAATGAGATTGTGCGCCTTCGTAGCTCTTTGAAGGATTGCGTGAAAAAACGATTTGAGGTTTTATGTAGGAACACTTGACATGTCGGAGACATTAAAGTTTATTATCGGATATTTCTACTTTTCACAATAAATGCTTGCGTTTTGCTAATTACAGTACGTATTGACCATTCCTTTTTAAGTGACTTTTCCTAAACCAAAGTGCGAGAAATGCCAAAAAAGACTAAAACTTTGAGGAAAATTTATTATGATATGGTACGAGAGCATAGTTGATAAATAAATGAACACGACATTTTACCAAGGTAGACTTGAGAATGCTTGGTGGCATTTAGTCTTATATCATGTACGGCCGATAATATTTTTATATACCTATAATTCTTCTGTGCATGTGTAAGTCACAACTCCTCTTAAACGGCTGGACAGATTTTAATGAAATTTTATGTGTGTCTTCAGCTCGATTCAAGAATGGTTTAGATTCACAATTTGGAGCGCTACAACTTTTTTTTTATTTAAAAGTTTTCAGATTTAAGTCGCGTGAACAAGACGTCTGTCAGGTCCGCTAGTATTTGTAAAAGTATAATTAAAATATTGCTCCTTCTAACGGAGCTATTTTTGTACAGTTTTCGATTCTAATAAAAAAAAATGCGGACACTTGAAGCGTTACAGATAAAGCGATAGGTGTATGTGCAGCGTCATCGATGATTTATGGCCGATATTAAAATCGTACACGTACGAGTGATTTCAAACACAGGAACGAACAAACAATACGCGGACGGGCGATACGAAATAATAATCCCGTCGAAATTTGCATTCGTATAATATGCGTATTATTTTATTTGTATCGTAATGGCCGACCCCCGATAACCGGTCGCCCGTAAATCATAACACGACCGGATTTGTTAATTTCGCGCCACGCAAGGGTTGACGCGGCTAGTGTCAAATGGCCGGGTATAGTGGTGGGACGCGGCGGGCGAGACGAAAGTGTGGTGCTTTTCGGTGATTCACTCACGGATATAATTGACCTGACATTTTATAAAAAAACTCACACACTTTTACTACAAAGTTGGGACGAAAGAATCTCCGTTTTGCTTGTTTTACACACTTTTCGTTTGTACCAAAACCGAATCAAGAATTTAGCTCATTGTTTATGATTATTTCATTAAAATAACCCAACATAAACTGCCAAATCGAAACGCTTGAATATCTAAAAAGATCAGTAAAAAGAAAAGTCTAAAAGATAAGTAGTTACCGAGAGTTGAAAGAGAAAAACATATTGACTAAAGTTGGAATAACTTTTTCCGTTGTGAGTAGTTATATATCCGGGGAACGCGAACTAAGTCAGTAATGGTCTTCAAACTAATAATTAATTCACTCTCACAAAGGCTGAGCACAATTTAAGTTACAAACATTATCGTAATAAATCTGACAAGATCAGTGTTATCGCGGTCAAGACACATCACTAACGGGCCGTAATGCGTTGTAGCTGCATTATAAAATGCACTCTAAAAATGAGAACCGGTGATAAATGCATTCCGTATGCAAATCGGACTAATTATAACGAGATTTAAGCGTCGTAATATGAAATAGGACGGCGCACGCCCCAATCCGAGGGGAGTCGTCCGACTTATCTTAAACGCTCATTTGTCTACGAAGCAGCAAGGGAATGGAGAAGATAGAGCTGAATAATACAGATTAAACTGCATCTCCACGTAGACTCTTTATACAATACATGGTAAAAAAGTAAAAATCTAAAATATCATCCGGTTGCAAGACTAACCAATGTTTATGCTTCATAACTATGAACAAATACGTCGAAATTCGGTACATGTCTTCCAAAAACTAAACACTTGTTTTAATTAACTTAATTTTCAATAATGAATTGACTGATTACACAACATAGCCGAAAGCTAGCCGGCTAAGTTACGACTAAGCCGAGCGCCCCGCTGCTTAGTCGTAAGTTAAACCGAAACACGGCGGTGCGTGTATCGGAACGCTTTCACGACATAATTGATAGGCGAGCGGCATTAACATAATGCGATACAGTTCGCCTTGTAGACCGCGGGGAGAACTTATGTCCGCCATTTTTATTGGCCCCATACACTGTTGCGACAAATACCTTATGATAATCGAGGCCACTCGAGCTCATGATACCCTGGTACGGCCGTATCTGATATTACTGATATTATTATTGTGAGATTTCCCCGGCTCCACTCTAAATAGGAAAAGTTAAGGAGGCCATTTAGCCGGTTGAACACGTCCGCTAGATTCGGCCGGTCGCGAGAGCCAATCTTAGGGCGGTGCCCGCCCGTGCCTCGGTGTCGCCGGAGTGAAATTTAATTTCGCCTCCAAGTTTTTAGGATTTTAATTACCTGAGAGCGAATTAAATGAGCGTGGCGTCGGCGGAATTTCCTTAGACGCAATTTCACGAATTCCCGCGAAACGGTGGAGTCATTTATAATTTACTTTTACGCGAATTCGCAACGCTCCCGCCGAGCGCGATGCATAATGAAAACTCGATACCGTTACGCGCCGTGTTTTAATTTCGAAACGCGCGTATAAATAATTTTAACTTACGCCCCGTTCTGCCACATAAAATAAGGAAATACAAATACACGAAAGAAAAATAAATCGCGTAACGTTAAAACAAATGAGCTATTAACGGAACGTAAATATAGTTCCGCGTGTGGGAACGGCCTTTGGAACAGGCGCGCGTCTCGCTTCCATCGATCATTTTCATCTGTGGCGATTGTTTTTTCTAATCGCCGTAAAGTAAATACGCATCGTGTTTACGACACGTTACTCATCTCTGCGCTGTTACGACTAAAAACGGGAAATCGAAAGTGAATAATGGACAAATAACGTTACATTAAAGTTGCGAAACCTCGTTTAAAACCGCACTTCCAATTACATTAATGCGTAAACGCGCCGTGATCGCGGGCGCGTATCGGCCTCCGATGTTCAGCAGCTTGGCAACACAAACAAAGGGCAGGTGGGCGAAAGTGAGGCATTACTGGGAGCTATAAATTCCGTTTTTCCCTAATTAAGGTTTAATTCAGGAGGATCGGGCCCGGCGCGTCTCTGTCCGGAACTTGTCGCATTGTTCCGCCTGGCTGAATTATAGTTTATTTAAAGTTGGATTATGTTATTCGGTGTTTGGGGTGCTGTTTGCAGGTAGATAATTTCATTCTATAATCAGAGAACAACGCAACTATTGCTAATGCATTGCTGATATTTTTAATTATGCGGCTTCTGTTTTATTTTATTTATTTTCGTATTATTTCGACGTCGTAGTTACAACACTAACATGTTATAAACAAAATCATGATTGTGGGTAAAATCTAATAAGTGAACGGGCGTGTCTCCGTCCGTAAAGCGGCTCTAATTATAAAAGCTTGGACAAAGTCCTAAAACTTTTATCAGTGGGTCGGGCCCGGAGCCCAAAGTAATCCCAACTACCAGGCTGACATAGCTTATCGCCGGTGACCGACTCGCCAAATGAACGCATTAGTTTTCATAAGGCCCCGAGATAGGCGGCCGTGCTTGCGCCTAGGGTTGTACTTAATGATGGAGTCCGTATATAAATGGTATCTGTAGCGATATATTTCTTACGTTTCACGTTATATTTAAAATATTCGCGTTCACGTTCGTAAATCATGCTATCGTGACTTTTCCCTATAGCATTTGATAAGCCAGTGTAGAATACAAATGGATTATTTTCTCGTTTCTATTTTTAAAATACCTCTAATCAACATTTTTATTTATCCGATATATAATTTAGCGACGAATTAAAATTCTATTCCATTTGAAAGACTTTCCAATGATTTTTTTTCCTTATTAAACGTTGACCAAACGTTGAATCGGTCGTGCAGGGGAAAAACAAAATTTACCCCCGAAGTTACGCACGTATTTTTGGGGGACGCAAAATACGGTCGACGCGGCGGGCGGGTCGAGCAAAACATCGGGCAAATGCTGGTAATTCATTATTAGCGACTTGTTTTTCCTGACGTCACTTTGACTGCCGAACTGCGACTAGAATCCTATAAGAGTTACGCGTTTGGCGGACAAATGTTCTTTGCTTGGCATTAACGGGGTTAAGTTGTCTGTGCGCAACTATCTGTCACCAGTGCAATTTGGCGCCAAAAAGTTTTCTAACCTGTCATAATAACGAGAGAAAATTATACGCGATTGTCACGAGCTCTTTTTGTTTTAGCTTGCAAATATTTACAAAGATCAAAAACAGACTTTATAAATTTGCTATATCATTGATTTGATATCGAGAAAGGGTGAATATATCAAGCGGTCGAACACTATTGTCGGAGATATCCCTTAAATCCTCTAACCACAGTGCAGATCATGTTTTGATGATACAAGATGGATTTGGATACGCGGATGGTAGCGTTTGTAACATATTGTTCTCGTGTTGGCTTACGAAGCTAGAAGAAAGTGGATTTATTACTTACGGGAACGCCCGAAAATAGCCTGTTAATTCGTGAATTTCGACCGTTGTCGAACGTAAGTTTGTAAACATATGTGAGAATCGCTTATGGGTCAATTTTTTAAAGCAGTATTTTTAATCTGTACTATGCGTATAAAGAGAATTATACACACAGACGTCAGCGGATCGGAGCGAAATTCGGGAAATACGAAGTCGAGATGAAAGCTACCAGTAAAAGAGATTTACGTCCGGCCTATATGAGCGCTGCCGGAGAAACAATGGTGCACGAAAACGGGATATCACGTACAAATTCGTCTAATCCGTGGGCGGCCCCTGGGTGGACGATAAATATTTTTCATGAAATCCCAGGGCCGCGGCGACGCATAGAAACTGCCCTAAATCAGGCAATTATAGGTGCGACCAGTAAATATTATAACCGAGGGATCAACTACGGGAATAAGTATCGCCGAGTGCGCGTTAAAGTTAATTTCGTTCCGTTTCTGAGATGAGACGCGAATAACGCTGCCCAATCATGTGATGTGTACTAATGCCGAATTATTTATAGTGTTTTATCCCCGACGCTCAGTCTAATACGCGCCTTTAGTTTACAACCGTATAATTTGTATTTTTTTTCGTCGGCGGATAATGCTGTGCTATGATAGGTATTACTGGAAGAGTATTAAAGTGGAACGGCACTCGGTAGCAAGAAGCGTTATTAACGACTCTTGATAACAGTGAAAAACATCACTAATACTGAGTCTACCAATCCATAGATTTCCTATTAAAGTTTACAAAAAGCACTAGTTTTGGCTAGTGCTAGATCTAGTGAATTTCAAACATTTTGATCGATCAGTGTAATTTTTGGAGACTTTTTTTTATGTAAGAAGATGGCAAGCCAGACGAAATGCAGAAGTTTAACACTTCCACTACATTACCAGTCTTCTGCGAGGACGTGGTACTTTCCCGGACGGACCTGCCCGTTCGTGCAACAGTTAAGAGTGTTTCGTGGCCCTGCCACAGCAAAAGCGTGCATGATCAGCCACATCGGTCTGATGATGCAACCTACAGCCGCCAGGGGCATTCCATCGAATCGTTCCAACCGTCTCAGGGCGTAAACAGTGCCACGGGAACTGCCGTTAAAATTAACGGCGTATCGTTACAAGCGACAATGTACCGGGGCCGCATAAGCACGTTCGCAAAAATCGACCTCGTAAATAACAAAGCGCGAATGCTTCATTTCGTAGAAAGGCGGCTTCTTAATCCGATGGGCGCCTGGTAGCTCCGGCAGTAATTGCGGGGCGCAATATATCGCCAGTTCGACCCTCTCGACCTCCCGCACCTCCCGGGCCTCTCGCAACGAGTACGCAACACATGGCACCGCGTTAATTGCTAGGGTACCCGATTTCCACTGTTTTTATTCACCCAATCGTGGGGTGGGGGACTGCGAGCCTAGTTTCTCCCGGATTTGTGACGTCGATGCAATTATTTATAATTGCAATATGTTTTGACACGTCGTGATTTGTAGAAACGCAAGGAATCGTTCATTACTCATAATTATAGCGATGTTAAGCAGTTTTGTAGCGCCGATATTTAAATATACAAATAACATTCTGTACTTAACATTAACTATCATCATAACGATGTCCTTTTTAACTTAGTTGTACATCGCTCAATAGATACTTATAAAAGATGTTAGGTAGCAAATTAATTGAAATTTCTGTGGTTAACTTAATCTAAATTCTAGCCATTGTTTACGACGTGTAGAACTTATATTGAGCAATATTACCGATAAGTATATAAAACAACGAAAGATAACAGATAAAAGGACGTAGTAAATTGTGTCACGAACATCTTAACGCCTGGTCCTCAAACTGTTCGGATAAAGACCCTCAAATCGAGGATAAACATGTAATGATGGAGTCGGGCAGATGACGACGAATTATGTCAGGGGTTAGTAGATGTACGAAAGAATATTTATCACTTTAGATTAATCAGTAAACAATGGAGTGATCGAATGTATCTTATAAATTTCGTATATTTAAAAGCTTTTAGTGCTCGTATATTCACGAATGTCAGAGTCTTAATTATAAAAGGCGATGAACGTTTATGATTAAAATTAGCCAAACGTTTGTTTACTTTTCGTGTAGTATGGCGATCTGTTCTTGTGCAAAACGCGGCACGTTTGTTTTGTCTGGCTGTATATTGAAACTGGCAAATTATTAATTATAGCTCTCGTACGCCGGAAGTTAACGTGAGCATCGATTAATCTAGCCACGTTTGATTTATATCGTCAATTAGTGTTGCCTCTACTAGTCTTAATTTCTTATTTCACTCCATCCAAGAGGTTATAAGACTTGCTCTTGTGATATCCCCCAATTCCTTCAGCCCCGAGTCGCGGGGCCACGGGCGATTGCGACGATAGACCCGGCGCCATATTGCGCTGATCGCCTGACGCCAGAATTTATTCCGCATTAAATCCGACCAGAATCGGCAAGGGTTGAGGTGCGGGCCGCACATAGGCGCCAGCTGGGCTGCCGGCTCTGACGGGGCGAACCGATCGCGCTGACGTGTACCGTTATTTGGAGTAAATAACAGCGGTGCTAGGCTTTACCCGTCGGCACGCCGTCCCTAATTGCGACGTCGCGAGTTGCCGTACAGCACCGTTGTAAGTGGCGCAGATAATTACGAGCCTTGAGAACGGTCCACAGTCTATACCGCTTAAGGTGTAATCTTGTATTGATTAACAAAATGGTTCACTGAGCCTTATTTACGGCCATCTGCAACAACACCCTAAGCGTTGTAGAAGTCTGTAGGTGAGGGTAATAATTTTAACATAAGATGAACCGCTTTCTTGCTTGCCAACTGTTCACATAGTAATCCCTAAATGTCGAGTCAAAAAGTTCTTATTGTTTACTACTAATTTGCAACAGTATGGTCTGATTTACGATGTCAAGGTTCCTCAAGAGGCTTAGCCTTTGCCTCCACTACCTCATGTACGCCGCAAAAACATTTTCGAATAAATTTTTCGAAGTTGCCTTCTCTTTCTGACCAAAGTTAAAGCACAAACTAGGAATATAACATTAGATACAACATAAATTATGGAAAATGCTTACCGGGGCTGGGTTACCAATGACATGAGACCTTTAAACCGTTTGTACTATTTGAACAAGTAACACTAATTCAAAAAAGTAGGTACATTTCAAAGCGTTCAAAATATCCAGAAATAATACTTAAATTATAAGCGCTATTTAAGTAAAACTTATTTAAGTTTATTTAACGAGATATTTATAAGCGTTTATAAAATACGTAATAAGAGTCATAAAAATATTGAATGAATGTATTTTTATCCCAAAAAGCGGTGAGAAATTGCGCTTTTGTTGTATGTTATGCCAATGGTCGAAGGAGAAAACTTAGTTTTAGTGTGAGTTTGGCGGAGCAGTTTTTGTTGCACGAAGGGTTTTGCGGCTCTCGAATAAAGTTCTGGGCCAAACCGATGTGTGTCGCATACGCGGATGTTAAATAGGTATCAGGGCAACATCAGTTGCCGGCGGCGACCGCTAATGAGTGCGACAGCAGCGCTGTGCGGCCGCTGCGGTGCGCGCGCGAACTAATTTGCTCGTGATGGATTGCCGTTGCTCCGCACTTCAGTCTGCGTTACGTGGTGTCTTGTTCTCCTGGTACATTGTTTGCTAATGATGAACATCTATGACTTTTTTTATATTTGCTTAATAAATTCAATTCGGATAGGGTCTTTCTAGAAACGCCCAAAACAATAAAAAATATATTATTACATATTTCGGGTTCCGTAACTAGGGGTTAAACAGGACGCTATTACTAAGGCTCCGCTGTCTGTCTGTCTATCTGTCCGTCTGCTAGTCAGTCACCTGATTTTATCTTAGGAACCGTGAAATTTTCACAGATGATGTATTTCAGTTGCCGCTATAACAACCAATAATAAAAAATATATAAGTGGCTCCCATACAACAGACACTTTTACCAATTTTTTTTGCCGTTTTCATAAATAACGTTACGGAGACGTTCGTTCGCGAGTCCGACTTTTTTGGGCCGGTTTGTATTTATTATTCAGTAAAATGTTACGTTACTATACAAAGCAAAATATCTAAAAAAAAGTATCAAAATTACATTCCAGATTATCTCCAGAACGCCGAATGGTCGGGACCGCGCTTCCCGACTAAACGGTGCGGGATAAAAATATATTTATCGGAAATAACAATAAATCGACCGGTAAAAGCTTGCAGCGGTTGTTTACGCGCGCGTCAGCGTTCCCGGCCGAACTGTCAAATAATAACGATTGAAAACAAATGAAAGCGAACGGCCGGTTAGCAGAAAAAGCAACGATCGATTGATAGGAGTCGAACAATGACGGCGTGCGATTTTAAGGACCTCTAAGTATCGTCTCAGATAGTGAAAGAATCATTCTTCCAAATATTGACAATCAAACTGGTCGTATGATTTGTTACTTTGCCCTAATCTTGCGTTCGACACATTAAAAATGGGTTAAATCGGAGTTGGTGTCCTGTCGAAAACCCACAAGTAACATGAATCACACGTTTAAATAGAGTACACTCAAGTATATTCATAAAAAGGCAGAATAACAAATTGGCTCGTTTCAACTCTTGGCTGTATGTAATATCGATCCGGTATACATACTTTAAATTTCATTGTTTAGAGAAGTAAAACAATCGGTGATATTACCATCGACGAAATATTCGTTTGGTTATTATCCTATACTTTTAAAAATTAATTCGTAGACAATGTTCAAGATATATTCAAGAGACGAATAATGTTATGGTATTTATTTTCACTTAACGGCATTCTTTTCAGACCCACGTTTAATTCGATAGCTTTTACCACCGTATAAACTGTTTGTTTATCTACATCAAAGACATCACGCGTCTGAAATTTAACAAATGGCTGAGATTGTGTTTGCCGTTGTAAACGAGTCATCAATTCGATCTGTGATGTTATTAACAATGCGAATTGCGCGCACGGCCGTTCTTCGAGGCAGTTAACGTTGACTTAATTACTAGGTAATGCATACTACATATAGCTAAGTGGTGTGTATAAAAAAGAAAATATATATATCGTCTGCAATAATGGCGGCGTCGCGTGTGAGTCTCGCTTGAATTAGCCGCGCATACAGCCTAATCGCCATGTCGCAATCGGAACTAACAATGCCGACGTGCTTTTGTTTTTTTTATTAAACAAGGCAAAGATAATGCAATCTATACAGCGCATTCCTCGGAGCCGTGCATCAGTCTTTATTAAGAAACTTTTTGTTTAATACGCAAAGCAGCTTTATTTATGTATTTTCTTTATTTACATTTTAAAAATACAGAAGGCGACCTTTTAATGAACTTTCGTAGTTTTCCTTCTCTATTAAATAAGAATTAATTTGGGAAACCAAACAAAATGTACATAAATAGCTGTCTAATATTAATTTTTAATACGTATAATAGTATGTAAATTTTTTTGTATTATGTATTTCTCACCAGGATCTATTAAACTATTCTAAAGTCAAGCATAACAAAATAAATCGATTTTGTTATGCTTGACTTTAGAATAGTTTGTGAATTGTTGTTGATGCACAGAATACAGAATACTCATTAGAAAAGCGAAACTCCACGAGAATTATTCGTTTTGGCGGGAAACGATTAAGTCGACAGCCCTGCTATACACAGACGCATAATTTACGGCGTCCTGGGGACCGAATGAAATAGATAAACACTGTGATCGAAGACGCTCTCAGCTCTCCGCGTTTCCCTATCAAACTTTCCGATATCACACCAAACGCAGCGCCATTTTGAGAGGCGCATTATTTTAATGGACCCGAAGACGATAGTGTCCACGCAGCCACACCTGTGGAAATGCGACGCGTGTAAATAATAAACGTTCCCGCGTTATAGCAGCGGCTTTTACTCATTACGTCGCCCCGCTATAGCTGTGAAATTAATAACGCTCGTTAACGTAAAAAAGCATTAGCCGCGGAAGGTATCGCTTGATTATCTGTGGGCTTTCGCTTTTATAATCTGTCGTTATTTGGTGTGATGCATTTGAAAGGTGACGTTTAGTAAACGTGATGTTTAATGTTCGATATTTAACTTGATAGCACGATCGAAGTAAATCACTCATGGTAATAGTTATGGTCAAACATTCGACTTGTAAACGATTTGAAACATTCCGTATTATTGTTGAAATAATGTAGACAATACGCTTGTTTGTATATCTAAATTCTTTTCGTCTGTCCTAGACGACGTTTTTTTTTTTATACTCTACGGCATATAGTCTGTTCTCTTCATTTTGTGACGAAGCGTGAATTTCATAAAAAAGAATTCTTCGTATCTATGTTGTAACACATCAATTACGTTAACATTTGCATCTATTATGTGTTATGTTGACACGAATATTTATAATTTTTGTTATGTATTTTTAAGTTGCCAAAAAAATCTTATTTTAACGTATTAAAAAACTCCTCCTGAGTGTAGCAAGGGGTTTAAAGACTAGGTACATGTTACCTCTTTTTCTGTGCGTGAAATATATCTGATGATTAAAACATTAGACTTCTAAAACCAACGGTAAATCGCGTTGTGGTTATCTTATAATCGCCTTGGATATTTTAATACTAATTAAACTAACTGTATTTCTTATTACTAGACATTCTACGAGATGAATTATATATGCTTTTTAGTGTCAGTAATATATCCTGTCCAGTTTTCTAGATCTTTCGATAGCTGTTTATTAAATCCACTCCGGCGAGGTCGCAGAGTAATTACCAGGCAGGCATAACAGCGTCGACAAATGGCAGGCGGCGGGTCACCGCCGTGATACAAGGATAAGGGAGATGTCGTTATTAACCAAACACGTTGCTTTTAACGTCTCTCTTCGAAACATAATGCAGATTTATAGATTTTCTCGCGAGGGAAAATGAAAGTTCGGAAATCCAGCTACTAAGCCAGATAAGGCTAGATTTCTCAGGTCTAACGACAGTTTTATGATTAAGGCTTTCGTTTATAACGGGCGAAATGTCATACGCTAGGGCCATTCGGGGCGTGCTAAGCAAAAACTCGTCGAAACAACGCGGTTCGCTCGTAATCATAACGGCCAGATTACCGGCGTCGATATGTGCTTCGCCGGACAAAGGCGACCATAAATAAGAGGACGGTTGAAATTTTAAGGGGCGCTCGCCTCGGAGGCCATTAGAGGCCCTTAGCGGAGGTAACGAGTGCCGCTCGGAGGGCGCGAGATGCCGGCCGCGATCGGCCAATTGTCGAACCGACCAGCGTGAAATCCCCAACGAGCTGAAGCCGAGAATCGTGATCTCGCACATGCCGCAGATGAGGGCCCGCTATCTCCCGCGCAGCATCGATCAGAACACGTTTCGTTTTTGACGATTTTCCCCACTGCGTAGAATCTTCAGACATTTTCAATATTACCTTTTGCTGCAACATTTTAAAAAAATGTAATGGAAGACTGTCTGTTTCTTAGTCTTGATAATTCTTTAATGCGGTGCTTATTTGAAAATTATAGATGAATACGGAACGAAGAACTATTAACACTTTACAGAGTGATGAAAGTTTAATATACCTTGTACTATGAACGTTGCTTGGCTAAAGTATGAACATACTTGCACTATTTATAAAGTGTTGTTACTGTTATAAGAATATTATCGATTCCGTTGGTTTGTTTGTGAAAAATGGTAAGGCTTGAGTTCATTGACGGCGTGACAAGGCAACAGATAAAAAAATACCAGGAAACTAACATTAACATCGACGATTTAGATAAAATGTATATCAGCAAAATGAGTATTTCAACGCACTGCGCTATTTCAGCGCGGAATTCATGGCAACACCAACCCGCCCGCTCGCTGGCCTCTCCTAAATGCGAAGAACCACGACTGTAATCAACGGTTTTGATCTCCGAGCGCAGTCGCGGATCTCTAGCCTCTCGCCAACCGGTCCACCGTTATTGACGCGTATTAATCAAATCTCGCCTTCATTGTTGCCGAAACGAGGCGTCGAGTCCGCAAGATGGATCGCTACATGGGTTTTGTTTTTGGGCTTGCGTCGGCTCCGAGCACTAATCGGTGATTCCGGATGCCGGCGGTGTCAGGTGAATGAATCTGCTTCCATTTGTAACATGAGATTGTGTGTAGTTTCACATTAGCATCACTTGAGTAAATTTCAAATGTTCCTAGGTTATGATATTTCTGACTTTTTAATAGCCATTTTGTTCTGCAACAGGTATGAAAAAGTAGCTAAAAGATTTAACTTGTAACAGAGGTAGTAATCGTAACCGGCTATATGCTAAAAGCGAAAAAATTTAGTAGGTGAAATTCTACTATTTTTGAATATAATTTTGAATATAGCGTAAAAGTTTTGAGAAATTGAGACTGCTTGTTTCATTTAATCTGATGCTTTGCATGATGTTTTATTCATGTTGTTGTTGACTGATATTCCTCTCTCAGTATGAATATAAATTATATTTTCTAAGTTTATTTTGGACAAACCCGTTCGGGCAGATGACCTTTTGGAATGTCATATGGTAAAGCGCATAGTTTTAAACGGTGATATGACAATGATAAAGTAATAAATTATAGCAACACGTTTTTAATTTCACAACTTGAAATGGTAACCCTAAACTCAGTCGGATGTGACCGCCGCGTCTTCTGTCACAATTAATTTCCGGGCGGCGTTGAAATTGGCGCGAAAATTGTCGCGGGGCAGCACCGCAGCGGCAGGAATTTTAATTACGCGTTCGCGTTTCGAATACCAATGTCGTCTTGTTTAAATTAAATATAAATTATTTGACTCCTAGGGCCCGCCGCTCTCCGTTGCCCGGGAATTGCTACAACAACCGTTTCGGAATTAAGGCCCTCCTCGTATTTCGTCGTTGGAATCTAACCTTATAACTAAGAAGAGACAGCAGCAAAATCGTTTTCCCGCTGAAAATTCATTAAATTGAATCACTATGTTGCGCTGTTATTTTCTGCTACATGTCCATTTTAATAAAACGAGGTTTCGTTTCCCCACGTAATTTGTACCTAAATTGAAAAGGTGCCTAGTAAATTCAAGCGACTTCGAATAAGGAGATTTAGGTTCGTTACGAAACGTGTCAAGAGTACGGAGAGCTCTGCAATATCATAATAAGCTTTTTAAATTGAAACGCCCAAACATAATTAGACGGCAGACGGGGACCGGGACGCAGACGGGTGCACTTCTTGCGGCGTTTAGCAAACTTTGATAAAAAAGATTAAGCGTGACAGTTTGAAATATAGCCCGCGTTTTTTGCAGCGGGCGCGAAACTTTCGCGGGCGGGGCGCGGCCGCCATTGTTGGCGGCCGCGGCGGGTTAATTCCGAAAGAAGCGAGGCGCAGGTGCACGAACGCCCCGCATTAATTCGAGCCGTCCCGACTAATACCTACATATGGCCGCGTCACGGGGCGGTAGAATTTGCAGGCGCGTCTGCCGCACGACCCGCGGCGCGGATTATGACGTCTCGCTGCGACAATCCGAATCCGCACGCGCTCGGAACGCGAACCGCGCAATCCCACACCCGCCTTTAATGGCGAGTTATAGCAGCCACGACGGCCGCCATTAACATAATTGTTTCGAAAGGAACGCAATTCAACTTAGAGTAGATCGTAGTAAAGATAATTCGGGCAATTAAGACGCATATTTGCATAGCGATGCGACCGCGGCTCTCGAGTGACGTCGCGCCGCCATTTTGCCTTTATTTATTTTGGCGGCGGATCGCTTGTCATTTTCTTGGAAATAGGAAACATAAACTAGACGCGGTTCCGGTGTTGTGCTCTCTCCGACGTCTCATGATCACACTCTGGGTAGGAGTAATCATGAGTGAGGTTGTTGGTTTTCGTTTATCGCTCGTATTACCACACTCACAAAGCGAGCGCTCATAACGAATGTCTATTTTTAATTGGGGGCGTTCTCGTTTTATAGACTAAATAATCAACGCGATAATGGCTATTAAACTTTTTATTATCCTATTAATAAATCATAAAAACAACAAGCAACAGCGTGTAACTCCGGGACTTTGTTTGAACGTTAAATTTATCGTCTTACCTCATTATTGCTCGGTATACTTATTGTTTATATGTATTTAACGTTTTACGGCTGGTATTTAACATTTAAATGGTGATTGAATCATTTTAACGAAGTGCCATGGGTAATTAGTTTTTTAATTTAATAATAATAATAAAATATCTTTATTCACATAGACGCTTGCGCGTTCTTATGAAACGTCAAAATTTTACAAGAAATTAACACGTTCGTAAGTTACCACCGGTTCGGAAAGCAGTTTCTCTTGAGAAGAAACCGGCAAGAAACTCAACAGTTGCTTCTTAAAAAATCAGTTTACAATATAATAGTACAGGTACAATAGTCTTGTTTTAGCCTACGTGAGTATCAACAGTATTAACCCCACACATTGGCGTCGTCAAGATATTCGGCAATAGTATAATAGGCTTTAGCCATAAGTGTACTTTTAATTTTTCGTTTAAATTCATCAAGTGGCAGACTTAACATCGACTGTGGGATTTTATTATACATGCGCACACTTTGCCCCATGAACGATCTGTTTACTTTTTGTAGGCGAAATAATGGCGTAGTTAGTTTGTCCTTATTTCTAGTATTTAGTTTATGTCTGTCACTATTCTTTTGATAATTATTAATATTCTGTTTAACATACAAAATATTACAATAAATATATTGAGACGCAACAGTGAGTATATTAATCTCTTTAAAAAGATCTCTGAGTGTATTCCGGGCTCCGATGTTATAAATTGCTCGGACAGCTCTTTTTTGAATAATAAATATTGAATTTATATCAGATGCACTACCCCACAACAAAATGCCGTACGACAAGATGCTGTGAAAATAACTGTAGTAAACAAGTCTGGCAGTGTCGATGTCTGATAGCTGCCTAACCTTCCTAATTGCAAAAACAGTGGAGCTTAACCTATTCGCAAGAGATGATATTTAAATGTTACAAGAAGTCTTTTCATACGTGTTATCTTCATATCTGTATTTCTACAAATCTCAACAAGCACTACCCGTACAGATAATAAAAATTACAACCTTTTTATTATCTGTATTACTTAAAATCGCCATGTGCGACAACCCCTATTCAACTATTCATAATTCTGTCGAATTGTTCAAGCTTGCCTTATTTAAACGCGCATCCCCATTGCGAAGCGGAACCATAGAGATTACAAGTTAACTTTTCCGATCAGAGACACCATAGACAATGGCTTAAATTATATACGGGTGGATTGGCAGAGACGGATCAACCCTTTCGGAGTCATACGACGTATTGGGGTGACAAATTGTTTGCTTGTTGTTTTGTATACATTACCATTCGTTTATGTTTAATTAGAAAAGGAAACAGTTATTGCCCCTAACTCGTTTTCTTTCGCCAGTGTCAGTATAACAGAGTATAACTGATGATTATATATTGAGTGTTAATACATTCTCATATTATAATATTCACTGTTGTGTCATATAAAAGATAGAGTTCTTCTGCTAATAATTGTAGATGAATGCATTCTTAATAATCGTAATCTTAATTTATTCTCCCCCGAGTATGTAGTTTCTGGCTATACATATTATCATAAAAAAAAAGATTTGCACGGAAAAATTGTTCGGTCAATATTAAGGATATGGAATACGTATATACATTAATGTTATAATGAAATCATATTATAATTATCTTGTTATTGTAATAAAGTTCCATTATTGTCTATCCGATTTCATTGAACAATGATTTCAGAGTGATATAAGGCGTCTAACTGAGTATTAGAAGGTAGTAATAACGGGCGGTGACCTAAATAAGCTACGGTCATAACTCATAACAAGGAGGCTCGCTGATAAGAAAGTTTCATTACCCGAACACCGAATTTAAAACCGGGCTTAATCAGGTACGCGGGTTTATCCTGGGGCCACCTGTGTGCTTAGGGCGCGGATCGCTTTGCGAAAAGTCCGTTAATGTAGCGCGTTAGATTAATTCCGCTAACGCGTTAACGGCTTCCAGTTGTAAATAACGCTTTCGTTATCGCCCCTTCGGATAGCCAGTCGGTATGGAGTGCTGTGTGATGCATGGTAGTGTAGTGCACGCCATCTACTTTTTAACACTTTATTTTCCAACTTTAATTAGGTGTTTTCTAACCTTTTATACGATAATTATTGTCCTACATGCGTTTCGTCTGTTGACACTAGTTAAAATAATACGATCCAAGATTACTGACGAAACAAGGCGTACAAGACCATTTATCTATCATCCAGTGAGTAAATAGTACATTTTTCACTACGTTTGTAATAAGAACAGAATAAATTTTTGACGAGAATATATGAAAGAAGGTAACAAGAAAAGACATAAATAAATCAGTTGTTTACCGGGTTTTCGTCACTTGTTAGTAGAGATTAAACAAAATTAACATAAACCTGTATGTTTGTTCGTTTCGTTTAACGCAAGCCAATTTTCTGCGTGCCTCGAGCGGACTAGTACCAGGACGGCAGAGGCGGCAGGAGGCCCCTAACCCCTTTCGCAGTTTGATAAATGGCCAATTACAGCGCGGCCCGCCCCGTCCCTTCTGTTAGCTTGTTGCCTATTTTGAATTGCTTTTGCTTTTTCGTTTAGATTAATATCTAAATAGGATAGATACGGATCCCGCTTAGGTATCTACGTTGTTTTTAAACGTAAATTTTCGCCGGGGATCCTTTTGTTGTCCTCTTTCCTGTCCGCCATTGTTTTAGGTCTTAGCGCGTCTTTGTTTTGCGCCGCCTTGGAACGTGAAAGCTTTGCCTTTTTAATGTCTGCCTCGCTATGAGTGCTTAGTACTTTTGTTCGCTTTTTTTTGTTATCCCGATATTGCTAGCTGGTACAAATAATCAGAGAGAAATGTTTATTTGACATTTTAATTTTATTCACATTATATCTGCTTTACTCTCACCGGGTGCACATTTGAATTTATATTTACCGTCTTTTGTTAAACGAAACGGATGGTTTAGCGAAAAGGTAGTTTTTATTTATCTCTATCCTCTTAAAGTTAGAGATTTGGTTTTAGCATCAATCAAATCAGCAGATCTATTTATTTCTCAAATACTCGTAATTACGAAATCTATCGACATCAAGGGTTGGAAGATTGAAGCCGGTGCCCATGACAATGGTTGACTCAATGCGAATAACAAAAAAAGAAAATTAGACCGAAAATATGGCCGTTCTTTATGTAATTCGCGGGACCAGGTGCTAACCAGCTCTGCAGTCTTAGCTGGTGCCATTGTGTGCGTATCCAACCCTCTGTTTGTTCGGGCGGGATTCATTCCCGGGATAATTGCTCGGTGCCTAACTCCCGCGTTAAATTTTTATCTCGCTGCCTGAACAAATGGGGTCTCCAGTCTTCATTCAGTGAATTTTATCGTTGCTGCAGAGCAAGCGGATTCAAAAAACGATTAGTGTAACGAAATGATTCTAACATTTATTTAAGCGCGTTTGACAATTCATTACAAGCCAAAATCCAGGTCTAAGACCATCTGGTTCTTCACGATGTAGTGCTGTATTAGCTAAATGGCGTTTATAATGTTTTACAGATTTGTTATTAAATGAGTTGTCAATAAAAAAACAATAATTGCGAGGTAAATTTAATAGTATTAACGGTTCAAATCAAACATTAATATGGACATTATTAAGATGGATATTAAGGGCTTTTGTGTAATGACTCAATGAATTGTACCATTATAAAGATATGAATGAAGCAGCTGGATTGTTTGAATTCTTGTTCTTTTAGCATCTAATTTTCACGTCGGCGAGGATTATTACACACCTATTTCAACGCGACACGTGAAGAAAAGGCGCGTCTCTCGGTGGAGCGTGACGGCGAAACAATGCTGTAGGAACAGCGGAAAGTGTGTGACCAATTTACTCTAAATCATCGAGTTAGAATTACATGTTTGATTGTCACTTTAGTGGTCAAATACTATACGTTGTTAGAAGTTATGAAGTTACAATACTATACGTCGGCTCCTCTATACAAGTCTACCTTACACCGTATTTGTTACCAGAATTATTTTGGCAAGGTCCTTTTAATGTTCGATAGCAATTCACATTAGCACCATAATGCTTAAGTCAAAATTCTATCTCCAGTAACCAAATCTATCTGAAGATAGAATATTGAAACCGAACGTTAGAAATTAAGAGGTCTTTTGCAGAGCGAAATATTAATATATCTCTCAACTGTATAAGTTATATTCAGTTCAAATTTCATACGAATCCATAGAGACTTTACAGCGGTACTTCAAGCACAACTTTCGCATTTAGAGCATGGGGTTGTAATGAAAAAATGAACTTGCAATTGTGTCGTTTGTGATTGTCCATTAATTCCCATTTGAAGCGATTTTCTATGATTGATTGTTGTGTTCGTAGGTTAATTGGGCGTCGTGGGAGTCCATTAGAGCGACATGGAACTTTTTTTGCACCTACCATACGCCACGTGGTTAGTTAAATGCTCGTGGCCCTCGACGCCTGTCATCGTTGGACAGAACGGATTTTAACTTGTTTATGTGCGATATCGACCTAAATGTTATGTGGTTATTTTGCCGCAGGAATTTACATCAAGAATATTATTACCATTTTAAATGAAAACTATGAAAGACGGAAATTGGGTAATCTTATTTATTTAGTGCTTAGAACATCGAAAAAAGTTATCCTCTATATGTGTGTTCATTTATTGTCGCGGTTGTATTGACAAGCTGTATATATTTACATAGCCATTAGCTACCTACCCATATTTAGCACAATAATTACGCTAACAAAGTACCAGGGTAACATAAAACCAATACACACAGGCGCCGAGTCAAAAATTCGGTAAGCGATAGACATTAACACGCTGAATGTGAAATCTAAAACGCGTTTCGTGAGGGACAGTGTAGTTAAAGTTGAAACGAAACGATATCCGAAATGGGAATTTCGACGGATTGTCTCAATAACAAATAACATAAAACGCGCGGAGCGTGGGCCACGGACGAATGACCACAGATAGGGCTGGAGCGCTGATCGGCGAAGTTTACTTAGGCCTCCAACACACTGCAAGATATGACTGGACCGGTTAGGTATCAGCCTAATAAACCTGATGAATAATATGATATTTGGATATAAACCCGAATCCCTTACGTTGACAAATCACAGACGATTCGTCGTCAACGATTCCCATTTTAATACGGGTATGGATCACGTTTTGATTTCAAATTAATTTGTTACTCTCTCACATTGCGTGGATTTATAAATTAGCTTGTCGAAATGATATTTGAAATCGACGACACATTTTAAAATCTCGGGTATAAATTTAAGATAAATAATAATTTTCGCGTCCGCATTTTCGTTCTTCATCAGTCTCTTCATTCACTCATCTTAACAAATCGTTAAAAAGTTTTTATCTTTTTAAGTGTACGTGGCAATGAAATAAAAAAGGTTACAAGCACGGCTCAGGAGATAGTGTCAAAACTGAGTTGAGCGTCATCTTTTTTTTTAATTGGGGTATTAACCGAGCTCGGATAAAGACGCGGAGCTATTTTTTTCTCTCTTTTCAACTTTTATTTCTCTCCAAGTTTATCAGATCAGCTTACCGTTTGAATTTAAAGGTACGTCAGGACTGTAAGAAGTTTTAATAGAATTGAACGCAATCAGATCGTCCGGAGAGGAAAGTAATTCTTATAAATTCCCTGGATCCACAATTCACGGAATCCGTCCGGCTAATGCATATTGCTACTTTAATATCGGAGTGGGTTAAGATTATGTTACGTGTCATTTAATCGTCTGTTTTAAAGTAACTGATATATTTACACATTTAAATTGAAACTTTCAAATAAATATGTATTGTTTAAATGAGTACGATAACGAGACGACGCAATTCGTGCTTCGATTCATCGGTGTTATTCGGAGAGCGAAAGAAACGTATTTTATATTGAACAGTTAAATCCCACCACTAAAATGTGTGACGACCGCATAGGCTTTGCTTACCCGATTAAACTGTCAGCATTTTTACATAAACCAACTTCGGAAACGTTTCCCGTTCGCGGATCAGGAACGAATATCCGAACGGGGGAGGAATGTAGATAAAACAAAAACGAAAAAGCGTCACAGAAAAAAAAAGAAAGAAGAAAAAAAGCGCAAAATTTGGTCACTGCCGGCCGGCCATAAATCGGACCGAGCTCTAATACCTTTGTTTGCGAAAACCGAAAACTGCTGCGGATTCGGGCGCAACTAACAGCACCATATTTCACTCGTTTCCACTTGACCGACTGCTGTACGCCAGAGAGCGACAGATGGATTCGCCACGTTGACACGCGTCAAAACCTCTATATTCGTCGGTGTTAGAGGCCATAGTCCATTGTAGCCGGTATCAATTTATAATGGCGCCTGTTATTAGTTACTGGGGGATTTTATTAGTAGGCATTTTCTTAGCGTACATGGCCTCCCGGCCGAGCGACATCTAGTGGCGGGCGGAGGCATGTCAAAACTATTGGAGCGCCGCCAAGAGCTTTGTTAAAAGGTCTGGCATCGTGAAAGCTTGCGCTAATGCCACATATATATTATTTCGCGTATAACTAGCTGCGCCGGTTAAATATAGCGAGATTCGGGAGATATACAAGAAGATATTCACGTTAATATGCCGCTAAGGTTTAAACGTCTGCCAAATGGAATTGGCCGCCTCCGAATTTAATTTGCAAACAGCTTTTTTTTTAATATCGCTTCATTGCGGCCACAGTCTGAAATCGCGAAGGGAAACCTATTTTAGGCCTTTACGTATTAAGTACATTGCACTATTACAAGTGAAAACAAGTTCGTAACATATTAAGAAGTAATGTCGTATGTTGTTGTCATTTTAAGTCTTGTTTTCGCTTATAGGAGGAGGCTTAGTGCAAACTAGTCGTCGTTGGCGCCTACCCCAAAAACCTACCCGGGCTAATCGCTGCCCAATTCTTCGAGCTGTGCCGCCGTCACGGTATTACGTCTATATTAATAGATTCGCCGGGGCCGGCAACAATGGTGGCCGGGGCACATTAGACGGGGCACAATGGAGAGCCTGATTTATCGCCGCAGGGATAAGGCGCCCCGCCCGATGGCAAAGGGATTTTTCCCCGGTGCAAGCGCTGAAACGTACGTACGTGGATCCGCGTGTTTTTCTAGGGCTTTCAGTTGTTCCTTTCTGGAGTTTTAGTTCGGTCGCCCCGAGTTTTCCATAATCGGATGTAGATTGGCATCTACGGATAGTAGAGTGACGACATGTTGATGATTATGGAACGGTGACGTCACTCCACTATCCGTAGTGCGGTAAAGGACTGTAATTAGTGATGAAGATAATTGGCTATCGCTAATGGTGTAACGTTTTGTTGAGCTTTACCTCTAACACAAATCAAACACAATCGTGTTTGTTCATAAAGAATATGGAGATTCGTTGAATTTGCGTACATATCCGCCAATTGTTGTCCTTCCATAGGAATAAACTGCTGAAGGAATTACGTTTGCAAATTATTATTTTGCGAAGTTTATTTGGAAAAAAAAAAGAGAATGGTATCAACAACCCCGGCATCTGACTTTAAATGAATAGCGAATCGTAAGATAATCAGCACTAGAGATGAATAATGCCTGGGTATTTAACTTTCAAAGCTTTAAGTTATCGCTTTTGGTTGTAAGACCTTCACTACGCATATTTTCTAGCAGCACACGAATGGTGTACGCTGACCACTACTGGATGCCGTTATTAAACGGAAGTCGTAACAAGCAATTGCGTCTGAGGCGTCAGTGGAACCCGATCGAGCCGATTGCGTCTCCCGGCTGCGCAATTAAGAAGCAGTAAGCCTCTGCGACGAGGACCGCTCGATTCAATGCGGTTTATAGCAATCTCGGACTTGCCTCGGCACACGCTTCAGTTATTGTGTGTGCCGGGCGAATGTCGCCTCACCAAATCATGTGGAGGCGAGAAACTGCCATCTCGGTACATTTTATATGGGCAAAACTGAATTTAACGTAGTTTAGGATGCAACATTGCCATGGCAAATGAGAAATATATAAATGTTCCATATAGCCATAAATGTTAATTTTTCCATTCATTTAGTTTAATTTAATTAACGCTTTACAAAACTTTACAAATCTGCTCATAATTCAATGGAACTACCGTTGAATTATGAGCAGATTTCTTAATTCTGTCTGACAGAATTTATGTTACTTTGATGACATTACATGAGACATTATAGGTCATTTTTTGGTAGTAGTATTTATTGTGGAATGGCATAAACGACTGTTTTTCTATGAGAATTGCCTTGAACTGTTGTTGCAAATGTCAAGGGGTGGCGGTTATCACTTAACATCAAGTTAATTTCTCGCTCGTTTGCCACCTCACGCTGATCTTCTGTAATGTCATGGGTAATGCCTCGGGCAAGCCTGCCCATTCGTGCAACAACAAAAGTTGTTGCGTGGTCCTACCAAAGTAAAATAGAATAAGCAGTTTAAATATCTTTGAACTGTGGTAGGGCCATGCAATAGTGTTGCACGAATGGGCTGGTCGGTCCGAGTGAGTACCACGACCTCACAGAAGACCGGCGTAAAGTAGAAGTGTTTGACGTCTGCGTTTCGTCTGGTGAGTGAGGTAGCCGGGACCCACTTTATTAAAAGGTGGCAACGCATCTGCGGCCCGGGTGTTGCAATGCCCATGGGCGGCGGTTATCACTTAACATCAGGTGAATCGCTAGCGAGTTTGCCACTTTCACGCATAAAAAAAATCTTACTCCACACCACAGAGTTCGAGTATTTTTAATGAAGTGTTTAAGATATTTTATGATCGGAGTCTTTAAAGCTTCCTAGACGACCAATGAAGCGCAGCGCTGTGCAATGGGAGAATGAAAAAGTGCGTTTTAATAACGTACCGCCGTGTCGGGCGATTAACAATAAATATGATGCCTTGTGCATTAAATCGCTTTTTGAACGCCGCGTGCGGTCGCGCCCTAGCTGAGTCCAAACCAACGCAGTGCAGCAAAAACGCCGGCTCCATGCCAACCTTTTTAATTATTCAAAATGAACATTGCGAACTGGCCATGAGTAATGGCTCCCCGACTCTGAGACTATCTTGAAATTTTCATACAACTTGTGCGAAGTTACGCCGCTGGTGGACCCGTGGGTCCGGCTGGGAAATCCAGTTTAAAATGATCGATTCGTATTATTCAGGATTTCAACGCCATTGCCTAAGTTGCCTTCAAAATGTATATAGTTCCCTATTTTCTACTTAGCGTAGTTACGCCTTAGCAAAGTCGAGTTAACAAAACCGTTCCACAAGCTAACTCGAGGGAGACGACAAGTTGCGTAGAAACAAAATGTAAATCGCCCCCGCCCTCCCCACGTCACCGTTTGACAGATCAGAGCGGGGCCTACTAAATAATAAAATTCGCTCACCTTCGCACTCTTTCCTTATTCAATGTAACTCCTAAATACGTCGGATACGTTACAGATACGCGGCGGAGCAGACACGTACAAAATGAAAATAGGGGCGGGGGGGTGGCTTCGAGTGGGGGAGGTATGGAAATGCTGGTCAAATATATCATCCGGTGCCTGACAGGCCAATTCTCTTATCGCGCGCGCGCGGCTCCGGCGCGATCTAAGCGGGCTTAGCTAATATAAAATGGTTTTAAATTCAAGTTTAATTCGGGCTATCTGCACCGCCCCGCGCCCCGCAAACGCGGACCGGGGCGCACACACAATGGCGGCCGATTTACGGGTTTGACGGATCGCGAATATTTTAGCGGGCGCACGGCGCTCGCGAGAGTTACGCGGCCTCCGGGGAGGGTCTTAGGGAAGGCCGGCTCCGTTAGAGATGATTATATTTCAAAGACTTTGCACCGCCCGTATATACGCGCTTTGGTTACGGGCAACTTTTCGCGCAATCACGCGTTGAGATTATGGGCATAAATTCACCTGATCCCACCGACTCGCTAACACCGATCCTATGGAACTTTAGCTTTTTCGCTTTTAAGCTGCCTATGGAGAGCTGATAAACATCAACTTTATGACATTTAACTTATGAAAATCTTTTTTGCTTGTCTAAAACGTATAAAAAATTGGAAATATTAGAAGATTGCTCTCACTGAGTACCAGGGTCACATAAAGCTCGTTGATCGCGAGCGCGTCACACGTCCAGGCGGTCGCGCACAATGCCCTGCCTGCGTTATTGTCCAACAACGCGTGAAACGCCCTGACAAACGATGACAGGCCGCCGGCCGGCGCGGCCTCCGCCTCCCGCGATTTATGATATCCTATTACGAGATTTAATGACACCGGCCCTCACAGTTTGTTTACGGAAGTGGCCCGCTGGCCGATTTCGCTTGCGACGTCTTCCGGTACGCATCGAAAGTCCGCGCGAACCGAATTTTATTTCAAACTCATACCAGACTCTTGGAATAATCGGAAAAGCAAGTACGATCCTTTCCTCTCATAAAAAATACTTTCGTTATTTAACGCATCCTACCGTTTCTTCATCTTAAACGGTTAATAAATGAGGAACAATAATAATGAGGAACAAACAAACCGGTTCGTAAACTTCGTCCCTCCGAGCCTCGTCTAAGAAAACACCAGGAGCGCAACGCTGCCGAGGCGATAGAGGAAAAATTACCATACGCTGTTCAAACAGCGGCGGACAATCTTTGCGCTGTCAGCCGCGTCCGACTCGGGGCGCCAAATATTTGCGAGGGTATCATAAATTCAGCGCCTGCCGCTCGTCCTACCGGGATAACATACATAATGCGGCGCGCCACGAATCGGTAAACATATTGTAATGGAAAACGCCGTCATTGTTTGCACTTTATGATGTCCTGGTTGTTGTAAACTGACGCGCATCGCTCGCGGTGGAGAAATGAAAATGATAAATAAATTTTGCGGGAATATGATGAGGACTTTGATTCCTATCTGTTGTTTATTATATGTAAATGTTGTCCCCACCACTGTTTCTGTTTTAATGATATCTGTAAAATAATTCGAAGGCGTTGAATTCTCGAAGCAAATCTTTACGATCCAGCTGACGTTATTACTCGATAAGCTGCAGTTCCGAGACTGCTTACTGCTTCGATTAAATACAAAAGGTAAATTAAATGGTTGTAAATAAGGCCGCGAGGCGGTGCGCCGGGGAGCCGATATTAAATCCGCAAGTTTATAATGTACGCGACAGCTGTTTGGGTGCCATCTTGCCGCTAGTTGCGTTAAATTATCCACTCCTTAATAAGCTGGATGTCAGCAGTTGCGTACAGCCACCGCCCCGCACTCCGCGAGCGAATTAATACATAAGCAATAAATAGACTACACTTGCCCCCTTATGAATAAATACACACTACATGAATATTTCTTGAACATATTTCTTGGAACTTGTTTTAACAATTCTCGTCTCATGACGATTCTTGTGCTTGTCTCATGGACCGATTGGCATATCTTTAACTTCTAAAAAAATATTTTTTTTATGTGAATAGTTGCCAAGCGAGCAGACGGTTCACCTGATGTTAAGTGAATACCGCCACCCATGGACATCTGCTATACCCGAGGGTTCCAGATGCGTTGACAACCTGTTCAAGTTGGGCTCTGGCCACCTCACTCACCAGACGAAACGAAAGTATTATACTTCCACTTTACGCCGGTCTTCTGTGAGGTCGCAGTACTTACCCGGACGAGCCTGCCCATTCGTGGCCCAACTACCGTAAAACATAAAATCTTTTAAGTAATAAAATTCTTATATGTTACGCACTTAAAATTAGCCAAACCATACGTTGATAAATAACAGGAAACTTAAAAGTTATTTTATTTTTGTTATCTGTATATCAATGATAAAACAGCAATTTCTTTTTCACTCTACTCCTAAGTTAATACGAAGTACTTAATAAGACCTATGTGTAATAAAATGTTTTTACTTGACATTAAATATATCCATCGAACTTATTTGATTTTGATTCATCATTGAGGTTTATTCATCGAATATATGTTATTGAGCGGTGGTAAGGTATTTTTATTTAAATAATAGTTTACAGGCTTCTAGCCTTTGTCAAATTCGAAATGTAATTCTGCATCTAAGCAAAGTACATGATTGTTGTCAAATTAAATAAATAATTTACGAAGTCCGCACAAGAAGACCTAAATTCTTGATCACCTTTAAGATTAATAAGGAAAGATATGTAAATACTTTGGATGATTGATAAAACGAAATAACTAATGAGTTTCATCAGGAGAATTAATTACACGATATGCCGCGAAACTATTAGCGGTATCGCATGTTTACTAACACATCAGTTTTTAATACCTGTTATAGATTATCAGACCTTACCTGAAGGTTAATTGTTTCATAAGGTCCAACTTAAATAAGGGTCCATAAGAGCACCGCTCGTGGCATCGAACCGTACGAGAAAAAAATAATCACACATAATACGCGGCGCGGACGAAAAAATAACGAAGGAATACCATCAAATATGTTCGGTATGCGACGTCCGAGAGATCACATCAGAAATTTAAGCCTTCAAGCGAGAGGAGCGGGAAAAAGAAACAAGAAATAAAAAGAGAAGAAGGAAAAAAACGACAGAAAAGTCTGACCCCGCGCTCGGACGCGTAAATTCGAATCAAAGAGAATCAAATGTCATTTTATGAATACGATTTTAAAAAGATCGCTTAGGTCCCCCGCGGACGGCTCGGGGATTTTCTTGATGGTAACACAGCGTTTTATTTTTTTTGGGCGTGCGTTCGATTTAAATGTGATTTTACTTTTTTAATGGAACGAGGCATTTTGCAGTCGGCCGTCGTTGGTTGTCAGCGTAAATAATAATAGTCGTCATTACTATTAATTGAGTTTCATATAGAAGAGGAATAAGTTATATTTGTAACAGTTACGATTCGAAGTTGAAGCTGTTTTATTATTTTTAAGACGGAATAAATAATGTATACTAATGGCTTGCTTTGTAGTTTCTGTGATTAAAAACGACATAGGAGATTACTTAAAGGCTGAGAATAATAATAAACAATGACTCAGTGGCGGAGTTGCTAAGCTGTTAGCATCGCTTGTGGTTTATGGTTCGATTCCCAACGCGGAACAAGAATCTGTGAGACCTACATATAATTGTTCCGAATCCGGGTGTCCTTTTAACTGTTGACGTCATACAGGCCGTGATAAACTTATTTAATATAATTTATACCATAAACAGCATGATTCACATGTGCCGACTCCACCTAGGTGAAATAAGGCTAGGAGAAAGTAGAAGAGACCGTACATTGATTAAGGTCAAATCTATGTCTTTGAAGGCCTATGCGGAGACAATAATGCGTCATTATATCATGCCCCATCACATCTATCAACTTCCTTATAAAAATGTTCTCATTCTTTCCACGATACTGATGCCAGCTCATGTGGTATTTCCCCTTGAAATATAAAGGAAAGTAAAAAATACTGTTCAAATGTATTTCTGCATCTCAGTTTACTGTTTTGCCTCCAACAACAAGTTATTCATGAAAAGTAAAAGAGTAAATTATTAAGAAAAAGCAAAAAAAAATTAAGTTTAATTCGTAATTGGTATCGTGATTTTTTTTAAAGCTTAATCTTTACATTTTGTTGAATATCATTCGCTTCAATATAAAATACGGCGAAACTTTATTTCTGGATCGCGCCGCGTAAAACAAAACCGCAAAAACGCGGCCATTACAATTTTGAATCATATGTACATTTAGTACGCGCCACGTAACAGCATGTGGTCGGACTCAGGTTGGTATTTTTTTTACATTAATTTACCACCTTGTAATATTTCTATATGTGAAGGAATAATACCTTTTAAAATGTTAATGTATTTGATATCCGGCCACTTGTGGGAATAATTAAAAAAGTGTCGCGCAATAAACGAGCGGCCATTGTCGAATGTCACAGATTAAAAATTTAAATGGATTCGAATGTAATAATTTCGCGCCTAAACAAATTGTTTTTTGTATCGGTTACTTTAATCTTTGATCGTAGAAATGATAGCTGTTTATTTAGTTTTTTCATAATACTAGTTTGATATCGGTTTGGTGTACGTATTTATTTTAACCGTTAGTTATGGTTAATATTTCTGTCACAAAGTCTGATTACAACCTACTACAGGTTACAAATGGGCACACTTTTTACAAACTTTAAACCTTACTCCTTTTTTCCACTCTCCGTTCAGATTTTTTAGCTTAGCTTTAGGATGATCTTGAAAACAATATCATTTGCACATTATTCGCGTAAACACGAGGTTCGTTATCTTTTAGGCGTCGTTACATAACCGAAAGGGAAAAAATAAATACGTCAGGCACACGAAACGTACGGCCCTCGGACCTCAGCCCCCGCCGCAGCATCATTTAAGATTGAACAAACAGACCCCAGATAAATACGCTCTCGTATATCGAGATGCTATCGCCTCGGCCTCGGGTTGCATCCCGACATCGGCCTCAATCATACTGCGTTCGGATCGGGTGACGCGGCGACGCGAACCGCGCTCTTACTGCCTGGCAATAAGGGTGAACTTCCCGGTGTTACCACGGCTCCTAATTCGATTAGAGTAAATGATTACACGCGTGGCGGGTCTTTGGGAATGCGTCAGCGAGGTGGGCTAGGGGTTTTCGTCAAGCGATTGCGACAAACACCATTCCCGTTGTGAGCGCCGAGCCACCGATTCACCTTACGAATTTTCCACCACACTCAACCGCAAATTCAGCCTAATCTTGATGGTATTCAAAACCCGTTTCGCTAAATTAAGTTAACAATACCTAGCTAAGAATACCCCAAAGAAGAACTTTATTGTTTTTCGATTTAGATAGTATCTAAAATATTATTTAGCAATACCCTGCTATTAATACTCAGTGCTCAAATAGATGTCTAAGTTAATCATTTTCTTTTATAAATTGTTACAAACCTCATTCACGGTATAGACATAAATAATAATCACTAAATAATCTTTTTAATAACATGGAAAACTATGTTTTCAGGTCAGATTTAAGTGTGATAGTAAGTGATAAGGTTCAAATGCGATTAATCTCATAAGTGATCAAAACAACTTAAAACATTCCAGAGTTAGTTAAAAATCGACCTTGTTCAACTCTTACCCATTACCGCAGTACTGAATCAAATTGCGCTTACCTGTAATGAGGAGAAAGAAAATTAGTATTTTCTAGTAACACTTAAAGTTATTCTCAAGTTAAAAAAAACACTTCCAAGTTATAGCTTTGCTATAATGTTTTCATCATTAACAACTCCTGCGATAATCTTAATATTACACAACTTACAGTGTTAAATGTCGAAATATTTAGCTGTATAAAAGCAATATACCAGTTCCCCATACCTCAAAAGCTTACTGATGACAAATAAGTTGCCATCAATAAAGTTTAGTGAGCACACGACGGTGTCACCGTTGCTAATGGGTTATTGGCCACTCAGCTTACAGGTGGTGTAATCTTTAAGTTACAGCTAGGCCGTCGACTACGCTAGCTCGCTTTAGCAAACTAGTCAACGGAGCTAAGCGAGTTGGTTACATCAGACAAGTGATTGCGATGCCTCGATTTTACCGATAAAGACAAATGTCGAAGTTTCGTGTGGTATCGATAATAGCATATTTGGTGACCATTGGGCTCGTTGAAGTTGTGGAGCAAGTCTTTCCTAACCACGGATTTAGACATGCTAGACATTCGATGGGCACTAACTAACGCTGGGCGGTGCTTTAAAGTTACTTCACTTTAGAATCCTGACCTATGATTTTAAGTAGAGCCTATTTTCGCAACCTGATATAGCAAAATATTAGATAGTTTTAGATAGTCATATTAGACTGTTAAATTTAATAGTAAAAGTAGCATTTTGTCGTGATAACAATAGTGTTGTAGAAACTATAGAGTTTCTTGTTCTATTTCATGATGTATTTTAAGTGAAAGTTTGCCAAGCAGGGTACACCTGATGTCAACTGATATCCGCCATCCATAACACCTGACGGGTGGCAGATGCGTTGTCTACCATTAAAATATGGGCTCCGATCACCCCACTCACCAGACGAAACGCAATCGCGTGCCGTGATAGCACAGTCAACTTTTAATTCAACATACTCGAGCAACTCGAGTTCAAAACCCGGTACCAGCACCAACGAAATTGTCAATTTTAAATGCTGACTTATCACATGCTCAGCGGTGAAGAGAAAGCTCCATATTTTTGAAATAGTAAAAAACAGAAGTGAAGTCCGCCAATCTGCAGTACCCTAATACCATCTATACAGAGGAGGCCTCTGCCCAGCAGTGGGATATATACGCGCCGGTATTCTGAGACTTTTACAGGACAAGCCTGCCCATTCGTCTAACGGAAGCTACTGCGTGGCCCTGCCACAGTAAATTATATAATTTAATAAGCAACCTTCGATGCCTTGATTGCTGCTACCCTCTAATGATTTCAATGTGATTTGTCCCATCGCATCGCGTCACGGTAGCTGGGTGCGAGAGTTGAGCCTGTCATAGGCGCTCGACCCGCGAGAGCATATCATTGCAGCTGTCCCATTGTGCTGTCGCCCTGGTGGCTTGCGTGCCGCGGCCGACGTGAGCAACACGCGTGGACGGGCGCGAAGGTCCCTAATTGGGCTTAATTCGGCTGGATCGCTCCAACGCGCTATCACGTCGCGTCCGAGCACAATTGAATCCGACGCGGAACAAATTGCTTGATTGCGAGGGTTTTGGGCAATTTTCCCGTCAGCCGGTGACGGCCCCGGCTGGGCTCACACGGTCCACGCTTCGCCGGAAAGCGTAAAGAGCTATCATGTCACTCTATACTCGTATACTCGGCGGTCATGTATGCGGCTTCCAAAAATCCTTTAACGTTAAATGACAAATTGAGCTGTTTTGTGGACTCTTTGGGCTCTCATTGCAAATTTATATGCGATTCGGACGAGGTAAGTTAGAATTAGCGTATTGAAATTTGTATTCAAACATATAACTGACCATTTATACGTGTTGCATCGAACAAGTTCACAAACTCACTAACAATGCGGACGCTTTTAAACTATTCTAGAAATGTATGTTAACACCGCTCCATCGTCAATTAGGGCAAGTTGAATTTCCATTCTCCAGTGCTCTACGTGACGAATAAAAGTGCCATGACGTCATTAACGGCAGCTCGACACCGGGGCAGCGCCGCGCTCCGAAGTCTCTACCTACGCGGCGTCCGATTCCCCGCTTCCAGCTTTTCCTTCGGATTTCCTTACGCCTTGGCGGTTTTCCGAGCGAAGTGGGAAAAAAAACCACCTCGGCGCCCGTCCTGCTCTCGCGCGCTGCACCTTGCACCGGCCATTATCTCCTTTTCGCTCTTTTGTTTCGACACGCCGACATCTCGCTCGGCGCTCCGCCCATCCGAGTCGTCTGCCCGCCGCCGCCGCGTCCGTCCCTTTCGCTCGCGCGCGCGCGGCGCGGCGCGGGCGGACGGCGCGTTTTCGGCGGGCTTTTCGAAAAAGGAACGCGAAAAAGGCGCGAGGCTCGCCGCGCTCCGCACCGGCGTGCGTTATTAGCGCGTATTCCGATGACGCGTCGCGATTGCGCCCGGTGTCGGGTGACGGCCCGTGTTTACGACGGTGCCCTCTCGCGGGCTCGTGTTACGCGGCCGCGCCGATCGCGCCGATAAGCGATTAGCCTGCGCGAAGCAGTCGCGCCCGTGACGTATTGCGCCCTTTCCACCGATGGCCCTTCGTTAGGGCGCTCATTGCGCGCCCGTAAGCCGATATCGAGCTTTCTCTTATTGGCAAATCACCAGCCCGCTCGCAGCGATCGCTGCTCGATGCCTATTTGTTATTTTATTTGTACGGTATAACAGCACACGCCGTAACTTGAGCGGCTAGTCAATTTTTATTTCTTGATAGTTATCATGTCATTGATTCGTATCGTCTCATTTCAATAGAGACACTATATTAAATCATTTACGACTTCTTAGTAATAAAAACTTATGAAGAACGATAGAAGGCTCGAACTTACAGTCTCTATCATTATGCATTTGCAAATGTCCTAACATTCAATTTCAAATTTAGAAGAGAAACTCTGAGAAGTCGTCTACTGTCGTTCCGGCGTTGTATATGATCAAACCAATAGCGATTCTGCTTCCGTTTATGAGAGCGGGTCGACGCTGCGTAATGAAGCCATCAGTGGTCCGTCGGAGGTCTCACATCGCCATTGTGAGCGTCGCGTCCATAAATTCGCGGCAATTTAAGGAGGCCCGGGGATTGTGCTTCCGCGATGGAATGCGGCCCGCAAAAACCGCCCAAAGGCGGCGCGGGGGCCTTTTTGCCCGGCATAGTTTACGCGCTGTGCTAACTGAGGCCTGGGAACTGCTCCCCATGCGTGGGAGTGGAGTGTCGTTCACTTATAATTTTTAGTAGAGTACGAATACTCTACGACCGAAGCCTCTTAAAGGGAGTGTGTAAAAAACTACGTAATGCATTTCTAAAGTCCTGGTAATCCTTTTGTGGACAGTCCCAGTTACCCAATCCAAAAGTCGTTTCACGCTGTGAATGTCTTTTCGGCAAAGTTCTTATACTCCAATTGCACCTCCAACCGTAAAGAAGATTACTTTCATAGACTAGGATGTATTTCCGCTTCCGACTACCGTGTCTTGTTTACAGCTCAATCATTGTTAACTTTAATCCAACGCGCGTCTGAAGTCACATACGAACACGTAACACTCGCACGGGAACCGAGCGGTAAATCAAAAGCGGGGGAGCAATTTCGAGTGCAAATAAAAAGCCGCCTTCCGCGCTGAAAAACGTTATTATCTTTATAATTGCACGTCAAGTCGGGCGGGGGCGCCGCGGGCCGCGTCTCCAGGTGATATATCGGCCTATGAATACGCGATGCGGTGATGGTTACCTCGCTGAGACCCAACGCGACATGCACGGGATTGGGGCACGTGCTGCGCCTCGTTACACAAGACCCCGCGGTTCGTGTGTAACGAAGACAGACGCGCAGGTGGCTGGCGACATTACGTGCGTTCCCTCCGAGCGGGCTCTGATTAAAATAGCGTCGGGCAAACGAGGACGTACGGCGGTCTGATCCGTGATCTGTTATTTAACAGTATCATGTCTTATTTCTGTTGCGGAGTCACGAATTGTTCGGTCCGCAAACTTCCATAGCGGTAAATATCGTCTCTCCGTTTCACTGTGACAGCGTCACGCAGCAGCCTCGAATGGGTAGGCTCGTCCGGGTAAGCACATCGACCTTACAGAAGACTAATATAGGAAGTGTAATACTTTCGCGTTTCGTCTTTTGACTGAGGTAGCCGGATACCAATTTTTAAAAGGTTGTCAACACATCTACAAACATCGGGTGTAGTAGATTTATTTTTTCTGTGGGTGGCAGTATTCACTTAACATCAGGTGAAAGGGCGAAGGCACCGAATCCGCCCGGTTCGTCCGCCACGCGGGCCGACGGCCAAAAGGCGTCATTACGGGCGTATCGTAAAAAGGAACAAAGCGCCGCCTAACAATGAAGCTTACGAGAGTAAATCGAGCCGGAAAACCAACAAGCGGGGCAGATAAGGCCGCGCCGCCGCGCCGTTAACGAACTCGCGCTATCGATGTCTCTGTCAGAGGCCGTCAAAAGCGTGACGGGCGCCGTGTCAGCTTAACGAGGCACCGAGAGGCGCACCGTCAGCGTGACACCGCGTCGGGGGCGACCTCCCTTTAACAGCGCCATCTCGCGACGAGCGGACGCGACGACGCCGCAGTCAACGACCCGCCGGACGTCGAAATAAAACCGCCGCGACCGCGAACGGAGTGAGACGGCGAGGAGCACATAAAGATGCAAATGGACCGCGCCCCCAGGCGGCGGGCGGCGGAACGAATTTATCGCTGCGCGCGCACCTCATTATCGCTAACAAGCGCTCGAACTCTTTCTTTACCCCGTAAATATTATATTTTACACCTGCGTTAAAACGCACGATGCGCGCACCTTGGCCGGCTAGCAATTAGTGCACCGCGAGGCGCACAGATGTCGCGGCGGCGCCGAATACGACTCAATTCCCCTCTCCTGACAGTCCGATGCCGACGAGCGAGTTCAGAGCGTACAAACACTCAAGGGATAAAACTTTTAATACACTCGATTGAATCGATACGCGAAATGGCTGCGGAATGACGCCGTCACTCGTTTACTGCCATGTACACTTCAAATCGAACAAAGAAGCTACTTCGCGTTCATTAACGCAGTATTGATACGTATGCTCGTACAATTGCGGACTCGATAAGAACGGGTATGAAGTTGGATCAGAAAAGTACAGTTTCACGGTAAGTGGTGCGCTTTGGGGATCTCATATGTCCAGCAGTGGGCTAATAAACATAGCCGTGATGTCATAGACGTACTGACGAATAAGACATGGTTTCATTTTAAGGAACTCCCTTCGGTTGGACTCTGCTAGGTTGTCTGGTCGAAAGTAAAGTTACCCTTGCATAATAGTGGTTGCATTAGGACTGGGTACTCCAAATGCCGATCATTATTATAAAGCATTGCTAACAAGATATAATAATAAGAGCCGTGATAGCTCAGTGTCCGGGCGCTCGCCTTTAATTCAATACACTCGAGCAACCTGAGTTCGATCCCCGGTGCCGGCACCAATGAAATTGTTAATTTCAAGTGCTGAATTATCACGTGCTCTGCGGTGAAGAAAAACATCGTCAGGAAACCTGCAAATTTTCGAAATAATAACAAAAAAATACATTTCGATGATATGTGAAGTCCGCCAATCCGCAGTGGGCCCGCGTGATGGACTACGCCCTGATACCCTCTGTACAGAGGAGGCCTTTGCCATATATCATCATCATACCATATATCGTCGCAAATTACGTGGCAATCGAAAAGCGTTTGTTTCGTCACTATATAGTATAAAACAAAGTCGTCCCGCTGTCTGTCCGTCCCTACGTACGCTTAGATTTTTAAAACTCCGCAACGGATTTTGATGCGGTTTTTTTTTATTAGATATAGTGATTCAAGAGGAAGGTTCATATGTATAATATGCGAGTCGCTAGTATAGTACAAAAGTATCTTGCCGTTTTAGTTTCTGGACATGTCCAAGCGAATCGTTCTCAAGTGGATAGATAAAACATTGCGTGCATATTTGCATCACTCAAGCGGAGGTCAAACGGCATTCCCAGGTCCATAAGAGATGCACATAACGAACGCCATGTCGCCGCAGTTCGGCCGTGTCCTGAGGTAAATTAATCGCGAGCATTGAGGCCGCCGACGCCCCGGTGTGGTCCGGTTTTTTGCCCGAAAGGTTAATCGATACAAAAAGACGCTCGCGTCGTCCACTTAATGGGGCGGAAACACGAGGAATCGCACGCGATTTCTGGCGGCCGAACCGCAGTGTTCAGGATGGACATTGATGACGTGGCACTGTAACATCGTTGTTGGATGAGTGTTTCGAAAGAACGAAGGAAGTTTGTTCGACATAACACAATAGTATCAAAAATGTGTTTTTTAATCCTGTTTTTCCAAAATCGAAAACTTTACAGTATCCACGTTAATTTATTTATTTTCGTTCCGATTCGTCAGTAATCCAACATCAGTACAGATTTAATGAGTAAATTTTTATAGTGTATTCATTGGCAATCAGGAATTACAGGCTGTGATAATGCTTAAGGTTTACCAATGTTTCTACGAACAAGATTCGAAGTGAAGAAAATAATAAATAAAGTGTAATGAAGTTAAATTACATTAAACTGTCTTCCCGAGCTAGTGGTGAAGTTATGTTTGCATGTAAGCTTAACTGGTGCTTGTTCGTTAAGAGTGTAAGTTTTGGTGCACAAAGGTGAAATGTATGTTGTTCATTTTTGTCATAATGCAGTTTATGTCATACTTAATTCGTAAAACTTGCAAAAAAACAAAGTTATTAAAATCGACAGTCTTTCTTTATGAGTCAATAGCTTGAGTCTTAGAAAGAGTTTGAATTCAATTCAAACGCCGCAGAATACAAGCAAAGGTCGGATTAAAAGGAAGAAAATAGACTCTCACCCCGCCGACCATTATCCCCCCATTTGCGCAGTATATATACATCATGTACCAGGGCCGCACGGGCGCAAGGTGTGTTACGCCACATGAGCCGGAATGTGCGGTGAATTTTCCGGATGCCTTCCCAATGATTTCCTCGGAGACCGCCGGCCCAGATACGGCGGATTTCGATACGATAACGCTTCTCAATTTCTGCTCGCCCGGTATTTCTACTTATAGTTTCGCCACGCCCCGGAATATCTACCCGGGACGAGTTTACCTGCGCGCCGTCTGGGAAATTGTCCGTGCGAGGAAATTTACTCACTTAGATACTGGGCTCAGAGCATTGACAAAATCCAATACTACTTTCGGCTCTATATACGAATTTGCATAACGTCATTATATAAGCTTTGATATCATTATAGTATAAAACAAATCTCCCGTTGTTTATACACTTAGATCTTTTAAACTACGCGACGCATTTTAATGCAGTTTTCAGCAATAGATAGAATGATAGATGATTCAAGAGGATGGTTTGTGTGTAGTTGCATATTGTAGTAGAGAAAAGCTGAGAAATTGAAAGATTTGTAGTGTGGTAGAGTGATACGAAGAGATCCTGTAGTATAGACTAATCATAGTCATAATATTATTGATCACTTCACACATTAGTATCTACATTTTATACGTGCGAAGCTGGGTAGGGTCGCTAGTTTTATATGTTCATTTAAAAGTCTGTAATGGAAAAGAAATTAATATATTTCTTAAGTGTACGTGTCTCAAGTTTCATATGGCACTTTCCCAGACAGCACAAACAATCCTGTCGAGTGTGCGACCTTCCTTGTGATTGCTTAGTAACTAAAGAAACTTTTATGTCTCATTTGCGGAGAGTCGATCAAATCAAACACTCAAGTGATTGATATTAGGGAAACCGGTGCGGTACCGTAGTAAATTGGACATGAGAGACGCGCACGGTGCGGTCCGCCTTAAATATGTATGATCTCGGCTTCATATTTCCTGTGCGCCCTCCCCCGGGACCCGGGGGTATCAATCGGCGATATTCGGTATCTCTTATGCCGAATATCGCCGGCTACTGCAATCCCTCGGATGCCGACTGAAACAGTTAGATCGCGGTGTATTTCGCCTCCTCAATTGAGATCTTTCGTCGCATGGTCGCGTCTTTACATGATAAAGTCACAGTCGAACATGACCTTTACGTGTTTTAAGTGGATCTTTTTTATCTTTAGATTATATCCAAGCCCACTATATTAAAAGATGGCAGCGCATCTGCAACCCTACGGGTGTTGCAAATGTCCATGGGCGGCGGTTATCACTTAACATCAGGCCAGCTCGCATAGAAATGCAGCATATTGGCTTTGTCGAGGTGATGGTGAATACATTTTCGGGGAACCTCGTCTACCGTCTACGCTGTCAAGTAGAATTTACGTAAAGCATTGCTAAACGCATGAGATGCATCTGAGGTAGAGCCACGCAGCAGTTTTTGCACGAATGGGCAGGCCCGTCCGGGTAAGTACCACGACCTCACAGAAGACCAGCGTAAAGTGGAAGTATGACAAATACTTTCGCGTTTCGTCTGGTGAGTGAGGTGGCCGGAGCCCAATTTTCAAAAGGTTGTCAACGCATCTGTAACCCTCGGGTGTAGCAGATGTCCATGGGCGGCGGTATTCATTTACCATCAGGTGAACCGTCTGCTCGTTTGGCAACTTTTCGCATAAAAAAAAGATCAGCGTCAAGTGGAAGTGTTATACTTCTGCATTTCATCTCATACCTGATTGCAACACACTTAGGGTTATTTTTTATTTATGTGAAAGATGTAGCAAACGAGCTGGCGTCTCACCTGATGTTAAGTGATTTTTACCTTGTAATTAAGTAGGCCCGGCTACCTCACTCACCAGACGAAACGCAGAACTATAACACTTCGACTTGACGCCGGTCCTCTGTGAGGTCGTGATACTTCCCCGGACGGGCCTGCCTATTCGTGCAACAGCGAGGACTGTTGCGTAATTAAAATCACTTACCACATTACATAAAAATTTTATGTCTGTTCAACATGATATGTATATATAAGTATCCATGCTGATGTATAGAGGTAATCATCATGAATGTCCAAGTCAACGGTATGTGACATAATGGCTTATGCCCCCGAATTAGTGGCACTTGAGAGCCGTGACTTAACTGCAGTTGGCGCAAGTAGTAGGAGGTGCTCGCGTGAGGCCGCGCATGAATTCTTAACGTCGTAATTATTTCACACGCGGACCTCTATGGGCCACGAGGGGGTCGCTGGCGTATTCGGAAAATTGCATGAAATCGCAGTTCCGGATCCCGCAAGGCGTTGTAAAATCACGGAGCACTCGCCGAATACACAACACAGGTTTTATATTCACTTAATGTTTTAGAGGGGCGTTTTTAAATTACATTATACCGATAAATTTGTATTTAAAGTTCTTTCTCAGATTTCATATAAAGATACTATTCTTTTACATTTGAAGTTTTCGTTCAAAACACAAAAGAAAACTGTTTAATTTTTCCTTGAATAATCACACTAGTAGTATGATAAGATTTTCCTAAAATGCGTTGCCACATTGAAAGGCAAGTCTAACACTGGTTACTAATACAAATAAATATTTATTCCATGCAAAAATCAAAGTCGTAATGATGAAGTAAGCCTTTGATTATTTGCAGCAAATAATTCAAAGAAATAAAATGATAGTTTATGTTCCAACCTTGAACTTTTAGTAATGCCATCTAGCGAGAAAGATATGAACTGTTTATTAATTTAAATATTAGTGTTTGGACACCTTAAAAACACTTTTAACAATACTTAGCAATAAAAGTACACACTTGTATTGCTAACTTGTATTGCTGTATATATATTACATCTAGAAAGTATTTAATAATCTAGAAAGTGTTTAAAAATAATCTAGAAATCAGTAGCGTCGCCCCGAATTAGACTTGGGGCTTTGGATTCCAATACCATATATTATGCACTTCATAGAATATTGATACTATGAAATAGCATATGGTATTAGCATCTCTAGCATCTCTAATTATTCATAAATCTCGCGGTTATTTATAAGCGTCTAGCAATTCTTAAATGCAATCAGACGTGATGGGAGACTCGTTAATTATACAAAATGTCGTCGCTATAAAGGGTGTCGGTATGAATATTCAATAGATGCTATATTGGAAACTGGTGATGACGTAACTTCTGGAAGGGTTTGATTAATTTTAAAAATAATCTGTTCAAGACTCACACTCTGCCTACCAATATTATTAATGCTTCTCTCAATGCCACGAAAAGAATTGACGCTTCAGTTGACTTTAATTTGGACAACAAAACCATTAAGTTTGTTTCTATACCCATCTTTTATATGAATGTCCTTTGGCCGTTAAGTAAGGGAACACAAAACAGCGAAGTATTAGGGGAAGTTACGCTTCTAAATGTCACTGAGCACCGACAACTCCACGGTTCCTGCACGCAATATAATCACGATGCCTTTGAAATAAGGGAATGCTGTAAGGTTGAATCGTACATAAACAAATGGGACAGGAAAGGACATCCGGCAAAGTTCTGTTAATCAAATCTACCGGTACGATGTGGGAGTCGAACCCATTAGCGGCGGCTTAAAACAAAACCAATGGGCCAATGAAATCTAACCACTGTTTAACTGAGTAACGTTGATAAATGCCATTATTATACGACACGGAATCGACTGAATTCGTTCGTAGAACGTAGTCTTTACGTAAGCCTGTGCATAATCAAAAATACATGTACGAAATAATATACACCTTTTTAAAAAAAATAAACCGCACCGCGTCGGGGCCTTGGTGGCACGCTGGAAATATCGTGGTTCAGGCTAAAAGCAGAAAATCGTTTCTTGGCAGATTTACTCGTAATAACTTATATAATAAAATAGGTGACATCCACTATCAATTTGAAACATTTTGTAAAAGCTACCTCAATGGAAAGGACCTGTTGTAATGTCGAAGAATACATTACGGACAAGGTTGTGCGTGAACGACTCTTGCTTGCTCATGCAACCTGGGCTACTGCTGATTTTATACTTAAATAATTTTGTAAACGTTTGTGAATTTCAAAACGAAGGTAACAAGACAGAGTTTAATATAATATATATTTTTTTAAATATAAATATTTTAGGACACATTTTTACACAACGTTCTCTAGTCCTACTGTAAGCAACGCTTGGTATGGACTAGATAACTAATAAACATACTTATATCAAAAAAGTTGCGGTTTCTTTACGTTTCTTCTCTGGGTAGGTCTATTTTAGTGAACCGGTGGTAGTCTTGTGACGTCCAATAAGAGCTTAAAGTAAGCCTATACCGAATAAAGAAATTGTGCCTTTGATTCTGAAAATAGGTACATATGGAACAATAGCAACATGTTTGGCAAAAGAAACAGGAATCGCCTAGTAGGTGAGCAGACACCGGGAAAACTCCAGCGCCCCTTTAAACCGCTGAGTAGCGAAATGCTTGACATTTGGCGTAAACGGTCAGCGCGGCCCAATTTGCGGTATCCGCGCCACATTTTGGTGGGCCGAAATTGTTTCGATTGCGCGCGCGTCGCCCTCCGCCGATTGCGCCGGCGTTATGGCCAATGTCGGCGCAGTTGGCCGGCAAACGGCAATCGGGGTCTTTGGCGATTTGCGGTTTACTCGCGCCGCTTACCGGCCTCGTGACTTCGGGGAGCTGTTTCCAGATCGCCGGAGTTCGTCACGCCACCAGCGTAAGTCGCCGGCTCGACAGTTCACGCAGTAAAGTGATAAAATGCGAGATAAATGTCTAAAGTTGCGTACGATATAGGTTGGTAGAGCAGTTAAGAACAATAAAGTCGTGAGCATTTCTTTTTAAGTGTGCCAAAAATAATGATGATTAATTGTTAAAAAGTTACATGAACGCCATGAAGAAGTTTACTGACAAGAGAAAGGTAACTGAGTATCGGAACGAATGCACACAAGAACCAATTATTTACATTTAATACAGAATAAGGTTTCTACCAACCCGAGATTGGTACTAACCAGTGCCGATTCGCTAGCAAGCGGCATCCGCAGATAGTTGCGACGGACCGCAATCACCGCGCGCGACGATCGCGCGTAATCGCCCGTAATTCGCCGTAATTCGTGTAATTCGTGTAATTCGTGTAATCAGAGTGGAGCGACCGAGCGCCCCGGGATGCCCGCGACCAATGACGTGATAATGGCCCGGTTTACGGCCCGCCCGTTCACGTGACCCGGGTAACGATTCGGCGAAGGCACCTCGGCCCGCCAATGCTTCTTAATTGCTAAGCGATTCGGCTGACCCGCGTTTTAGAGCGACAAAGTTGAGAACAGTCTCGGCGGCGAAAACTCTCGAGCTATTCCACAGAGCCGTTTGCCCAACACCGAAAGATGCCACACAAGCCAGATATTAATACGAAATTCTATCTACACATTCCGGTTAATGCGACTGCCAGAAACTGGAGGGATATTAATGAAGTTAGGAATACAGCTTAAAAGCTCGTCAACCTTGCTTAGGATACTCTTAAGTTAACTATTCGGATGACATTAGCAAACCAATACCTGAGTTGGGTACATTCATAATAGCACCGGATATTAATTCTTAATCAAGATATGTATTATGTGCACGGATAACGCGAAATACGTGTCCGTTGGTAATTACGCGAGGGGGGGGGGGGGTGCATCAGAATATGTGGCGGGAGAAGAGGGGAGGGAGGAGGCGGCGTAATCAATGTAATCGTCGCAATTACTGTAATGCATCCGGTCGTCTCCAGCTAATGACCGCTAAAGGCCAGTCATAATAGAACGATACTCGACTTCTACGTAAGGTTTTGTGCCTCATCGCAGGCGTGAGAAAACACCTTCTGCTCACGAAGACTCTAAGAGGCGTGCATGCATTATGTCGATCGCTACATGCCTTTACATATATGCCTCGTTCAGAGGGTACTAGGGTTCTGTTATATTTTTTTTACGAAATGTTCGTTTCACGGTATGTCAAGAAACTTACCGTGTCGAAAAGTATCTAGCGTCGAAATTTAACTGAACAGGCAAAAAACTACATTTTCATTTTTTTGTTTTAAATAGAAAACTATAACTATATTTACTAGTTTAAATAAAGCGTTAGTTAAGATGTAATTAAAAATAAAACTACGAGACAGTTAAGCCGGTTCAGATGAGAGGCAGTTCATCATAAAGCCCATTTAGGGATGCGCAGGTGGACTGTTATAGGATGCTAGATCTAGCGAGGACATGGCGTGACCGCGGCGCAGAACTGGTAAGCGGTTCGACTTATATGGAGAGGCCCGCTGCGATTGCAAATTGGTACAACCCTTTGTCCCTTTACCATCTGGTACAACACCGATACTTGGTACGCGATATCCAATATGGCCACAGCAGATAACCATCGTACGAGGAAGCCAAGCCGCGCAGGAATTGAATTTTAAATGGCGTTTAAGGGGCTCGGACATTGTTCATGACCGGATAGCGATTGTTATATACATGCGTTTGCTTCTATTTCGCTGGCAAATTAATGAGGAACACCGAAGTTACATATATTTGCACCAGGATAGCAGGCGATACATTCTTTCAATGTATCGCCTTGACCAAAGAGATTTGGAACCGGCCGGTTTGGCACGAGCGCTATTAAGAACTAATCGTCAATTGTAAAACACATATAAATAAACGTCCACTATAAGTGAAACTGATTCATTAAGCCACGACATTAATGGCGCATTAGTATGTATATACTTAATAAAGATCGAAATCAAAGCGGCGAACGTCCGATACCAGGCCATATATCACCAAGACCGGTAGTTAACAAATATTTTCACAACTGACTCCGTCAGAACGGCGGACGCGTCAATATAATTCCTTGTTACGGAGGGAGATTACTTTTAAAACATTTTATTACGGTCCGCCATAAATCAGCGTTTGAGAAAACAATCGAGCTCTTTGTAATCGTATAGGCTATTAAATTTCTGGATGTAAAAACGTCCCGGCCGTACGACTGCTCGCTCCTTTGTTTTTTCCGAGCGGCCATTTTCGGTGGCGCGCCTAGGCGCCGTCCGCTTAAGACGTAACGCCCGAATGATTTACGACGCATCCTTTCGGTGTTAATCGGCATTATTTGCAGTTCACGCGCCCGTTTGGAATAGACGTGATTTATCATCTGTCCACGGGCGTGCGACATAGAAATTTATAAGTGACGCCCGCTAAATCATCGCCGCTTTCCGTGTTTACGGCCGCGCCGAACGGTGTTCGCGCGGCAAAAATCTGTCATGGCGGACGTGTGACATTTCCACTAACGGTGCTGCCAATTAAAATGGCAATTTCATTACGGCGACAATGTATCGTTTATTTTCAGTGACAACACTAAAGTCGACAATGTATTAACGTCGGTGTCGAGGGTGAACGAGACAAAATGTGTTTAACGGACAAAAGATCAGGCGTAAATTACATGGATGACTGGGAGAGCATAGCTCGCGACGTGTTCGCCCGTAGTTTCGGATCCCATGTGGGGCATTAAGCCCAAGACGAGTATGGTCATTAGGCGGCGATATTAGCTATTAACCCCGCCCCGGCGCGCATAAGTTACTGGCGTCTCGCACCTACGGTACCAGGGAGCCAGCGGTGCATTGGCGCCCATTTGTCTTCGAACAGACGCTGTAACTAGGGCCAGGTAATTTCGATTAGGTCGAACCGATTCGAAGACAATTATGTAGCGATTAGGCTTGAATCAATTTTCGAAACTGGCAACTCATTTTTCTTGTATCTACATGATTTTGAACGTTTGACATGCGGATAGACTTTTATAGCTTGGATGATTTTTTTTGATTCTTAAATAGGAGAATCTGAACAATTATCATATTGAATAACTCATCAGCGCTTGGTTTTAGCAAATTGGAATTTTATAGTAGGTTAACGATTACTAAACGATCGTAACATTGTTTATGGATAGATCTGCAATCATCGCCGCTTGTCGGTAAAGTGTGTTAAGTTTTGCGTAACGATCTAATATATCATTACGCTCTTACAAGTGTCATTTTCTCTCCGGATCCTCGAGGACTGCTCGGAATGAACTTCCCGGATCGTTGTGACTCCGGGACATCTGTCCCGTTGTACGACACCGTCTCAACGAGCCACGAACGCCGTATCGGGGCCATTAGCGCCCTTATTCCCACGCAGGAAGGTCGCGCGCGCTCCTCGTAAAATTTGTCGCCGTCGTAAACTCAACAAGTGAACTGAGGCCGGTTTACGAGGCAGTAAACGTCGCCCGTCTGACGACTCACTAATACGTCATAAAGTGGGATCCTCTCCGATAGATCTTGTGACCGGGAAGACGACTATTCGTGTCTGAGACAGCTCGGTGATTTTCTTTCGTATACGGCGAGTGAAAGGATCGAAATGATAATCGAAATCTTTAACGAGGATAGTTCTTAAATATTTAGTTTTCACCGTTTAAATATCACTTAGGGTATTCAGTTCGAGTTCACTTTATCAACTTTTACCGTGATATACGTACTCGTCATTTCACAAATGGGCAGGCGCGTCTGTGAATTGCCACTGCCTCAATGGCAGGCGTAAGGTGGAATAATGTATTATATTTATTTATTTAATCTTTACTGCCAACCTTAAATAAAAAAGGTCAAAGGGCGGACTAAATGCCCAAAAGCATTCTCTACCAGTCAACATTGGGTTGACTGGTAGAGAATGCTTGAATGTGGTGACAGTAAATGGTAGATGTGGCAAAAGATGCAAGAGTAATAAAATTTTAAACGATGAGAACAAAAACATTAATAAAAAATAAGAAATATACAGTAAATAGCATTTATTATAATTGAAAATATATAATATATTCGCTTTTGCAACTCTACAGCTTTAGATGTCGATGAGCTGTGGTAATCAAGTAAACACAATGTGCCTGTCCGCTTACCGGTTACCTTCACAATAAAAATTGAAATAAGACTATTCGCTGCGTAGCTTGAATCGATTAGATAGAAGTTATTGCAATGAGATGACTCGACGCAGTTGTTAGGCTATTGACTTTGGCAACGGAGGTCGTGGGTTCAATTCCCACACGGAATAAGTACTTGTTCGACCCACAGATCATTCCGGATCTGAGTTTTTGTTCCTGAGGAGGGCTGACGTCAGGCAGGTCGTAAATACACCTAGCCAAAAACACTTATAACATGATTCACACGCTGTGCCGACCACATCTAGGTGGGATAGGGTAGGGTAAGGGGGATGATGTCGATATTGCAATAAAACGAGAAAACTTAGTCTACGATACAGGAAATTGAACCAATGCTGTCTGACAAATATAGCAGCTACTAGGCAAACATGGCTCTTATTATGTGTGCAAATCGCGCGCAAAAATCTACATCTACCCTCGCGTGAACACGTAACGCGTCAAGCCGCATGTGCTTACAATACATTCAATATTTTGGCAAGCGCACGTTTGAATGTAAATAGGTTAACTCAAAAAACAATTTAGCCGCCGCAGATTGTTCTTACACGCAGCCGAACAAACACACAAACAAGATGGGGGAGCGCCACGGCTTCCGATACGCCCGGGGGCGCGTTCTAGGGATGCGACACGGAATAGATTTTCTGGATAGCCGTTTGTTACAAATAACGTATTTATTTTAACGTGTTACTGACAAACTAAAAAGATTCACGACATTTTCAAGAGTATTTAAGCACGATAATAGTTTAGAGTGTCAAAATATGTTTAGTTTTTAAAAATTCAATTTCTAAAATTCTTTCGTCATTCAACATTGGCTATATTAGTTACTAGAAAAAATAGAGATACCTATTAAAACTTCAATCATGTAACAAGGTATAAAAAATAAATGTCAATTGCTTATTACTTTCTTTACTTAAGGTAAACTTAACTTACTTCTTTACGTAAGAAAATAATTTCTGAAATTACGCAATAGCCTTTGATTCTTTTGTATAGTGTTGTTAGGTATAGGTGTTCCAAATTTATACATAGTGTTAAGTTTAATAATTTTATTATTTACATTTACTTTACCCATATAATATTTAATCAACTGAAACCAGCCTGAAATAGCCTTCGGGCTATTTAAGCGAACTTGTTATAAGCTACGAATTAGACGGGAGCTACGAATGTCCCCGCCCTAGGCGTAGGGCGGGGGCGCACGGTTCCGCCAGATAACCGGCAAGCCCTTGCAGACTGCTTCGTTGTAATTATATATATTCTCCGATAATTTAACACCTCGCCAACGCCGTGCTCTTGTTATTCAACGAATAATTTGCATTACGCTCGGCGTAGTTTATTTTGTATCTTTTATGTGTGCGATTCATGTTATCCTGGTATCTTTCGATTGCGCAGACTGCGTTTGCTTTGAAAAAATATCAGTTTTATCATATATTTACTGCGTCGTATAGAAAGGCAAGGTTTTGAGGCTGAATAAAGTGATTTCGGTTCGCATTAAAATCTAATTTAAGTATATTATGAATACTTTGCGTTGAGGTACTGTAATTTCATGTTAATATCTGTTTAACTTTCGACCGACATACATTTTTGAGTTTAACAGTTTAAATCAATATGTTTTCTTTGTTCCTTGCTTTACATAAAATTCTAAAAACGATAAAGGAAACTGGAGGACATGTCGATTCCGGACTTTTTCATAAAATCAGTAGGCGAACGAAGTTATTTCCCGGCGGAGCTAAGCTATCCTGAGCTTGGCTTGGTAAAGCTCGGCGTGCGTTGCACAACTCTTGCCTCAGCAGCACGGGCCCGGGCCGCCACGCATTACATCATTACCCAACGCTCCCCCGTCACAATCGGCAATTGAATAATTCATATGCGACGAAAAACACGAGCGCGTCAAGTTGCGTACCTGTCAGAGGAGACGGTACCGACAGAGTTTGTCCATTAAAAACGAACATGGCACCCGAAATAGACAATGGAGGGCACCGCACCGGCCCAATCGACCTCCCCCCCCGCCCGCCGCCCGCCCCAGCGACAATTAATCATCCCCCTTCCACGGAGTGCCCGCTTGCTTGTAGCGTTGTCACAGAAAAGGCGGTCATAGCACTGAGAGTGACATCACGTCAGGAGTTGCGCTCTGAGCGATCGCAGATCGAATTTCAAGCACGTTTAATGACTCCCTACTCTCGAAGCCCCAAGTATCGAGGATTTTGAACTAAACCAAATTTATTGCTAATATTTGAACTGTGAATAATGCTACTTATACACAACTAAAGAAGCTGACGTCCCGTGCAGCTGTGAGCACAGAAAGCGACTTTGGGAAGACCGAATTCAGGTTGTACAAACAAATATGCCGTGAGATCAAACACACTCACTTGTTCTAGTGTCTAAGTACTTATTGTACTTACTTGTCTCGCAAATGAGTTTCTGTGAAAACGAAGTGGGGCCGAAAGCTTCCGTAATCGGTTGTAACAAGTTTTAGCTTTTTTCACTTTCTGCAAAGCTTTTATCTGTGATCGACCGCGTGGTAATCGACAACTAGTCTAGAAATAAGTTGAATACCTATCATCCAACTTCTATCCAAGCCTTCATAATTCCGTCGAAATTATAAGGAGCACAGTGCTATAATAATTCGACAACACCAACAATTTACACCTTCCAGGGTTCTCTTCGGCACACGATCGGGAGTTTTTCTTGATATAAAAATAATTTAGCGCAGCGCTTGCCGGCGATGTCGATAGCGTCAAATTAGGAGCCATTACGGGCATTAAATTGGACGGGAAACGCTGTGTACGTACGGCGGCAGCGGCGGGTCCACGGCGACGCTCCGAGGGGAGGCTGCGTGGCTCGTCGAATGGAAAATGAGATAGGGAAACGCGGAGTGGGCCCGATGCCGCGACCTTCGGCGCGGTTCCGCTTCCATTGTGGCTCTCCCCCGTAACAACATCGCCGGTTCGCGCTTACAACGACGCGCACTCCATTCGGATGGGTTTAAATCGAGCAAAAAGTCACCCGTCTATTGCCGTGTTTCGTTTACGGCTCGAAATTTGGGCAATTTCAACCGATGTCCTCGATAGCGGCAAGATTTGCGTCTTCGGATTATTTCTTGATTGCACAAATGTGAAATTATTAGTCTTCGGTCGGAGTTTAGTCAAATTTGAATTAGGAGCAACGTTCTGGATTAGTCTAGAAATTGTATATTGCCAGATTGTGTATTTGTTGATTTATCGTGAATAATAAATAATGAAAAGAAAAATAATATTCTATTATTCACTATAGAGGCATTAATAATGTCAGAATGTGATTTCTAATCAGACATATACTTTGTATTGTACCGATGCTCATAAGGAGCAAAATTATAAAAGCGTAATAGTGATTGAAACTATGCTAATTATTAAACTATATACCTAATCTAATATATAAAATTCTCGTGTCACGGTGTTTGTAATTGAACTCCTCCGAAACGGCTCGACCGATTTTCGTAAAATTTTGTATGCGTATCGGCCAGGGCGGAGAATCGGACAACATCTATTTTTCATCATCCTTAATGTTAAGGATGGTACACCCCTAATTTTCTTTATATATTTTTTTGTGCTACAGCATACAAAAATACATACAACCCTAAATTTTCACCCCTATACGCAGACGTAGTCGCGGGCAGCAGCTAGTCTTTATATATAAATAATTTTGCCTCCGTATTTTGTATATTTGTATAAACAAAACTCAAAAACAAGCCGATTGACCGACTTGATATTTGTTCACAACGTAGCTATTGAATAGTAGAGTGTTTTTATAATATACTTTTTATTCTGAAGTTACAATGAAAACGAAAAAAAAAATAAACGGTAGGGTTCAATTGTTAAACAAAATTGTTTATCTACAGTCTTCCCCGTCAGAATTTTCCCCGTCCAAAATTATCCCACGTGCTTAGAGAAGTATTCACTTCAAAAACATGATATGGTTGTCACAAAGTGTAGAGTAGCTTATATTATTAACGGGAAGTATTGCAACACTAATCGTTTCCAATAAGGTTCTCTGACTTTTGGTCTCCGGCATCACCTCCAATAAGAATCCAATCAATAGCTCCGTATCTCCGTATCAAACAATCCATAAGCAGCTCGATTCGTGGATCAGATAACGTCCACAGCATCATGGCGGCGATACGTTAGTTTCAGTTTAAATTAATTAAACAACCAATGAGCGCTGCCCTTTCCGGCGCTGGAATGTTGACATTTAATTAAAATGGCCGCGCGAACCCAGCGCCGCCGCGCCTTCGCTACATTCGATATTCGCTATGATTCGGATCGATTTACTTTACGACGACGCTCCCGTGGAATTTACAGGGTTAGCGTATTCTGAATACACGCTAGTGGAATATTAGATTTCTTAGATGTATTACGTAATGTTTAATGTGGGGCAAATAACATTTATTGAGGTAGTAAGCATTTTAAACAGATTTCGTCTTCGATATAGCTATTTTTCATTACGCCTCTTTGATAGTCAACCTGTGCTATTGTATTTATACGATCACATCAACGACAATCTGCTTTGTGTCCATTAATAACTCTTAATTAGACTCCCTATAATGCCCATCTCATTTTCATGATTTTATAAAAATCAGTTAAGTATCGAACTTTATCCGAAAATCGAGAATGATTCGGTATGCTTATGTGTACCGTGATAGCTCATTGTCCGGGTGCTCGTTTTTGATGCAATATACTCGATCTCGATCTACCTCAGTTCAATCCCGGGTGCCGGCACCAATGAAATTGTTAATTTCAAGTGCTGAATTATCACGTGCTCAGCGGTGAAGGAAAACATCGTGAAGAAACCTACATATTTTCGAAATAGTAACAATAAACAAAAAAATATTCGAAGATGTGTGAAGTCCGCCAAACCGCAGTGGGTACGCAGTGGACTATGCCGTAATACCCTCTGTACTGAGAAGGCCTTTGCCCAGCAGTGGGACATATACAGGCTGTTTGTTTAATTTGTCTATCTAATCATAAGATTCACAGACATGGAAATCCATCGCCTACCATCAGGTGATCCGCTTGCCGGTTTGCCTCCTTTTTCCATTAAAAAAAAAAAATCAATATCGAGCCGAACATTTTCAGCAGTCATCGCTTACTCGAAGCGCTTCTAAAATCCCACGATAAATCTCGCCGGAGGACAATCGGCGATGTCGCCGCGCGATCGCACCCGATCCCGTTGCGCGGAATTCGAGGCGAAAAACTAAATGAGTGTCGCGGGCGACGGGCGATGCGGAGGAGTAAAGCGGACGCAAGTCCAAACAGTCGGATTCTAGCTCAATGGGCCCGCCCATAAATCTCCGCGTCTCAACAGCTGATGTTCGCTGGAAACCGAAACGGGGGCCTAAGGGTGCCGACACTCCGATGCATGTGCGACGAACGCGACCGACCCGATTTTAAAGCGAATGATATTCCGTGGCAAAGTTCCGTTCGCAGCCTGCGCAGTTACAGCAACATTTGCTTCAATACGATTAACATTACAGTAATAGTCGTAACAACTGAACACGTTTCATTGAAATTCAATTGACTTATACGCTGCCGCGGCGTTCGGACTTATAAGACGATACCGAATGCACCTGTAGATTATTGATAGTACGTTCTGTAACATTTGCAGCGGGCCGGACTACAGTTGCGCCGCTAAATACGTATTCCTAACTAATAATGTTGTTTATTTATAATAGCCGTCTTATTTATTGGCCGCATTGTGTGTATATCGACTTGAGGCCGTGCTACCGAAGTAACTTTAATGTACCGTACATTATCATCTCAAGGGCAATGTTATATATCAAGTATACATTTTCCTCGACAGATGATAGCTGCACTTAACCAATATGAGTTCGCAGTGCGCGATGAAAACAGGGTCCGTGTAGCAGTGGTGTGACGGCGCCCTAATTTCGGGCGAAAGCGTGCATTGCGGAGATAAAATAAATGGAAGAGCGGTGAAAAATGACGACGCGCCGGCGGCGTGGAAGGAGCCCGCGGCGGGAAAGGGGTTCGTACCTCGACCGGGTAGCTCTTTGTGCTGCCGTGCGCGCTCGCTGAACCGGCAAACGTTCGCGGATCAAGGGATGAGATCCCAAAGTTCGTGTGGAGACCAAACTGTTTCGACGAAGCGGCAATGCTGAATATGTTTTTTATTAAAACCTCTTTTGCCTAGCCTTTGGTGAAATGAGATATTCAATACGATATTAGAACTGTTGTTTGTAGGCCGCATAAATATTATGTAAAAATTAGAATCACGCATAAAAGAGAACTGAGGAATCTCATCGTCTAAAATATGAATCTAATCATCATAATTATAATCTCATTTATCTATGAAATTGATTAACTTTACTGTGTTAGAGCGAACAATATTCGCTGGCCAGGTCCGTCCGGGGTAGTACCACGACCTCATAGAAGATCGGCGTGGAGTTGAAGTGCTATACCTACTTCTGTTTCGCCTGGTGAGTGTGGTAACCGGGGCCCACTTTATCAAAAGGTGGCAACCTATGTGCAACCCTACAGGTTTTCAAACGTCCTTGGACAGTGGTTAGATGCTGTTGCACAAATGGGCAGGTCCGTCCGGGTAAGTACCAAGAGCTCACAGAGGACCGGCGTGAAGTGGGAGTGTTATATATGTACGAAACGCAGGAGTGTTTCGTCTGGCGAGTGACGTAGCCGGGGCCCGCTTTAATATAGGTGGCAACGCATCTGCAAATGTCCGTGGACTGTCTATCAGTTAACATCAGATAAACGGCTAGCTAAATTCCCAACATCTCACATAAAAAAGTCAAAAAAGCGCATACAGCGCGACGCACGTCATTTGTCATCAAGGCTCAGGGTCCGCGGGATTCGGCGGAACGTTTTACAGTGCACTTGTCACGGTAAGTTACAACACGTTTACTGCCGCCGGCGGCACTTACGCAGTCCGTTACCGTCCCCCTAAGCCCGAATTGGGCCGGCCGAGGCCGTTCTCTCTCCGTTTTCGGCTCCTGCCGGGGTTTCTGGACGATAACCCGCCCCGTAAGGGCCGTCGAGGCTTTAACAAGACGCTTAGAAGCATCGATTAACCGCTAGTAAAGCTCCTGGCGGCCTCCGATGACTGTGATTTATTGACGTCGATTCATAGTCATGAAAGTTTGTTATGTGTTAACCGTTTAACCGGTTGACAACGCGTCTGGAACGTATAGCAGGTGTCCATGGGAGGCGGTATTCACTTAACATCAGGTGAACCGTCTGCTCGTTTGACAACCTTTCACATAAAAAAACCTGGACTTATTCTGTCGCACATAAGTGGTAACATAAGTGGGCTCGTGACACACGCGCGATCTGAATATTGGCTTGGATTAGTTCTTTATTTAATAATTTTTGCTATGTATGCCTTTACGCAAATACGTCTAATTATAAATTATAATCATTGTCGCATTAGTAAATAGAGAGGTCTTTGCGAAGCGTAGAGCTAGTAACACTCTCCTCCCATCTCCTATCGTGTCTTAGTTCAAGTATCTTAAAAAATATACTTTTAAATATATAAGTTTTTAGGGTTTCCTTGGTTAAAATTTCAAAATCACTTACGATTTTATCTTTTGGTATATTGAATATGATAATTTAAGGGCAAATGTAACGGGTTGAAAATATACATATAACATACATTATGTTAAAATGCTGTGTTTGTGGTCAATAACGATTGTTTAAATTCTCTTCAGCTAGTAATTTATATGACACTTCCGATAGAAATATATAAAATTTTTGAGTAGTGTCTTCATAAGGATGAAAAAGATTACGACTAAAACGTAATGTTTTGACACATCGAGAGACTCACCGAAATCCTTAAAGATACACAGAGACGAACAGTGAAAGGCACTTACCTGGAACAAAGAAAGGAGAGGAAAAATTAATTAAAACCACAATGAAAACGCACCGTATCGTAATTTATTTGGCCGAGAGCCATTTTAATTATAATTAATATTTGCAAGGCGAAAAATTTGCGAGCAGCGGCCAATGAGGATGTCTCGGGAAGTGAAACCAGCCGTTGTAATGATGGGGGCCGTTGTTTCTTCTTGAGATGGAAAGGAATGCCTTTTTAGATTGTTTCAGGAATGTTATGACGGTAATATTACGGGCTGTATAGCAGTGGTGGGAAAAGTTGTCGAGTTTTACGCTATCATTTATGTTATTAATATACTGAATTTAATGATGAATAGAAATGTATGACAGCAGTATTTGACTATGTGAACATTATAAATTATGGAAAGTATTGAGTATCATTTCACGTGAAAAACTTTTATTTACGTACTTGTTTGCTTCAACTTAATTGTGTATTTTCAAATATAATATTGGGCTGATGATATAATTAAAGTAATAGGGCAAGATTGGGTGACCCTCGCTAAAGATAGAGGATTCTGGAGGAAGAAAGAGGAGTCCTTTAGCCAAACGGTATCCACGTCACAGGAAGATAACTAACTATACTAACACTAGACTTAATAATAAGCTAAATGTACTAACAAGACTAACAAACGTTTGAAATGTAAAACATGTTGATGTGGCATTAAAAAGGTTTTATTATTACTATTAATAAATTTAATAACCATAAATTGGTGAAAGATTTTAACTCTCGGTTCTGGTTATAACATAAGCGTGTATAAATTCTAAGTTTTTATTAAATCCTCCGCCCAGAGTCGTCCGCAATTAATAAAATCTTACATATTACATACGCCGATAAGCGGCGGCCGTGGAGCGGCGGGGCGAGAACGCTCGACCCGAGATGGAGGGCCCCCGACAGTAAAAGGGTCCGGAATAAGAGCCTTTAAGGGAGTCCCCGAGTTATCTCGGGCGCTGGCGTCGTAAAATAAAGGTTTACTAGCCCGTAAAGAAAATTAAAATGAATTATTTTGACGAGTGTAAGGGGGTTTTTTGAGGCTTAGCCCCCGTTTACGGCGCGGAGGTGAACTGTTATGGGGCAATAAGGGGTAATTGTTTCTCTCGCGTTCAAATCAAGCTTGTTTTCCCTTTGTAATTACGCGGGTAAACTGTTGTCGGACGCCCTGGCGTTGTTTACGGCCGCCGGATTGCATCGCGTTACGCTAAGCCCGGTTTCGAAGCGCTGTCCATCACGGAGTGATCCGTTCGGTATTGCGTTTTCGATGGCCATTATTGCTCATAACTAAGTTCGTTCGCGATGCTAATAGACCCTGCAAGTTGTCACCTTATGTTGCTTTCAATCCTTCCCAATTAACGCGACGATAGTCAATGAAAGTCTTCAGGCGAAATACTAAGAGCGGTTCTAGAAATGTGCCGTTTCTATTAGTAACAGTTGTTTACAGTTATTTTTGGTTAACACTTGACCACGTTTGACTTTATTTGCCTGAGTTTTTCAGATTGGATGAATTCAGCTATTCCTCATCATGTGTACGTGTGAGTAGTTTCTATTGTAAATTGGAATTTATTTAACAAAAGTTATTCTTACGGCACGTAACCTAACAGTCGTAAAAACATGAAGGCAAATCGCAAATAAACGAATTTATTGCCAATTAAGCTCGAATGCAACCGAATGACATTAAAAATAAATCAACTCGACTAATTGTCAAGTCCATATTGCTTTAATTGCTTCGAATGCCGTCTCGAAAAGGTGTCCGATTCGTGCCAACGCAGTCAAATCGACGGTTACGTCGTAGAGTTGGTATAAAGATCCGTGTCGCGGCGTAAAACGCGACGTTAGGGTAAAAGGGCGCCTCTCAATCGTAAGGGAAACGTAACGGCACATGGAGGCCGTGATGGCTCGTTCGCCGCGCCCCGCTGCGATGCTGATCTCCTAGTAAAAATTCGCTCTCCGATTACATCGGGGAAACGGCTGTTTTATCACGGAGCGGAGCTCGTGTCTCACATTCGCGGGGACGGCGACGCCCTAACGGCGGGTTTGTTTTATCGCTTATTGCGGCTTCGGTCGTAATGGATACGGCCGTGATGATACTGAATCAAATGTCACGGGCGCGGATGATGTACTTATACGTGAAATACGTTTTGCAAATCAGATTGAGATGGCGAAATCAGTATTTAATCGAAAAGTATGTTTGGCGAGCCGATTGGGGTACATTAGTGATCCTACCCCTTGCGCCAGGGGGTGTGGGTTCGAGCCCACTACTGGAAAAATATTGTGTGATAAACATAGTGTTTTTCCAGTGTCTGGGTTTTTATATGTATATAATGGTTTTTTTTTACAAAAGTAAAGTATGTTTAAGTATGTTTATTTTCAGATTTTTAGTACAAGCGTTGCTTAGTTTGGGATATACAACGTTATGTAAAAATGTGTCCGCAAATATTTATTATTTATCTGTATTCAGTTAGGAGTTACGTGCAGTTACTTATAAGATAAACTTGTTTATAAGTCGAGACTACCAATTTCAATATCTCTATAATATTGCTATCTCCGTTTCTCGTCGTTTTTAAAGTTTGGAGGGCTGTAGGCTAAGGTTATTTGGTATTTTACAATACTGCAAGCTCACTTATAGATACCAGAGATACAAATCGATTCCGATTGCGGAAATTAACGCGTGAAAACGTGAAATAGGTAAAAAATCGCGGGCTTGATGCGCTATTAATCTGGCGTACGCTCGCCGAGGGCTGGGGGCCCTGGCGCGGTGTCGCCGAGGTGTGGTAAACGCGAAATAGTGTGCTCTGCATGGAGATCACGGCGCGCCGTGATTGCGTCTGCGAACGGCTTCCGACGCACGAGCATCCAGACGCTTTACGAGGTACGCCAGCCGGGTCCCAAGAATTAGAGCAGTAATCGAAAACGCGACGGAATCCCTGCTTTGGGGTTCCCCGTCGAGAAATTCGGCCATTTTGATTCGCGCGTTCGTTTTTTGAAATTGCTTTTGGAGTCGACGCGATAATCTATATTGAGTTTCGCATGAACTTGTGGTGTTTTTATGGTTGGGAATCTGGTGACAGCATAAAAAGCGTTGTTGAAGAAGGACCAGATGCTAGGAATCTAGAAATTACGTCTCACCACTTGGATAGTAACATTCTTTCATTAATAAATATCGAACGAATCAGCGAGCTCGGCCGTTAAATAAAATATAAAAGACCGTATTTAAAAGACGTGTTAATTTTACAGTGACAAAGTATGATTTTGTGACCGCGCCAGATTCAATTTGCACATCGATAAAATTAATTCAACAGTTACGGATTACGCGAACGGTCTCTCCACTCGTAATTCTCTAAAAGATAAAACCGCGCGGCAACTTTTGGGGCCGTAAAGATGTTATCGGTGTAAACAAAAATCCGAGGGGTATTAGGGCGGAGTGTTTGCGAGATGTTTTACGGAGCCAGGCTCGTAAAGGTCGACTGACAGTGATTCTTGATGGACAATTTGAGAGTTCGCAACGGCGCGGCGGGGCGCCCCGGGGAACTCGCCTCTTCCGAGATCGTCCCAGCATCCCGCTTTACGACGCGAGATGGGCAATTTATATCAAGCGTCGCTCTTCCGCCTTAAGATAGCGGCGGATCTTTAATTGTTCCGCTTTAACGGCGATTTTATACCTCTAACAGGGATTCGCCGCTTCTTTCGCGTCTACAATTTAACACTCGAATTACGCGGAAATTTCGGGACATTGGTGGATTTAGTATCATTTACGCCTTTAAAATATGTTGTATTTTGTTTAATATATCTAGGGATTGCAACTTTTATAATTAAAGTACGATAACAATTTTCGGTAAAAGCAATGATTTTTTATTATATATATGAAGCAAGTCCATATTGCGTGTAAAAATTGTTCCGCTTTATGTTACATGACATATATATGTGAATGTGACAGATGATACAGAACGTATGATACGGAAAGAGATAGCGATCTATAATTACACAGATTGGTATAATTTGAGTGCCTCAGTTTCGGTGCGCTAGTTTCATATTATTATATAATTCATCACTGGGTAAAAGTGTCATGGATAGTAATATAAAAAATATGTAGATATTGAGATCATTGATATTTCGTAAATTTATTCGCCGTAAGGCCTATTGCGAAAAACGTAAAAAAAAAGTAACGAAGTAAAGTTCGATGTATTTCGTTTCAGCTACCAGGGGCTCATAACTAGAGCTAGCTAACAATGTATAGGCAACTGCGGCGCTCCGGCGGGCTCATGTCGCTCTGGTATTTTCATTTCGCGTCACAGGTGAGCGTGGCGCGTAAATTACCCAAATAACGCGGGCTTTTATTGCGTGCCGGGCCGTCGGGGGCTGCAGGAGGTCCGTCCACTTAGTGGAGTCGGGGAAAAGGGTACAGAGGTATAAATACATCCCAACGGGTTTATTACCGACGTTTACTTAACGGAAATTCAAAGCAAACATCAAAAGCGTCAACCTTACTCCTTCTTGTTGGATATTTGCTTCTAGAAAAATCTTTAGTGTTATATTATTTTAAATTAATTAATTGTAGCGAAAATTAAATATTTAACAATGTGGGTACTATCAAAAAATATTGTCCATTAAAAAACCTCGTTTATGTAAAATGTAGACTTTTGTACGAAAATTAGGAATAATAAGCAAAAACTTATATTATTTCTGTATTTTAAAAAGACTTTTCATAAGAAAATGTCTGCTTTATGCCACCAGGTTGTTGGAGCGACTATTTCGTCGTTTACGTATGCATTTTATGACAGCCCGATTGAAACTTAGACGAAAATCATTATTGTTAAGGCTTGGCCATTCGCAATCTATCGTCTACTAATCATCGGTAATCCCCTGTAAGCGCACTAATCTATACCGTAGCGACAGACTCGACATCCTGTAATTCTAGACTTAGACGCGCCGCTATGGACCATACCGATGTACACTGGCACTGTAAACGTTGGCAATGTCGGGATTATTCTGGTGTAAAGACGAAACGAGACTTGCGAAAAATGCTTTCGTTTTCTGAACAAATATTCTTTGTCTTTTTAATGTTATTGCCCGAACTAATTGTGCGACTTTTGTTTAAGTCACTTTTTTATGTTGTAATTTTTTTCCACAATATTATTTAAAGTTCTGTGTAATTCCAATATTTTTAAGATTGTTATGTATTTATTGTGGTAAGACAGTGAATGACATGTGTTTCTTTCTTTCTTAGGGCAGAAGGAATCCTTACTGCATGAAATGTAATAATTATCATTGAGTAACGTATTATAAATCGCATATCTCACTCCCTTGGAGATTGAATGTTGCCTGAATGCAACATCTATTTAAACGTAACTGGTTCTTTAGATGTTAGGAGAAGTGTATTTTCTTAATTATTGTAAGTAATTATTTATAGTATGGTTCAGGAGGTGGTTAACTTATTATGGAATAAATTAGGACTAGACTAGCAAGACCTACTAACATGGTGGTGAAGCACTTTCCAGTTTGCAATAAAACAAAGCATTCCTAAATCGCATAGCTCGATATTACGTGTTCGTTTCAGATTTTTGGGGATCCCCCATTGTTGATTGTGAAGTTCATGTTTTACAGCCATTCTTAAGCTTTGTCGTTGATCTGCTCCGCACACAAAACGTAAATTAGCGTTGCCACGAATCGGGTAAGTCGGCGAGTTTGAAAACAGGGGAAAACTTGGGATTTCCTTCCCTCGGTCCCCAGAGGTATGAATGAAAAATAAAATTAGAAATTCAAATCCGGCGACTCCTTATCAATTACATGTACTAGGCGACCAACAATAAGAGATGGCTCTCTCCCATTCTTCGGCGAATTTGCATCTTCATACAATGGCAATTAGGGGCGCGCTCATTAATTCGACAGGGTCCCAGAGGCGAGGCGGTTTCAATTTGACGGAGCCGGGATGGAACCTTGCGCGCGTAACGTGATTACGGGGCATTTGCATGAATTTTATGTACGCCCGGTGCTTAACGAGCCGTTAACTTCAATATCGAATTTGAATATATTTTTGTCGTCTGTCTATTGTTTATCCCATTACTGGAAATGTCCCAAACAAAAGGCGGAAAGGGGGTAAAAGGTGGTTGTGGAACATTTTTTATTTTACCTTCTATCACCATAATTAATATTTATGAACGTTACGTTAAAACCTAAGTGTCTTAAGATTTCAAGAAGGAAATTATTTTTGTTATTTTAAAAACATCGACACGTAAACCTTAAAGCACCGTAATAAAGTCAAACGGCGCTTTAAAAAGTTTCAATGTTGATTTTGTTACCGATTTAGATTTGAAAATTGATTGCGTTTAACTGATCCGCCCGAATGTCTCGGGTCCATTAAATTGTATTTACTTGTTTTTAATTAGAGCTCTTACGACAAAATCCACCCACGTCAGGTAGGAAAATATATGACGCAATAGTTTAAATTACGAACTCATTCTGTTGGGAACATGTACACACATTTTTGAGTTACGAAAATGGAATATATTTTTTTAAATGACGCAACAGCATAATGCGATTGTTTCATTTGTTTAATAATTGCAATTTAATCTTTATACGGAATAATTGGTTATATGATTCGGTATTTGAAAGCATATGTATTAAGAATTTGCTAGGAATGCAGAAACGTCAAAAACTGCTTTTCCATACAAATTTTGTTATTATACTGAATACGAAAACTCATATTTTAACAAGGGATAATGACGCCTGTGTTGCCATAACAATTTTATCTCCATTATTAATAATGAATCGATCGAAACGGTGAAATTTAAATGTTTATCCCGTTACCGACACCCGCCGTTAAATAATCTTGACGCCACTCTCAGCCACGTCGAAAGCGGCTCAATAAAATATTTATACAAGGCATTTGTCCTAATACGCCATAGAGAGCAATCAACGGGGATCTAGACACCTGTTTACACGAGGGGAGCTCTTAACCCTTCCTGAGGGTTGCACTAGCCGCCGCCGCTAAAATCGACCCTATGGCCGTGATCTGCACATCGCTCGTTATGCTAGCATCAGATTATTCAGAGGGAACGCTTGGCCGGCAATGGATGCGATTTGTGCAAATCTATCCCGATGCGATGACGGTATGTCAGAGTACGGCGATCCCCCAATCCCATCGTCGCGATTAGGAGCATGAATTTTTAATTGCTTAATAGTCTTTGTTAAAGTCGTTTGACCAATTAACTCGAAATGAGACGGGATGTCTATGAATGTATGGATAGCCGCTTTGAGTTTCACGTCGGTAAAAGGTTCACTCGAATTAGCTTTTCTTTTCAGTAGACGTCATAAAAGGATTTTACCATCCGGAATGTGGCTTTTTAACTGCACATCAATTAGACATTATTAATAAAGGCCTATTCTGGCTCAGCTATTTTTCAAATGTGTGTCTCTCTGGGTATTTTTAACAATCATGTAACGGTCACGTATTTTCTTAGTATGCACCTGTAATATCGAATACTATTCTTTCGCAAACCGTAGATAGCAGATAGATCTCTAGCAATATTCGCGTCAATCGCAGTGATTTATCTAACAATTAGACACTCGCGGAGCTGTCGAATAAAATTAAATTTTAATAGCGTATAATTGTTCATTAACTCAACATCTCGGTTTTATTCTGTAAGATGAGTGGGTAAAAAACACTTGGCGTATCCCACTCATGTGCATTGTGAGGCGGCACTGGACAGCCGTGGAGCGAGATTCTCAGACCTTTGACCTCCGCGCGTGTGAGTGCCTCTTTCAAAACACTGCAGCGAGGATACGCTATCACGTCGCGCTCTCACGATTAGTTTCTCAAATCACTTCTTGTTACAGCTTCAGGTCATCAGTCAAAGATGGGACCAGATATAATAAGGTGTAAATGATGTGCTCATTAAGAGATCTTTTATTTTCATGTATAACCTTACGGATGTCTCATCTTCTACAAGTATACAAGTCAAACGGTTTTGTTAGTTTTTAGTTCGACATCAAAATGAGCTACATTATCACCACGTCATCACTGTAACTATCGATGACTCCGTGGCGCAGTTGCCGAGGGCTTAAGCGTCGGGGCTCTTGGGTTCGATTCCCACACGGGACAACTATATTTGTGTTCCACAGATAATTATTTCCGATCTGGTCGTTTGTCCTCGTGAAATTTATTTTTGTAAGACGTCCTTACAACACGGGACAATGTTATTCAACAGAATATATATATATATATATATATATATATAGTAACACTCTTCTTTCGTTTTTTAACATTTCTCTTACAGTGTGATATTTACGAGTATGTTATTGTATAACGCTATCCGGTATTTTAATGAACGATTTACATTTCCTGGTCTTATGCCCGGTTTCCGAAACCCTGGTCATCGTAGAAGTCAACTAATCAGCTGTCAAATGGCTTTTCAAATGTCATTTGAGTTGATGATCTTCTTAATGATCTGAATGATCAATTCAAAAACCTGGCGTCAATATATGTTGTACAACAATATGTGTGCGGAAGGATCGGATACCTTGTTACTATCAGATTTCAAATCCACAATAACAGATAATGACTAAAGATGATGCCTGTAACTATCGGTTACGCGAGTTCGACTATTTCACAGCACCGTGAGCATCCAACTTGTAGTTATTCCGAAAATGAATCGACGAGGCGCGGGCATTGTCGAAATCATTAAGCAGCTACATAAATATCCCGCTGGGGTTATTCGAGAGGCACTTAGAGGTTCATTAGATATCGCGTCGCGTTGAGAGCTTATCAAAATATATAGTAGCCTAATCACGGTGGTATTTTGTCGTCGGATGGGCTACTTGGGCGTTGTGAAACGTCGGGCATTCCGCCGTCCGCCCGTGGGAACGCACCGCTCGGATAGCATGAGGTGAGGTATCGACTTCGGGACATTGCGACGTGACCGAGATTTTTGTACGTCTACGCGAATGCCGATGGAGATGTGATGTGATAGTGTGACTTAATGGTTTCAATTTTTTGAAATTTATGTAGACTTGTGACATCATGTGCTCATTTTTCTATTTACTTCTAACAGTTGCTATTGGATTATGATAATGTTTGAATTTTAAATGCTACAATAAAAGGTACTCACAATACGAATTTGCTATTATTTTTGTTCAGAATTTAGACGTATCTTTATTTATTTGAAGATTGATATATTGCTCGATATTATTTCGATACTCCCTTACGAAAAGGGAATGTTTCGACAACAAAAGTCAACCATGTTTTTAATTTCGAACCAGTGTTCCATAGTTTCGACCGTGGTAGGCCGGCCCCCGCAAAAGTTCGCTGTTGCACGAATGGGCAGATCCGGCAAGTACTATCACCTCACAGAAGACCGGCGTGAAGTTGAAGTATTATACTTTTGCGTTTCGTCTGGTGAGTGAAGTAGCCGGGGCCCACTTTATTAAAAGGTAGCAATGCATCTGCAACCCTACGGGTGTTGCAAATGTCCATGGGTGGCGGTTATCACTAAACATCAGGTGAACCGCTAGTTCGCCTGCCACCTTCTCACATAAAAAAACCACACAGCCAGTGGTGGTCCAGTCCATTGTCGGTCTCTCGTAAATAGATCGCGTAGTATAGTGAAAAGGGACGAGGAGCGTTGCCATTCGCGGCGGACCTAATATACGGACCTAATATACCTAATATGCGGACCTAATATACGGACCTATAACGGGCGGCATCGCGCAGTTTATCGCGCGTTTTATTGCCGCGCGCGAACGCACGCCTACGCGCGTTTCGATGCGCACCCGCGGTTAAAACTAACCGCAGTTAAAACGCGTTATAACGTATACGGTTATACGGACTGTTATCATTGACCAATAATTGTTCAACATTGTAATCAAAATACTCCAGCAACCCCGATCAAATCCCGTTAATTTAAAGTGCTGACTTATCACGTGCCCAGTAGAAGGTGCATCTTTTGCATGTGTATAATAACGAAAATTTCTAAGAAATATGTCTTATTTAATATTAAAATATTTTTTTAAACAAATTAATTAATTTTTGAGTCCGTCGCCTTCTGGTGAGTGAGTTAACTGGAATCTATTCTTTTAAATGGCAACACATTTGTTGCCATTTAAAAAAGTGCACCACGACTGTTGCACATGTCCAAGAGCGGGTATCACTTAACATCAGGTGAACCGCCAACTCGCTTGTCACTTTATCATGTTAACAAATAATTTAAATGTTTTTCGCCGTAAAGTTTTCATTATTAAAGTCGGCTATATAAAAAACAATCGATAGCGAATGTCCTCATCGCATTCGCGGGCGAATGCAATATCCTATTTTCGTTATTAAACGCACTTAATGCCGCCACGCGATCGACGCCGTATAATATCGCATTTTACGACCCGGGGACCTTGGACAATCATGCGATTCCCATACCAGGCTAACATGGCACTCCGAAGGTGGGCAAATGATTTCTCTTCGGTGAATTGCGAAACTCGAAGACGGCCGTCGGCAGCTCTATCTATAATGGTTACGAAATAGAAACGTAACGGGCGCTAGCAGCGAAGTTTCCATATAAAATTGTCACTCTGTCGACTTTATTCGTACGATTTCGCGGGAGTAAATTCACATGTTTGTGTCTGCGAGAGCGTTCAAAAAGTGTTGTGAGTAATTTAAATGTATGGAATGCGATGGAGCATAGCCTATATAATGTTCTGGCTTTCCCTTAGTATATTAAGAGGCTGGATGGTTAGCTTGTAAGGATCGAGAGACCAAAGATTTCGATGATGATATTAGAGGAAATCCTTCGGTACAGGAATACAATGTAATAGGTAGAAAAGAGTGAGTGGAGTGACGACCTGTGTAAATGATAGATGCAGGTGGCTCAGGATCGTTGTCGTGGCAGTCTATGGGGCAGGTCTATGCCCAGCAGTGGACTCAAACAGGCTCAATCAGGATGATGATGAGATAGAACAGAGGCGATTTTTTGACACTTGCTAAGGTATATATTGGTTTAAACGATAGGGAGTAGTAATTTTGTTAGATACGTGCTTAAAAACTTTGAATTACTCACCAATTATTTACTTGTAGTATCGTTAACCCTGTGTCCTGTGCTAATTGTTTTTTCTGGTCCTCCGACGGGTACGGGTGCTGTAACAAGAGAAGGTTTGGTATAAATTTCGGTACATGGCATATTATAGACCTAAGCAAAAACAATATTTTTGACATTCTTGACGAAACTTGTAATGTAAAATTTAATTGAAACATTAATTCTCATTAACGTATTAATTTTTACTTTTTATAAAATAAGTTTTATGTGCAAAAATTGATAAAAAAAACAGGAGTAATAATAAATAAAATAATAAAATATCTTTATTCACATAGACGCTTGCGCGTTCTTATGAAACGTCAAAATTTTACAAGAAATTAACACGTTCGTAAGGTACCACCGGTTCGTAAAGCAGTTTCTGTTGAGAAGAAACCGGCAAGAAACTCAACAGTTGCTCTTTTTAAAAAAATCAGTTTACAATATAATAGTACATGTACAATAGTCTTGTTTTAGCCTACGTGAGTATCAACAGTATTAACCCCACACATTGGCGTCGTCAAGATATTCGGCAATAGTATAATAGGCTTTAGCCATAAGTGTACTTTTAATTTTTCGTTTAAATTCATCAAGTGGCAGACTTAACATCGACTGTGGGATTTTATTATACATGCGCACACTTTGCCCCATGAACGATCTGTTTACTTTTTGTAGGCGGAGTAAAAAATAAATCTAGTCTTTACACAAAAAGATCATTTATACCGCGTCCCCAAGACAGGTAAGTACCAGGAGGCAATGACTCACGTATATCTAATGTTATTGGTTTTTACCGTGCGAGTCGCAGGGTGGGTCCCCCGCGAGACCTCCTTTATTTCATCTCGCCCTGGTAGCCGAACCGCAGGTAGCGTACGTGTGTGTAAATTATTAACTCGCCCGGTTCTAGTCCCTGGTCGATACCGGCTGTTCGGGCTACGTGACTAACGTTCAACTTAACTACATACACGATGCTTAATTTATTTTGGTCGTGTTTCTAACTTAAAATAAGCACGTAGAGGTAAATCTCCGGTTTCAATAACTCGGACGCGGGGAATTCTGCATCATTTATTAGGGCTGAGGAAAATGACATTCTGACTTCGAATAACGTTTTCAAATAAATCATACATTTATTACATCCTTTTGAATCTTGCCTAAGCGTGAAATATCTTAGGATGGTGTTTTAAGATCCTTATAATTTTATAAACTTACATCCATACCGCCAAACGACTTGAAATACATTAAATTCGGATTTAATATTTCCACGGCGCTCGTTAAATTCGCGATGTTAGCGACTAATGTTTAATTTAACACCGGCTCTGCTTAAAATCTGCACCGCTATAAACAGGTGGAATGAAAACGTTTATAAATACCGGCGGACGATTGATGCGCCGTGCTATTTGTCATTTCTTGCGTAAACATTTTACGGGGCGTTTCAAAAAAGATATGTTTATTTAAAGAGACATGATTTAATATGTCCGAGACGGCGGCGTGCTCGGAGTAAATCACTGAAAAATATCGCCCCGTGTCGTGCCAACAAAAACAAAAGGGGCCAAAAGGCGCGAGAGATGACGCGATAAAGCCCGGCTCCCAAAGAAATTGATACGTCGCCCGGCGTGCCGGGGCCCTGACGCATAGCGCACCATTGTCCGCGCTCACTTGCCTCCTATGATTTATGCTCGCCGGGCAACCTGCGCACCCAATACCTTGTTTCATCCACCATTCAGCGGCCGCCGTTCCCGTGTGATAGACGCGTACATTCGCTCGCGATCATCAATCTCTCTCATCACCACCCATCGAAATATATTAACCGACAATGCCGATGAAATCTCTCATCCCGTCCCCGTCTATAAACAGATATTCGGCGCGTACCAAAAGCGAAATGGCCACCCGAAAGCCTGCGAAGCAATCGTTAAACGCGCCGCCGCGCCATAAAAATCACCGTGATAAAAATAAAGGCGTATGGCGCATTACGCCAATTCCCCGATGCGCCGGAGTGTCTAAATAATGTATTCATAGCGAGAATTACGCGGGACGAGGTGCCGCGGCCCCGGATAACGGAGGGGTGTTCCGCAGGGCGCATCGCTTCGCCCGCACTTGACGCCAGCATCGTAAAACAATGATGTTTTTGCCGTTACCGAGCCGCGCCTCCATAAAACTCGACAATAAACTGATTCTATCGCATTTCTCTTGGAGACGGTCGGGCTTAACGCTCGCAAAGTGGTCACTGGATGAGGACAAGATATTTATGACGGTTTTGAGATTTTTTGAGCAATCATCAAATAAATTTTAATTAATAATTCCACTGAAAAAAATTGCAATGGTAATCCAAAATTGGGATTGTCATGCTGATTTGTGTGAGGAAACATAAATAATAATAAAAGTATAATGTTTGACACTAACTTAAGTCTTAATATTCCTTGAAGGAAAGTTAGAACTATTCAAAACTTAAACAAACCCATATGTTTGTTAGAGAGAGTCGGTGCATTTACGCAAAGTAAACATAGCAGATTTCAGCCGGTATCGGACAAGCTAATGAGACGTACAAAAGTGCGTAGCGTAAACCAACGGTATAGGTGGGCGATATGTATCTTAGAATCGGTTAAGTTAGTGCGCAGTACGGTGCGATCGGTTGAGATGAGGATGCAGTTGCTCGTGCGGAGATGGCTTTCATTGAAACAGATGTCGAGATTGTTGCCGCCGCGAGTGCGCTTAAGGCGCGCTAAAGACCTGCGGTTTTTGTTAATTTTTACTTTAACAGGTCGACCGAACTAGTTTCCAATGGCTCAAACCCATAAAGCTTGACATTGCCTCGTTTAAAGAAAACTTAAAATAAAAAATATATCTTGAAGGGAAGCTTAAAGCCAACTTAAAGCGTTTTTTAAACCCTTGAGGGGTTGTAATTGTCCGTAGGTGTTGTCAATCTTTAGAAAAGTTACTAATGTCTGCCTGTCTGTTACTTTATGTAGGTTTTGTATTCAAAAATCTCTCGGAACATTAAAGTGTTGTCCGTGTGTAGCCGGCCTAACCCGAGAATAGCCTCGCGGTGGGTCCGCGCCTCCCGCACCTCTGTTTATTATTACAATTAGTTGCATCCAATCGGGGCCATCGGTAATGCTCCCTAATGCACGATTTGTAATAACCGCAGGATGCGCTGTTTACCTTTGTCCGTCGATCGACGACGCCGGGCCGATGTAATGCTTTGCCAGCGTCAGCTCCTGACCGCCTGGTGTGTGCTGAGGGATGCTACTAACCGGCATGATTATTTGAATTGAATCTGTCGTTACTACAATGGTCGTCTGCATGGTATACAGCCAATTCTAGGTTTAGTGCTAAATGCGATATTCGCCGCGGGTCAGTACAAAGTCTATGAAATACAAAGTCTCCAAGTTTATTAACTAAATTTTATCTCGCAATGACAGTATACAATCTTAAGTGGATACCGCACAAAAATATTATCAACTAAAAACAAAACCCCATAAAGTAGGCGTAGGACAAAAGGAACGGACATAGATTGTCTGTGACCTCTGTTGCAATCGATCGAAATTTATGACGCTAGGACGCATAGGCCCTGGGACTGAGATGGAAGCCCAATCGGTTAGAAAGCCCGCGAAGAGTCTGCGCTTCAACCCACTTACGTTCCCGCATGCAACCGCTTTAATCCCGTCGAAACGAATAGAGATGTTATCGTAAAAAGTCAAAGGACACCGTCCCCGAAGACGGCGCGTCGCGCGGCGCACGCCGAGTTTTTCGTGGGGTCCGGTTCGGAAATCGAAAAAACGCTATCGCAAATTTATGATGCCTATTACGGTGCGCACAAAAACTGGAAAATGATAAAACCCGCGGCCGTCGACGGCCGGCTAACGGGATTTGTCAAAATTATGCCGGGAGCATCGGCTTTTTGCCGACGGCCACCAATTATTTTTAACTAGCAATCCGGGCCCGCGACTTGCCGAATTTAAAGCGACACGAAAATTGACCCCGCTCCCGAGATGATTTATCGCCGATTGTTTTTTAATACGGACGATCTTCGCATCTACCTGCCCGCGGAGACGAGAGCACGGGGTCATTGCACTATTCTCTCTTTTAGGTCGAACTAAACAATGGGAGTGCATGGAGTGGGCCTGTGGTGGGTCCAGTCCCATACCCAACTCTTATGTCACAGGTTCGAAAAGATAAAGGTGGAAATTAGTGAAATTGACGACCAAGGATACTGATCAGTGGTATGCTAACCCAATAAATCTAGATATAGTTTGCAAAGGAACCAAAACGGTGTTAATTATGTGTTGCACAGACTGTGGCAGAAATGTACATATATCATGAACAAATAATGTATCATGAACGCGATAAATGCGGCGTCAGATGACGGAAGCAAAGATTGGTCGTGCCGAAAGTTATCGTGACACCATCGTTGGGTTTCAACTGTGAAGTTCGTTAACAAGCTGTTAGCAACACGTTCGGGCATCGGACGCGGAGTGTTAAATCACGGGACAATTTACAAGTTACGGTAACCCGAGTTGCGAGCGAACGGCGCACCGCGACGGCCCGTCATAAACCCTATCGAGATATCAAATTTCGAAAAGCAATCCCGTTGCGCTCCCATCCCGCACCGTAAATCACCTGAGCGCGTTAAAATCACGATTATGCCGGGGCATAAGTTGGCGATAAATCGGGCATCGGGAGTGGAAAGCCTCGCGGAGGGAGGCGGAAAACTTGCTGCGCGAACTATAAATTTCGCACCGCGCTGCGGAGAAACAATCCATTTGCCGGCGCCGAATCCATGGAGCGATGGAGGGGGGGGGGGGGGGGGTTAAGGGGTCTTTTTTTTTTTTTTTCTTTTTTGGGGGGGGGGGGGAGTATATGTAAATAAGGCCTCGAGTGAGCGACGCAAAAGATTTGCCCCTAATTCTTCTTCCACATCAGTCATACTTCAGGCTCTGACTGTTAACTTTCGTACAGTCAGGAATAACTTAGAAAATATGTACAAATATGCCATACGTGTACGATCACCACTTGTGAAATTGATAGAACAATTAAAGTATGTCGTCGAGGGTCAAACCTGGAGATCGACGACATACTTTAATTCGACCTAACAGTGATCGACGCATCATGATAGTATAACAGGAGAGTAGCTTATAATGGATAAAAAGGCTTTGGACATAAGTTTAAAATTATATTAATTATGTAAAAAAATCATTCTCGTTGAGATATCCCGCAGAACCTTTAACTGAACATTTAATAGTGCTGACATTTTTAACCTTTCCCTTAAGACGTACAAAAACCTAATTTCAAAAATACTTAAGGGTAATTAAATCAGTTTAATTTTGAAATAAAAATAGTTATTTATTGCTTTTTGTTACACATTTACTAACTATTGCCGTAGTTATTGTTTATTATTACGTTTATATCTTATAATCGGAATCTCGGAATCGACTCCAGCGATTTTCATGAAATTTAGTATGTGCGTAGATTCGGGGGCGAAAAAACGATCTAGATAGGTTTTATTTTTAGAAAATATCCTTTTATCCCTGTTTTCAGGGAATGAAAAATATCATTCGAATATGACAGTAAATTTCGCCGCAAAATAAAATATCATAATAGCTCGGTCGGTAATCGGGCGGCCCCAAAACAGACGGCCGTGGTTCGTATCACGATCATTTACACACTTATTTTTTTTTACTTTTTTTCTATACCAGATCATTTTTTTATTTTTTATTTTGATACCACGCCGCCTACCGGGGAGAGCAGCATAAGTTGTAATATGTAGACTTGCCAATTGCTTCCAGAATGAAGACGCAGTTCAGACGGACTATGTGCGTTTGTCGTTATAACACCAGCTAACTCTTACCCAGTCGTGTTGAACTTTGACTAAGGTCTCCCTCGGGAGTCGCACGCTCTCCTCAACGAGCGTGCCGTCGTAAAAGACAATGTGTGATAATCTTCGGAGTCGTTGAAAAATTCAAGGCGCGCGGGCGCGAAACGCGAAACCGAAATTCCCTAATGATATGCGCCGACGGAGGTAATTGAGGCGCGGAGTGCGCGGTGAACATACATCGCAATTTCTCGGCCTTGCGATGATAATGTATTCATGGGGCTTGCTGCTTCACGGCTCGAGTTGACGTCTCAGAGGAGCGGGGCCCCAAAAATATGGCGTCCTGTAAGCCACTTCAAGCAAGCACATTTGCGATACAATTGTTATAACCTCATCACACTAATCATATTATGGGTAAAATTTTCATTTAAGTGTTGCCCCCTCATATTTATTTTCACTTATACGTTGTGTATGTTAGATACTTGAATAGAAATAACTCTTCATAAAGCAAATTTGTGCAATATGCAAAACCTGAGTGTGACTCCGGGTTAAAACGCAGCGTAACTCAGTAAAGCATGCCGTGTATCTGATTGATGTCAGGCATTGGAAATATCGGTAACCAAAGGTGAGGAAATGCCTTGAGTATACTTTATTTTCAACCGATTTCAAAAAAGGAGGAGTTTTTATTTCGAGTGTATATTTTTATGTTTGTTACCCCAGAACTGACGACTGACTTATTTTTTTATTTGAAAGCTGGTACTTCCTATGTGGTCCCATATTAATTTCATTCGTGTTGGATCTTGGGCTCCGAAGATACTTAGGGAACTCCTAAAAATCAAATATAAAATGAACACAGAGCGAGATACTTTGTCTGTTTTGTATTCCGTTACAAAAAAAAATGGAATATTTTAGAAGCGGAACTAATAAGCAACTGTTGGGAAATGGAGTTTGTATATTATATTCATGTATTTATTATTTTCTTTTGATAATCCGACAGCTACAAAGCAGGTCGCACATGTTTCGCGCGAGCCAAAACATATGATCCGTGCACGCTCCAGATTCTTTAGTCCCTTGCCGTTGAACCTGTTGATGGATTAAATTTTTCCCCGGCAAGACGTCAAGCGCGAATTGAGTGCTGAATTATGCACGCTCCGTTTCGCCCCGTCCTGCGCTGAGCGATGCGATACTGGGTTCCGTCGGATTGGTGCCTTTGTGCTTGGCGGAATTGCCAAGAGCGTTTGGCAATACCGCGGCGGGCGCCAAACACGCGGAGCGCTACCGACGCCGAAAGGCGAACGATGGGCAAACTGATACTCTGTACGTGTGAGAGACAGTTGCCTGTTAAAGTTCTTTATTCTTTATTTGCATTCCACAATGTAGCTTAGGTGGTAGAGATTTAAAGTTAAGAATCATCATGGACCCTGCTAGGGCATAGCAATAGTAAAAAAAAAAAAAAATGTTAAGACCTAAATACAATTAGCATTAAAAAATTCGAATTAAAATACAATTACTTTATTTTTACAATTAAGCGTACAATGTCCATATAACTTAATATTAATTTAATTATTTTTAAACATAACATTAACAATATAAAATGAATTGATATTACATAATTTCATAACCATAAAATTTTATAATATAGAATATTTGAGTATATTAGAGTAGTGTTTGTTAATCGCTTAAATATTCGTGTATGCTATAATAACTCTTGATTAATAATAATTTTTTCATTTCGTTCTTAAACAGATTGCAATTTTATATTGCCTTAATTTTATTTGGTATTTTATTGTATATCTTTACACACATCGCGTAAGGTCCTGATTGAAAGAGGGCTAATGAGGAGCTTGGTAACGCTAATTTATTTCTATATCGGAGGTTTCGATATTGAAGTCGTTCATTATGTACGAGAGGGAATAAAGATGGGTGTTTTCTAACGAATTTACTAATTTCAAGTATATATATGCAGATTAATGTTAGAACTTTAAGTTTCTTCAGTATAAAATGTGATTCACAGCTCTCCAAAGGATCTTTTATATTTGCAATTATTCTAATTATTATTTTTTTTTTTTTGTAAAATGAATAGTCTTCCTAAATCAACACTAATATGTATACACCCACAGTACTATACCGTAACTTAGCCAGGAGTATGCGTATGCGTAATATGCTGTTATTGTTGTTTTTATATCTGTTGCTTTTTTGAGTTCGTTTAATGCGTATGTGAATCTCGCTAGCTTGTTAGTAATATTTTGTATATGGGCTTTCCAATTTATAAATGTATCTATCGTCAAACCCAAAAGGGAAAATTCAGCGACGCATTCTATTTCTGTATTTTGGAATGAATAGTTAATGTTTAAATGTCGTTTTTGATATGGTCTATACTGCATTAACTTTGTTTTTTTGTAATTTAATTCTAAGTTATGGTCTTTGAGCCAATTTGCTATTTTTGACAGGTATTCATTCAAAATCGTATTTAAATTTCCCCGGGCGTCATATGGGAATATAATTGATATATCATCGGCAAAAAGTATAGTTTGAGCGTTTATTTCTTTTGGCAGATCATTGATATATATAAGAAATAGTAAACATCCTAATACACTGCCTTGTGGTATGGACATTTTAAGGTCAGCTTTTTGTGATCTAACATAGTTGATGTAACCAGACTGTGTGTATTCTTTTATTTCTACATACTGGGTTCTGTTTTTTAAAAATGATGTGAACCATTGATGCGCTATCCCTCTTACGCCAACAGAGTACAGTTTGTTGAGAAGTATTTTATATGAAACCCGATCATAAGCCTTGCTCATATCTAATAGGATTCCAATTGCATACTTTTTTTTTGTTTAAAAAATTTAAGAATTCCTGAATGTATTTGTATACAGCTAAGCTTGTAGATTTATTTTTCCTAAAGCCGTTTTGACTTTCATTAAATATTTTATATTTTTCACAATAATTGTATAGGCGTTATGATACTACAGTCTCCAAAATTTTTGAGAAGGTGGGTAGTAATGCTATTGGGCGGTAATTTGAAGTATTTGTATGCTCTCCTTTTTTAAAGACAGGTTTTATAATTGATGTTTTAAGTAGGTCCGGTACAATGCCTTCTTCTAATGATTGATTAATTAGCGTTGTTAGGGGTATACTTAGTTCTTCTATGCATGATTTTACAAGTAGCGGTGAAATTTCGTCATGTCCATGCTATGTTTGTTGTTTAAATTTCTTATTATTTGTTTTATTTCAATAGGGTCTACTGGTCTAAGGTAAATTGAGTTCTCGCTAGGACTCACAACAGGACGGCTTTGCGGGTTGTAGCCTCCTTGTGTTGCTTTGGTATTTCATACTGATATAAAATAGTCATTAAAGGCATTAGCTATCATACTTGCATTATTCGTCAGTCTGTTACCAATGTTTAATGTTATACTTTTGCTTATTTTTTTGTTTAATTTGTTTGTGCGTTCCTTTATTATTTGCCACATTGTTGAAACTTTATTTCCTGACTTTTCCATTCTTTTAATATAGTATAGCTTTTTTGATGTTGCTATTGTGTGTTTTAATATTTTTTCATATTTTTTATAATATGTTTTGAGTATATTATTATTGGTTTTTGAGGTTAGTATTCTCAATAGTCGTTTATGTATTCATGACGTTTTTAGCTCCTTTGTTAGCCATGTCTTTGATTTATCTTGCTTAATTTTTATTTGTTTTTTTGGCACACACTCATTTAATAATGTTTGTAAACTATTATGAAAGGACGTGTAATTTTCGTTTATATTTTTATTTGCACAAATAATATTGTCCCATTTTAATTTACCCAGCTTAGATTTAAATATTGTGATAGTGTATTTATTTATTTGCCTTTTGAAAGTGTACCAAACCTTTTACTTTCAGAATTGTTTATTGGTAAAGTGATTAAAACTCCTTTGTGATCAGAAAGTCCAAATTCTATTACCTCTATTTCTCGATTATAAGGACTATTAAAGAATACCAAGTCAAGGCAAGTGGAAGTTTTAGAAGTTATTCTGGTGGGTTCGGTTACCATTTGACGAAAGCTGTAGCTGGACATTGTGTTGAGGAGGGTTAACGATGTCCTATCTTTCTCTAATATGTTAACATTGAAGTCTCCCCCTATTATTATGTTTTTGCAAGGATCTCTTATAGTTAAAATTTTTAATAATTTTTCTAGAGTGTTATAAAATATTTGTGTTTGTCTATTTTTTTGTGGCCAATATACTATTACTATGACATTTAAATTCGATATTTCAACGGCACATATTTCAATAATGTATTCGACACTCAAATTAGTTATGTCTTGCCGTTCAATGTGCTCAACATTTTTTTTCAAGAATATAGCTACCCCTCCGCCTTCTCGATTTTTTCGGCAATATTTTGCGGTTAGGTTAAGCCTTCTATTTTTAGGAAGTCTTTCTTTATTTCAGTCACCCATGTTTCCGTTAAACATAGTAAGTGTATTATATTTTCATCAAGTATTGATTCTATAAGGTCTCGTTTAGTTTTCAAGCTTTGGACGTTTTGGAATAGAATTTTAAATTTATTCTCGAACGGTGTTAGTTTGATATATAGGATTATGTTTTTGGTCAGATATTGGTACTTTTATTGTTAGTGTTGCATGATTTGTTGGTTTGTAGTAGTTTAATATAGTGGTTTGTCGATATTTTTTAGAAATTGCTGATGTCTTAGGGTTTTTAAATATTGAGTTTATGTTTAAAAATTGTGTGTTGTACTGTAAGTAGTCTATTTCTACATTCATTTTAAAGAAAGCCTTTATGTAGTTTACGGTGTTTCGCTTTACGTAAATATTATTTTTATCATAAATTTCATATACATTTATAAGTTTACGATGTTGTGTAAAATGCAACCGCTTTCGAGCGATAAGTGGCCTACATGATAGTAAGTTACGGCCTCTTCAATATTCTACGACGCTTTCTGGGAGCAATTCTTGACTTGGAAAAAAAGGACTTAAACAGATTCGATTTGACGGTTGAATCCATTGTTTATTCACGTTAAAGTGTTTTAAGAGGTCAATAAAAATCAGTTATCTAAACTCGAAGCGGGAAACGTGACCCCTATCCGATTAGGCGTTTGAAAGTCTAATTAAGCCCCGCAACATTTTAATTATCGCAACGTTGCACTGCAAATTCAAATCTCATTCCTCAAATAAGCATTGGGAGGGCCGAGAGGGCCGTTAGGGGCCGGGAGGGCGACCACAAATAGATGTCAAAAAAGCGGGGCCGCGGGTATGGGGCCTTTATGGGCGACCAGGGACACATAAAGGTGCGGAGGTGGCCCTAACCCTATCGAAGAGATGCGACCGCCTGATGGATGGCTCCATCCGAGCCCTTCGCGACACTATCTCACTGCGCCTCTCGCCGTGACTCCTTCTTTATTCATCCCGGCTTTGTTTATGTGCGAACGCGGCACTTTTTATTCGCCATTTCCAATGAAATTCGTCCGTCCGCGCGTCTTTCCCCGGCGCTATATTGTTTTATGTGCACTCTCGGACGTAACGCAGGTTTTACAACGCTCTGAGATCGCCGACAGTGCTTCCGGGCGATTAAGTGGAATGCTTTTGCCTGATTTCGCATTGAACACGATTACTAACTATAACTGTGTACTATTGCCGAATTAATATCGCTAAATTAACATTTACTTCTAATTTATGTTGTGCTTTTGTATTTTGATGTTTGCCATCTATCATGTTTTAGTAAAAACCAGATATATATTTGTATAAGATATTTGTTTGGACCGGAATATATTTGTTTTGCCTATAGACATCATTTGTTGTAAGCTTATGAATGTATTGGTAGTAAAAATATGTGTCAAATTGAATGTGTACTATCATCATAAAGTGAATTTTCGTCGACAGTAATAGACGCTAAGCCGAGTATCCCGCGTGATAAAATTCGTTCCTATCGCAGAGCGTTTCGGCGCCGTCCAACAAGCCCCGAAATAGTTCGTGAACTGGCAACATTCGCGATCTCAAAAAAAAAAAAGGTTTAGAGACGGGTTAACGGAAGGACACCTGTCAATGCGCTGTCGCCGGTACATTTTTATCGGGTCGCGTTCCGGATAAAGAATTCATAGAGGGCACTGGCAACGTGCGCGGCACCGGCCCTGAATTATGCAAATCCGTAATGGACACCGTGCACGATTCGCTCTGGAAATAGTTTTGCGGCGAGCGGACAAGGCAGCCCAGTTTTTGCGTTGCCTGAATAATGAATGGACGGAGGACGCGCCTCGTGATTGGCAGCCGGGCCCGCAATAGGCCGGCCCGTGTCGCCGATGACGTATCAATTAATGGTGGACTTAGCGTTTCACCTGTTAACGCCGAATCGTTCGTGCAAAGCAAAAAACGCGGGCACGTTCCGATTTAGACTTAATACCTGTTGCCTCGTTGCGGAACTGCTACCGCCTAATGTAATATAAGCCATTTTAATTTGTGGCCAAACAGTTTGAGATGACACAGGCATTATTGACACTGAAAATATTGAATTTAAGCTCAAGCACAGATTCATATGGGAAGGGAAACATGATTACATTAAATACTTCTCATAATAGGTATAAAAATATTCAACGGTTTTCAACAGAGGTCGAGATTTCAACTATCTGTAGGGGATTCCCAGAGGTAATTTATACAAATGTATTTTAACTCTTTGTAATACCGATATTACAGAAGCCGGTCCGGTTCAAACAGTAGATTTGTCACTGAATCGTCGTATGGGTCTTAGCTTGACACCACGTTTTCTCGCAATTGCCAATTTACCGTGTGCGATTGAGACCACAGGCTTAACGGAACCATTGCCAGCTGACGTTCGAATTTCGAAACGTGAAGCGGCAACAAAGCGCGCGAACGAACAAAGCCCGTTTGAGACGTCCATTCGCGTCGATACTAATCTGCGCAGGCGGAAGCGGCCGGCGGGATCGGAAGCCGCAACTGGGCTAGGAAATGAGATAGGTCCAGCGCTCTGTCGGCGCTCTGTTAGCCTGGTACCTCTCTATCGTATCGAGCTGACGTGCAGGGACCTTTGGTAGGTTCCACGTCCCCAAGATGACCTCTATTGGAGATGATAAAATTATAACAGTTTAATTAAAGTAAAGTAACAGCCTATACATCTCCCACTGCTGGGCAAAGGGATATATATATACAGAGGGTATAGGATATAGACCATCACGCGGCCCCACTGCGGATTGACAGACTTCACATATCTCCGAACTATATTAATTGTTATTATTTTATGAGCACGTGATAATTCAGCACTTAAAATTAACAATTTCATTGGTGCCGGGGACCGAATTCAGGTTGCTCGAGTATATTGAATTAAAGGCGAGCGCCCGGACACTGAGAAAGTGTTGCTTTGTGAAAATTATCGTACAATAACGCTCCAAATACGTCACCCGGTCGTGTAGATAAACAAATTGCGTTTTTCGAACCATCCGTCCCTCTAGAATAACTAACAGTCGATTCAATGTTGTCTTGTAACGTGAAATCAGTACATTTGCGAACACCGTAAAAGTGTTGAGGTTTTGTTCTTGCTCCTTTCGGCGGGGACGGGCGTCTCGCTCGGGAGTTTTTGCGCGGCGGAACAAAGTCCGATGAATATGTAGGGGCCTATAAAACTTTGCATATCGATCGAGACATCAAAGGAGGCGGTATCGTTTGCGGAGTGGGAAACGGACGAGAGAGTGCGCGGGCGCCGACGGCGGCGTGTACAAACGCGCGGGTAATGAATGCAAAAAACGAAAACGTATGCTTGATAGTATGCTAAATAGATGGTAGGCATGATGGCAGTTTTAGCTGAACCACGCCCATATTAGGCGTAGAGATCGAAATTAATGTGTTGGTCATAATTACATAAACAATTTTTTTACAATGTTTACTATTTACAAAATTGTGGTCTGCGACAATTAGTCACACACTATTTCACCAAGTGCGATTTATCACGTTTGCCTACAGACACATGAGGAACAAAGTTATTAAAATTGTTTCGATATTTTCGTTATATCAAAGTATTTATAAAAAAATAAATACAATTTTTGTAACGGTCACCGATTTGCATACACAACTGACAAGGAGAGATTGAGAGACCACAGAGAGAGATTGTATATATGAGCTGTACTAACATCACGGGACGTAGTGATTGAAGCAAAATTTAATAATTCATTTCGATGCACTGTACGTGGACAATGCAGCTTGATACAGACAAATCTATCTGAAATCGATGCGTTGAATGGCGGTGCGTAAATTAAAACACGTGTCGCGCGTTGATTAGCGCCGCGAGCGGACAGATGGCAGACTCCCGGTCGAATCCGAACATTGCGATCGCCTCTAATACCTTAGCTATGGTGCGTCTTTCCATATGTATTATGAAATCATTTACTGAAATATGTACGAAATACCGTCATTATTTTCTTGCCATTTCTTCTCTAAATCGTACTTAAATGTTATCAACAGTGAATACTATCGTATATCGTATACCTACTATGATCATAACTGTTTGAAACGATCATCTAAAACATACAAAAAAAACTTGAATCATGTAATTTTTACACAGTCCAACTGGTATGGAATACGCATCTCACGCAACGCATCGCAATCTCAAGGGAATACCGCAATAGTCTATTAAATTATATGTTAGGGAGCTCTTGTTTTTGTATTTCATATAAATAGCTCGATGGCCTTTTTTATTTAATTAATTAATAGGCCGTCGGACATACCGAAAAAATTATTAGTTTGTAACTAAACTGATAGATGTTTTAACGAATTTTAAATAATTAACATCGATTTCTTTCACGTTAACAACATCGGATATAATTAATCTAACGTTATACCTAGCTGCGTCGTCGTTTCGACTCTATGGCAACGATGTTATAATTCCGTCAAATAGATAAATAGCTAAGGGAACCGCCATTCCGCTCCGTACTGGCGACACGCTATGATTTACGCGGCATCGATACCGGTTAGATGTGAAATTTGTCAGGGCTGGCTGTTTATGCGCGGTCGCGTCGCGACGCGAGCCCGCGCGTTATTTAGCGCGTAGCGTTATAGCGTCGCCGTTGATGATAACTGCGACGCGTTTACGCGATTGATGCCCTCGTCGGAAACTAGCGCAGCGTGCTTGGGATTAACGAGAGGATTAAGCAATGTAAAAGGTTAGAACTAAATCTAGGCCCAAACAGACCACTACTTCAGGACAAGATAAATTCAGCACAATTCTGTATATTTTAAAACTAGCGGTAGCTCAGATTAACAATGACGCTCAGACGTCCGACGCCGCTGTATTATCGCGTGACCTTGAACGCTGAACAGATTTCGAAACGTCGGGAAATAAAATTAAAGATAAACGCGATAAATCGGTGAATATAGTTACATTTAGTAATTGTGAACTAAAGTTAGGATGAATACACCGTTTCGATTAAACGGTGACCGGAGAAAGCTCTAAAACAGTGGGAGAGTACCTAAGGGCCTCTTTAAAGTTATAAAGAATTCGTATTTAAAAACGGATTCGTCTTATCACATTGAAAAGAGGCGAAACTTTACTTCTAATAAAGAAATACTCTCGACTAGACTTCATTCAATGGAAACAAGTTCTGTGTATAAAAACACTGTTTTTTGTACGTTTGTTATCTTTTCGACAGCACAAAGACTTTTCCATAGTTCTCATATAGATAAGCGTAACACGTTCACAGTCGACACTTAACGGTAATAAAACCTGACCCTTGTTACGTTTCTCTAGGTGTCAAAAAACAAGCTTTGCGCTGCCCCCGCATCTAATACACCTCGGTTCCCCGGCAAGTTGGAGCCGTCGAGGCGTCGACGACACGGTGCCCGGCACCCGCCAAAACGATGTCGCGAGCGCAGCCCGAGGACAGGGGCGGAGCGCCCGCCCCCGCACGCGACCTCGGCCTTCGGTCACACGACTACCAGGCCATTGGGAAACTCCCGGCAAACGGCCCTAACAAGCGGGCTAATGGAACAGATCACGTACAATTGCCAACGTTTGTGACAGAGTCAGGGTAAAGACTAGTTTCTATATGCAGAAAATAAAACCCACAATCAATTAGAAAACTTGACATTGATTTCTGATTACAAGTTTCGGAATCCATTGCTTGTCATTTCTTATTTCTACATCATCATCTTAATGATTATGAACTGAACAACTTCACAAGCTTTTAGTTATGGTAAGGCCATGCAACAGTGGGCAGGTCCGTACGGATAAGTACCACGACCTCACAGGAGACCGGCGTGAAATGGAAGTGTTTCGTCTGGTGAGTGAGGGTGCCACGGCCCACTTTATTAAAAGGGGGCAACGCATCTGCTACCCTACGGGTATTGTTCAGGTGAACCGTCAGCTCGCTTGCCACATTCTCACATTAAAATATAAAGTTAGAAGGTCGAACTGCTGTTTCGTATAAATCAGAAATCTGATTGGGTTTCACATGATTTATATGAATTTGATTTCCTCTCCCCATTTCCTTATCATCGCTTTATATCTAACTCCGTCGACTTCGAGTTGATTTGGAACGTTAGCCGTTGTATATTCAATCCCAATACGTGAAGCGGCAGGTCTCGGTGAAGCCGCCTCAATCATAGCTCGACCTTCGACCCGAAACATGTCCGATCCGCCTTGCTGGCGATAAATCAGGCCAACGAAGATCGGGGGGCACAGCCCGCTTAAATTGATGAACAAGGAATCCGATCAGCTTTCGTCGTGTCTCTGCATTTCAACAACGGCATATCACACCGGTTCCCGTACAAACCATGCTGGATAAATAAAGCAGAATTTATATCCATTTTCTCTTTCTGTTGCTTCATGTTGCATCATTTTATTAACTTTTCTAAAATGCCCTCGTCTGGCAGTATCAACGTTTTTGTAAAATCTTATAAACTTTGAGCCATATTAAAGTCAACCAGTTTCCACAATGCACTTCAATTCTTCTTAAAAACCAGCACTAGTTATAAGATTGATAATAGTTAAAAGAGTAAATGTTATTTATTCTTCAATTTGCATATAATAAGCTTGCGGGCTAGCGCTAAAAAATATATACTAGATTCCATGTTTTTATTCCAGTAATTCCAAAAACGATCAATTTTAAATAAACATACAAAATGAACGCCTTGTATCCAAACAATCCCATACCAATCACGAGGCGTAGAGGAAGAATAAAAGAAACGATCGCTTTTTTTATTTGCAAACAGCAAATTGCTATAATCAAATCAGAATCATGAATGGCCGTTACAACACCCCAATTATAAAGCACGAGCCTTTGCCCCAAGACGTTTTTTCTAAACTCTTCCCACGCGCAATGTTCGCGCGTAATTATAGGTTCCAGTTTGTAATAACGCATCGCAACTAAATTGTATATCATTCGGTTCTTTTCCCCGCGAACGCGTCGGGTGATTAGAGCGGCCATCTTGTGGGCGGGCTCGCCCGAAGGCGACACGATCCCTGATTCCATTTTCGAAAGTTACACTAATCGACGCTGCAAGCACGCGCGGATATTCGAACGTGTGTTTTTCAAATTGGGAACGTCCTTAGCCCCGCTATTCCTGGGCGGGATTTGACTACTGTCACTTTTGACAGCCCTGATTGACGTTCGTAAATACCGCGAGTCAAGTACGGGCTTGTTATGCCCCGTTCGGAAACGTAAGAAAACGTTTCTATTTCGATGGAGAGCTGTTGATGTCACCGGTCGCTTTCGTCCATTCGCTCCGCGAGAATGTCGCCCCAAGGGGCGATGGATTAAGGTGGGTTTTTGTTTGCGAATTCCTCGGGGCATAATATTAATTAACTCACCGCCTCCAGGGGTCCAGATGAGTGCATATTGAAACGTCAAAAATCAGTGTTTCTTTTGCTTCACATTTTCGGCCAGTTCCAATATCCTCCACGTCAAGTGGGAGACAGACAGCTTCGGCGGGCCGCGCTTTGTATTTTTTTCCAATGTTGAAATAGAAAATCGCCTGTTTTATCGGGAAACAGACGCGGAGACCAAACGTTCGGCTTTCTTTTCTCGTTCGTTATTTTGCATTTCAGAAATGGGCACACCGTTCGTCGTATTCGTAGTGAGGTATTTACATTGCAGGATATGTCAATTTAAAATTGGATACGAGACGTATTGAGAAATCTTTGCAGTTACACTCTATTTGGACGATTGTCATGTCAGTATCATGCCGTGAGTAACGTACTCAAGGCATGATTGCGCTTTAATTATAAAAGCCTACATTAAAAATCAATACAATAGCTATGGTCACAGGCCATCGATGCCAATTCCTCATAAATGTCTTAATGAGTACAGTTTAAAATCGATGAATATTAAAAGGCCATTAGCCGGCTGAGCGTCGAGCCGAATGCAAAATGGAAAGCGCAACTAAAACTAATCCAAGAAACGAACGGGAAATCATTCATTCATATTCATAGTGGCGGAACGGGGAGGCTTTCACGAAAATGGCTAGGAGTCGGATGAGGTGCATGAATATTAACGCGGAGCGTACCAGGCGGCCATAACTATATTAGAGATGCTGGCGCAACGTACATTGCGCGCCGGCAGGGGCACGTTTCAACTTGCGCCGGGCGTTCTGAAATTTGACGTTTTGACAGCGCCCCGACGTCGGCGGCGTCTCCCGGCCCTCTCCCGCGCGCGGCGGGGCCCATCTTCCCTCTCCCTCGCGCCGCACCACACTCGAGACTCCCGTTTCTGCTACGTCTGACTTCTGATGTGAATTGTTAATGCATCGGTAATTGATATTATAATTTTGATGGGCCGTTTTGTTGTGAGGACCGTGGCTTTCGTGGCGGGGGCGTTCCTTTTTTTTCTCTGGATGGAACAGCTCGCGACATGTGCAATGGCCGACAGGAATGTAAAGATCGTAATTGTAACTAGCAGAAGGCCTATTACAACATCAAATGTTTGTAATTGAATAGTAATTTTTTTTACATTCCTCACCTGCACCATCCGCCAGCTGTATTCCGATGTCGATTACTTGATTAGGAAGTAAATGGTATCTAACTTATTACTATACAATATTAAGTTTTCTGAACTTCTATGCTGAAGGGAACTTTGAAAATCACCATCAACGTGCAATCCTTTTAGTTTAGAAAAATCTCTGAGTATAGATCCAATGCCAAAAAAAAAAAAGACCTCCTATAAAATCAAGTCTCGTTTTCATCGTATCGGCAAATTGCCACCGGCCACGAAATACCAAACGTTACAGACACTACTGTAAAAAAAGAACTATCGACGTCAAATTACAACCTACGAAAGTTCGGCGGCTGCTGCAAAACCTGCTGATCAGCGGAACACATGCCGGCCGATCTAGCCCGAGTCTAGACCTGAAAATAGACGTGTCGACTTGACAATGGAGCGGAGCGGTCCGGTGCGACGGGACAGCGCGTCAATCGCGAAACGCCCGCGAAAAAAGGGCGGGAAAAAAGAGCGCCAAAAGCGTATTAAATGCTTAAAACAGCGCGCGTCAGACCGCAACGGCTTCCTGAGGGCCGTCCAAATTCGCAACGTTCGGAAACCATGCGAGGACGGAAATTTGGACAAAAAAGAAAATACACGGGGGAAACGTACACAATAATAAAAAATACACAATAATTCTTAAGCGTAATATTGAACTAACCGTTTAACTTTTTGTGCCTGGTAGGACTGTATCGGAGGCATAGTAAGTGTGTTCTAAGAATATAAGGAGTAAATAGATGGGGTGAAAAACTTTTAGTAAAGTATTTTGATGACGATCTAAGAGAACACGAAAAAAAGGAACACTTCTAAATAGGGTGTGGAATTTAGATGGGGACAGGCGAAAAAAGACTGGGCTAGTCTGAAGGCATGCGTTTGGTGGGTGTATCTCCGAAGCCAGGTGTCGATTAAGGGCGGGAGTAATGGTCATTCATTTTCAAGAGACCGTGACAGGTGGTGGAAATAGGGAAACCTATTTGAAATGGTAAACCAAATTGATACGGGTGGCAAGTTTGTATGCTGTGGTAACGGTTTCGGAAGCAGTATTTTATTCGTAAGTAAAATTTTTTTTTATCATTCCAAGTATTTATTGGGAGGATACAAAATCAGACAATGAGCTTACTTTTAACTACTGGTATGGAACAATGATTTCTATCAAATTTAACTATGGCGAAAAATTCCCCAAAAGCATGCTTGATACCGAGTAAGGTCCCATCATTTTTGTTCTCGCGGCGAGATAATGAAATGAACGCGTCGATGCCGGCGTGTGGAAGTGCAAAAAACACTTCGGAAATTCATCTGTGCCGGAACAAAACAGTTTAAATCCCGGGTTTATTTAGCGGGCGGGTATCGCGCGCGGCGTACATATCAAATTTTATTGACATTCGCGCCGCGTACTGCGCTTTTTTCGTATTCCGAGTTTCGAGTTTCGTGGCCGTTTTGTTTCTCTTTTTAGTCCTTTTTTCCAAACGGCCGCGGCTGACGTGCGCTTTAATTTGGTAAAATATATCCAATGGCCGATTCCGTGCGATTTGAATTAAAATGGTTACACGGAGGCGCCTAAGTTGACATTCGTTGATACTTAAGTGAGTCCGAATATTAAATTGTCCATTTGTTATAAGAGGTACATTATTATAATGGTATTCGTATGGCCACTAACTCACTGACCGGCTCTAACTTAAAACTTGCTTTGAATGCACGAATACTCGAGCCGTGTCGAATCCTCGGTAATGAGTAAAACACAGTAAGAAAACCTGGAGGCTTTCTGACTTTGTTTTTAGTTTTATATTGTCAATAATAATAATAATAAGAAATTAGACGATATGAGAAGTCTACCAATACAAGAATTTTTACGGTGGTAGGGCCACGCCATTCGTCCGCAGGCCCGTCCGGGTAAGTACCACGACCTCACAGAAGACCAGCGTAAAGTGGAAGTATGAGAAAAACTTTCGCGTTTCGTCTGGTGAGTGAGGTGGCCGGAGCCCAATTTTCAAAAGGTTTTTGCATCTGTAACCCTCGAGTGTTTCAAACTCAACATCAGGTGAACTGTCTGCTCGTTTGATAACTTTTCGCATAAAAAAAAATACAAAGTGGGCTCGCAGTCAGTAATGGCAGACTTTGCCTTAATACCCTCTGTGTAGAGTGGTAGGGCCACGCAACAGTTCGCTGTTGCAAGAATGGGCAGGTACCTCCGGGGAAGTATCACAGGAGGCCCCTGTTAAGTTTAAGTTTTATACTTCTGTTTTTTATTCGTTGTTAAGTTTGCCCATAACAACGAATTTTATTTTTACTTTATGCAAGAGATATCAACAAACATGATTTTATAACAGTTTTATGATATTTTTTTAACAATTTACTTTTTATAAATTTTAAAGTTTTTTATAGTGCTAATCTCAACATTTTTCTACATGTTTTAATTTACTTTTTGAATGCGACCGAACTAACCTGTGTTTAGTCCTGTTAAGTGAATATTATATACGTCTTCTGCTAGTAGCGGCAGATAGATTTACGGCAAATTTAAATTGAAACAGAGTTGAGACATCGTTTGTTGTGTTGTTGATACACTTCGCCTCGTTTCACGTCAACACCGATCGGCGTTCGGTTGTCACGCTGCCACGTTTGAATCGACAAGTAACCTGACTGTAGCGATATCAAAGCGTTACCCGGGACGGTTGAGTTTGCGGCGCAAAGCTCGGCCCCACAAAGTGGAGCCCCCGGGCAGGGCGTGTGTAAGAACGCGCCTAATCAAACGAACAATCCCGTTTTCACTTTGTTGTAGTTTCTTTGAAGTCTCCTCCTTGATATGATCCCCTGGTACCTGTGACGCGGCGGCGATGTCAGTTGAGAGAGAGGTCTTGTTTGTATTAACTGTCGCGTTTGTGGTTTTAATTGTTTTCTTGCTCTATTTACAAAACTTTTGAGATGTTCACATGTTGCATTTGGTTCTATAATTTCTGAGATTATTGCCATTAACTGCTTTTCATGCATTGTCCACAGGCATGCGGGTGAATAGCGTCACTTGTGATATACGAGTAGAAATTAGCCGTAAAGTGTGTTGCGACACCTATGGGGCGTGTGATAAACTCAATCAGAAGACAATACATAAAGAGGCCTGAGCGTACTCCGGACTTATGGGCACGGTAACAATACAGCGTATCAGTTCCAAACACAAAACACGAGCGGTAGCGGGGAGCTATAGCTTTATGTTAACAACTTTATTGATCATACGTCGTGATACAAAACAGTCAATGGTGCAGTTTCACATCATCGTTGTTTAAAGACTAACGTTCACATAAACATACCTTAGAATTTCAGATTGGTTAAATGCGTAAACAAATCTGAGCATTCATGATCGCGAAAGGTCAGCATCGGAGCTGATCAATTTACTTCACGAACATCATATCAATTATGGAGCGATATTTTATAGGACACATTTTTTACACAACGTTCTCTAGTCCCAAACTAAGCTAAGCTTGTACTAGAAAACTGATACTTTTCTTTTGTAAATAAATACATACTATACAATTATAAACACCCAGACATAGAGTAACACTGTGCTTATCACACAATATTTTTCCAGTAGTGGAGATCGAACCCACACCCTCTGGCGCAGAAGTCAGGTACACTACCCACTACGCCATTCGGGTTGTTTCGAACTGAAATCCGCTCAAGCTCGTGACTGGGGCGGAGCGTTTTCGCAGGTGAATCGCCGGCGCTCATGGCCGGGGCGGCGGGCGTGCCGGCCTCATTGCGCCCGACGCGATAACCCTGTCGGCGGCGTGACGGAGTGGCGCAGTTATCGGCTGCATTGTGCCGCGCCCATTGTTGTCCACCCTCCGACGTCTTCATGCCGCCGGGGCCGAAGCGCCGTAACAGCGGCGGCCGGCGGAAACCGAAACCCGCCTCGGAACAGGCACAGAATACACCCACGCACGCCGTCCAAACAGGCGGACGGCTACGGGCGAACCGCAATACAAACACGGCATCAGATCGAACAGGTTAGGAGACTGCGCTGTGCTCGCCCGAAGGTAAAGTGGAAAAACACAATTCACAAGAATTCTAACTATTATTCTAACTATTATCTATTACTTAATACCACAAAACAACTGCCCTAGGTACTAGGCTACAACGAATGATACAAAGTTTAACGCATTATACAGCGTGCATTATACAGCGTGTAGTTACCATCGCGACAATAAATGAACACACGTCTAACGCTACTTGCCAATAATCATAAAAAAATATTAACGTTAAATTAAATCCATAATTAAAAATAAATATTTTTCAAACAAACTAATTAAGTAAAAGAAAAAAAAAAAAATTGTAACACCCTATACAACTACAACTGACTGATTCATACATTTAGAGACTTTTTCATTCGTTGCCACAGCGTCGCATTAAAAGCCTCTCCTTCTAACGGTATGTTTTGTCTCGTTTAAATTCATTCAACCCATTCATATGCTTTGTGACCTTTACAAATGAACTTTACGTTACAGTTTTATACGTAAGGGTGTTCTAAAACTTCTTGTTTTGGAAAATTTAATAACTCTGTAAATATTGATGTTTAAAGAAAGTAAATGTTTAATACAATTTTATAAAGTTATCCTCTATATGTGTGTTCATTTATTGTCGCGATGGTAAAGACACGCTGTATAAACATTATGGTTTAAAATAAAACCTTAATTAAATCGTCTCAGGGATTCCTAATAGATTTCCCTGAACATAATTCGCAACATAAGCTTAAAACGCGTTAATACACACAAAGATATTTAAAACTATTTTTAAAGAGATGGAACTCCTTAGCCTCTTTTTTGTGATTTAAACAAGGTATTCTCGTACATCAGTAGTACTAACCCTTTCTTTGAATGAAATGTTCAATGCAATTTAATATCGACGTTACTGAGACCTGACAGTACTAACCACATACATTAAACACGTTATTCATCAACCAGAACGGACGAGGCAGCTATCTTTGTTGTCTATAGACTCATTACAACAGTACAAAGATGGCGGCACCAGATGCCTGGATTTATTTACTCTCGAGACAAACAGTTAGACTAAACAAACGTCGAGATAAAGGCTGGAAAATTGGCGCGTGTGTGCCATGCGTAAATAACTGTGCCTAGGCCGAAAGCTTTGGTGAGCTGATTTCTGATTGGATGACGGCAACAGCTGTCCAGGTTTTTATTGGCCAAAGGCTCTGTAGGTAGGAAGGGCACTTGGCGCTTCTTTAAATATGACCCGAGTAATTATTAAGAGCTCCCCGCTTTGTCTTACCTGTTATCTAGATCGGCTTCGTCCTCGAAGACTTTGTGGATCCACAAATAGACTGATGTATCAATACAATTTGCAAATTGATCGCAGTAGACCAAAACGGAACGCGAACTTGAATCGAAACTACAGTTAACGGATACGATAAATATGTTTTTAAATATAAAGTAAAAAACCTATGTGCGTGACCGTACATCCTTGTATCGAACGCGGAACAAGTATGAATAGTAATTTGCATCGATTTTCCGAAACGATAAAGGCGCTGCAACAAAAGTTTAAACGAAAACCCGTTTCCACGGCGGACATAACGTTAACGCACAAGATTGTTCCGCTCTCGAAAGAACAACCTATAATTTACAATTCAACATCTCGAACGCGGCCCGAGACGGCCGACCAATCATAAAAACTCAAACAGGCGGCCGGCCGAGTTCACCCATGTCGCCCGTATCGTGATGACTCAATCGAGATGGTATCGGCAGCGGGCCACGTCGCGAGAGCAGCGCATGGAATCATTTTTTTAACATCTAAAACTCTAGACGATCAGATGTTGGTATGTAAATAAGGAGTGTAATCACAGTTAACACACACTGGTTCAAGAAGCACCTATTGTGGCATTTCATACAACGATAACACACAGTTCCATCGAAAAGTCATAACTTTTCACGTTAATAAAAGTTACTTTGAAGGCGACAGCTTCTGTTCGTTCTACAGACGACTTCTAAAGACAATTGAAATCTTTCTGAAAGTTGAGGTCTCATACACGGCGGATTTCAATGAGAAGCCGTGAAATTCCATTACATGTAGATCGATCCACTGCAATCGTTTGATAAATGTTCATGAAAAGAGCGTTCGGATGAATTCCAAAACGAAAATTGCCAGAGGCACATTATCTATCACAATTGCTGAGGATGATTCTCTATAAAGGATAGAAGATTGAAAAAGAAAACACATTTATGGCTAGAGAGAATTTATCTTTAATCTAAACTGAATAAATCTACCACAGTTGAATTTCAAATCTACGACACTTACTCTACACTCAGGTATTCTCCGCGAATCCGCGGTGGAGACGCAATATTAATATTTATTCCCGCAATGTCCTATTTCTGAGCACCTGTAGGCCGTGTAATCCCTAAAGCGTGGCGACCTGGCAAAAGATGGCGCGTCGTCACTTTAACCCCTCCGTGGGAGACACAATTGCTATTCCGTCCGCTATCTGACATTGCCATCGGGTTTACGCTTAAAATCTGCAAGAATCACTCATGCTCTTTGAAACACGCAACCAGATAACGGTGGAATAGAAATGTATCTCACATATTTTCCGAGCAATTCAACAAACCTTACTGTTTTAACTGAGTTAAGACCATTTCATTATGTGAAATAATGTCCGTTTACATTAAGAAGGCTCACAATCGAAAAAGTCCGAACTATATAAGATTTTATCCATATCATCATGTATTAATCCTACGGGAAAAGACAGGTTAATGCTGTTCACGATGAATTTATGTTAATGTCTTTGTAGTAACTCGTCGAAATGACGTCGAAGTGTAGGTCTGCAGATATAGGAAAAAATAAGTTCAGACTTTTATCGCCTTAAGAATTTATCTTTTTTCTTATCATTATCTCATTTGTTTTCGATAAAAATTGAGGTCATTAAAAGAGTAAAGTCTTTATCAGTGGACACTTCATCTTGTTGATACGTAGATTAAATGTACTAGTAAGTTTTGCTTTTCCTTAATCTAACATAGCTTTCATTTCCTCTTCGTGTTTTGGAAGAAAATCGTATACCGGCTTTTTCTTAACTACTATTCACGGCTATATCACAACTTAGCACCACATCTGAAACTAGACACCAGACGGAAAGCAGAGAAAAGGAAAGAAAGTGACTAAAAACCTAGGTGCAGATTTAGCGTACCTAAATGGACCCGTGAGGTGTAATTTAGTGCTAAGGCGAAAGTCTAGAGATTAAACTGCACTGCCGCCTGAATTTTAAGACTCGTTCGCATGAGTTACGGCTCAGGAAGGGGGCAGATGGGGGAGGCATTAAGGGGACTTGTCCCGGGACGTCATATTTAGTGTCTTTGGATTTCTGCCGCTTTCCTTAGCGAACCCTACCACTGAATTTACTAAACTTCTATCACTAAATAAACAATCAAGCATTTTTAAAAGCAATAAAAGTAACATGATTTCAATTTCAACCCACCAAGGCATATAAAGAGAGAAATGAAGGAAAGTATTCTGCCGAAGAAAAATTGGATTAATACCAATATAATAAACTAGATCGGCGATAAACTTCCAAAGTACACATTATTCGATCCGAGGCACATCATTTAATCTTCGAAAATAATTCTCATGAATAAAACTGTCTCAATAACAATAAATGTCTGAGGAGATTAGATCTGTAGTCCACTTTATTTGTGCGCCTATAACGTTACATTCACATTGTGTTAAATGACTTTAAATATACTCTAGTGTTCTTTCCAGATTAGTTTGTCTCCATGTCTTCTGGCGGGCGGGTGGGAAACAAAACTTATCTAAAGTCTGTCCGCGTCTTACTCGCTGTCTACCCGGTAATTATTTAGAGTGTGAAGTTTTACGCGAGAACAAGTGAAGCAGCGCTGCATTATGAAAATGGCTCGTAGACCTACCCGCCCCCCACTGCACCACCCCGCCCCCGCTTTCAGGCTAAGTAATTGCTGTATATTAGGCGTCTGCAACGGTTTTTCGCAGATACTGAAATTGTTTTACTCTAAACGGGAGTTTTTTTTTCTCTCTCATCGCGATGGACTTAGCGCGTGCAATAAATCCCGTGTGACTGACACGCGAGTCCTTGTTTTCGTTTTCGAATTTGGCGCGACAACAACGGCGCTGAGTAACGGCCGAATTGTTTACGGCCCATTTGAAAGAGATCGCTTTTTTCAGACATTCACAATTTAAGTGAAAGTTTCAAAATTCGAAGGAAGAAAATTTCAAAGGAACAAGTAAGCATTTAAGGGGAGGCAAATACGTGAAGAACATACGGATGGCAAGTAATAAAGCTTCTCGTTGATAGCCTTTTGTTTTAACGTAAATATAAAACGCCTCAGGAAACGAAGATCGCATGCCCACTCCATATTTCAATTCACTCTAGTTGATATTGCGAAACGCTTTCTAAATTAGTCGACGATAAAGCCGCCGGCGCGAATCCAAACTGACACCGCTCCCGTCCAATCCCACTAATGGCGGCTTAAACTTTACTTATTTCGTCGCGACTTATGGCCTTAAAACGGAACTCCTGCGTCCACCGCTTTCACGGGGAAATTTCAATGATTTTAATACCTTTTCGCCGCTCAAGCGCGCCGAGCCGCGCGGAGTTTTTAAAACGAAATCGGGGCAAGCAATCGCGAGCTAGAAGGCAATTTCTAGATTTAATTTCGCCTCGGAACGGTTTCAATTTGGAAATTCCAGCCGAACTTGGACGCAAATAACTTTTGCGTGTATTGAAGAATGATAATAGCCCTTTTTCGGTGTGGGTGTGTGTTTTTACAAGCATCATCACCATTTCATAATCCTTTATTTGACGATCGATTTATTTTAGTCCGTTAGCTTACAGATGAAACTTGAAGTTCATATTAACTTCGAAATAGCGGTCCAATTATCCATAGTTGTTACAGATAGGGTCATAGATAAATTAAACCCTGACCACCCCTTTGGGATAATGAGCTTATTGTACTACGGCGTAACGGTTAATTAGCAAACAAATCGAAGGCAATCAAACAAAACGCGTTCAATTCAGCGATCAGGCAAATGGAGCGTTCGGGCAAAGACGGATTAAAAGTTAGTTAAGTCGGGGGCACCAGGGGGGCATAGGCAACGGGCGGTCAGTGTGTAATCGCGCGGGCCTTATCTGCGGGCCAGGCCCGGGTTAAGCGTCCGCCGCGCCGCGATTAGCTAAGCCGCCCTGGGCCCTCGGAGCCGGCATAATGCAAGCACGACTTGCCTACGGCGGGGGAACGCCATGGCGACGGCAAAAACACCGAGAAACCGACCGTTTGACTCGCACACGTGGGGATAACATTTAGTTCGCTAAGGGTCCATTTAAAGTAATAGGTCACATCCGAAACGACCTCTCGAAGTGACCTGCGTACCAAAAATGTGAACGCAAATAGTCTTATTGACATTGATTAAACAAAAAATCAAGAAATTTTTAGTAAGATATCTTTAATATTGATAAGTTAATTCAGAGCCAGAGTATCACAGCGATGAAAGAAAATTATGATACCTATAGCAGCATGATGAGCTGTACCAATTCAATAGACAATCAGTGTTGAGGTTTGTAACTATATAATATAGTCTTTGACCTGCTGAAATCGTAAAATTTGTTAAGCGTCACAACAACCTCAGGAATAAAAGCGAGATCGTCGTTCGATGAGGACAATTAGCATATAGCAAGCTGGTAGCGGGCAGTGGGCCACCTGAACGATAACTCATCGACGCGGAGCGATGCAAATGGCGTCATTATCAGAGTGCCGCAGCCGCCTATGCAAATCGCCGGTTTATTAAAATTAAATAAATAAGGACGCGGCGTCGCATCGTTGCGAACGGGGTCGCCGCCTCACCGCCATTTGCAAACCAATAATAAGGTAGCATTTGGTTGAATCTTATTATTGATCACATAATGTAGATTGAATAAAACCATTTCCCGTGATTATCACTTAACATCAGGTGAAATCTCGCTAGCTTCTCACAAAAAAAAAAAACACTACTAGCGCATCAGGCTCATCACCTATTGGATCCATTTTAAATGCTACCGCCGTCTTAATAAATTGTTTCATGCTCGGATCTACTAACGTTGATAAATTTTTGACCAATTCCAACAGAACCTTTCAATAACGCATAAGTTCCGATCCGTGTACATAGTTAAAAAGTTCCACGAAATCCCGAGGGATTGGACAGAGATTTAAATAATACTTAACGCTAGAGAATTGGTGTTTATGGCTCAGAAAAGAAAAGAGCGTCTCAGGGAGCTCTCCCGACTTTCGGAGACTGGAGGCCAGTTTCACAATCTAGATATACGGGCGATTTCAGATGTGCATCTAAATAGCTCGCCCGGTTGGCTAACTTTAGATTACTTGCGGCAACTTCGGCGGCCCCCGGCGGGGCGGGCTCGCTCCGTGGAAAAATTCTGGCGCGCGACACCCGTTCGGCTGCAGTCGGGTTTACGGCCCAAGTTTGCACCCGGCGAATTACTCGGTAATCATGCAGAGTAGACTCCGTGGCGGGTTGGGAACAAGTTGGGATTGCTTCCGCCCGGCTATTGCGGAGGTGCGGCTCTATTTGCAAGTTTTATAACGATGCAGATCATCCTGTTAGTTGGTGGACAAGCGTTTAAAATTTTATCATGTACTTCAGATAATAAGATTCGTACCGACTCAGCAAAATCGTTTGGAAGCATGAAGGTTAACACTGAAATTTCAGCGCTGTATTCGGGTTTTGTCTGCAGGGGCAGCATAACGCTGAGCTGCTGACCTAATTTTACAGTGCTTACAGTTAATACTTTTCGTGTAAAATTACATTTATTTTTACTTTATTGTTATGTTAACCAATGTTTTATATTTCATTTTTGTATTGCTTTTGTTTTTAATGTAGTATGTATTACTATAATATTTTAATATTTATTTTCTATTTCCTCGGTAAATAAGTATTTTTCTCTCTTTCTTTACCGTCATTCCAAACAAATGGCGGAGACAGGATTTGTATCCTTATTTAGCTTATTTTAAAATGTTAAGCTTGGATTGCTTGTTTGAATACGAAGCGGATTAGACACGAATTTAATAGACGACCCCTCACAATCCCGTTGTAACCCGTTAAATCGATAAACGTTAAGGAAGCCAACCCTTGTTTAAAGAAAAACTCGGTATCGACAAGCCGGTCTTAATTCGAGGGGTTCATTTCCCCATTACGAATTCATCGAGGGAAACGTTTGGCGCGGCCGGCGAGGCGTCCCAGCGGGCGGTCGATGGACTTCGTGCATTTTTAAAGTGTACTTCCCATTGTAAGTTTGTGGGAATTACGAGTCCGGGTATTCTGTTTGAGTTCAACCCTTGATAACAAGTAGTTGTTTTGGTTAGGTGTGATGCTATTACACACTTTCTATACTCCTTATGTCTGAGACAAGTGCATATTTATTGTGGTACTATTACTTTTTACATTAAAAATAAAAGTAACAAAAATTCCAGATCGTTTATTTAACGAAATTTCTGAAAGGACTTAAAGGGTTGATACACGGAAGATAATGTTAGCTTGTTAACCCATCACAACTTGTATCAGTTAATATTGTCATATTTGAAAAGTAGAAAGTACACATATATCACCAATATTCTAATTTATATTGTATTCCTCTAATTCCTAGCCTGTAAAAGAGCCCCCTATATAAGAGGGCGTCCAGTCCGCATCGCCAGCTACGGTTTAAGCCGTCGATAGCGTCGTTCGGGCGCATTGAAATCGAACCCGACTGAAATATTAAAGAGGCGTCCATCGCGGATCCCATGCGGAATTTCCCACGGTTCTGTATAATTGCGCATCGTGCAAACCGCACCGAGCGCGCAGGCCGCGCGTCACGACACCCCCTTACTGTGTAAGCGACTTTATGTCTGGTCAAGCCTACATAATTGTATGACATCCGCACTTTGCACGCTTTCACTAATTCAATCTCCATCTTGGGACGGTGCTTATCAGTGGAACAGATTATCTGTTTTAGGGCCACGCAGCAGTATCTGCTGTTTCATTAATGAGAAATCATCAGGGGAATATCCACAGAATAAACACATGCGTGCAGAAGAAGTATTTACAGCTTTGAATTGTGTGAGGAGTGAGGTAACCGGGCCTATAAGAAGGTGGATGAAGACAGCTCTAAATAGTAAAACCTCGACGGTAGTCATTTAACGTCACCCGTTTACCATTTAGAGCTGTATCGCTTTTACTATCGATAGTAGTTAGGCACTAGTCACATTTCGATAATTCTCTACTAGCATTCACCACTGCGACAGATATGCTAGTTTCGTAGTCGCGGGCTTAATTACTAAACTGATCGTACTATCTTTATTAACAGACGTTTTTCCTGGTAAAAATTGCCAGAGATAAAGTAGTTGTAATGTCGCCTATTCCAACGGAGTGCGCTGTGACGAAATCTAATGGATACCTGTTCTTAGGATTTATGGACTAAAAATAGTTAATGACATAAACTGTAAAGGATATGTAATGTAATCAAACGATATATACATATCGGGATGTTCCATTTGATGATTATTATAAAGATCGAAATAGCTAATAGAAAAAAAAAAAATCTATCGATAGATAAACTCGGCCGAATCGATTTTTCACCACCTCTTATCTGGACCCACGTACCGAGTGACTCAGTGTCCGTGTTACGATTTGCATGTGAATAGTTCGCGCAAAAAACTCTAATTGAGCCGCTCTCGTGAACGGCTAATGAACACGATGTATGGCGCATGAATTTTAGCCATCAGCGCACTCCTTTTAAGCCGGCTATCGGTAACTGTCAATGGAGAACGCGTTGACCGGTTCTCGCTTTACTTCTCCGCGCCCTTATCTCCGGCATGTCCTTTTCGGACTTAAACAAATCAACGTTACAAATTATCGCTATTTTATCTTGTCTGTTTAGCATAAACAGCCTTTTTTTGGGGGGAATTAATTAAAGCGAACGTGCTCCTACGTATGAGTGTTCGTTTTCAGGGTTCCGTACCCGAAGGGTAAAACGGGAACGTAGAATCCACTGTCTGTCTGTCCTTCTGTCACCAGGCTGTACCTCATGAGCCGTGATAGTTAGACAGTTGAAATTTTCACAGTGATGATGTATTTCTGTTGCCGATGTAACAGCAAATACTAGAACCGGAATAGAAAAATATTTAGGTGTTTTAAGCCGTTTTTATAGATAACGGTGCGGAACCCTACGGCAGTCCGACTCGCACTTGGCCGTTTTTTTTAAGGAATAAACTTTTTGCGACATTAAAATAATGCCTGATTAGAATGTAACGCACAAAGGCGGACGGCTGAAGGGAAATAAGCCGAACAATAGATCACAGCTGAGCGCAGCCGGATTGGAGTCCCGGCCCGGGATACCTCAGGTGTATCTCCCGTCGCATAAATACGCCGACCCGCCCTTTTTAATATACCCTAGATTTGCAATAACACCTCCGACGCACGGGGAGCCCGAAACGAATGAAATAAGGGATATCTCCGCAATATAAGTAGCATACGAATACATTAATCAAACGGGGCCTTAGGTGCCGGCTTGCGCGGGATTTTTCGGTGCTCGGATATTGCGTGTCGCTAACTTATGGTGCCCTGGTACTTCTGATATTGCGCGCACAGGAATGTTAGATTATGGGTTTCCTTTCCGCCTGTCGACTCCACTTGTATTTATAGCGTGATGGTTATCCGGATGTCGCCTGTTGTCATTTTACTTGTTTTTATTTTGTATTAATACAGTTTAACGCACTCCTCAGTTAGAGAATTACTTTAGATAACTCCTTTTAGCCACGAAAATCCGTAAGATACGGAGAAAATCAGAAGGAACTAAGAATAAGTATTATAACTTACATTAGCATATTTAAAGTGATTTTATGTCACAAAAAATTACTTATAGTACCTGATTTAATGTTACAACAGATTAGTTATAGTATACCTAGAGCCGTGACAGCTCAATGTCCGGGCACTCGCTTTTTAACCGACTTCAAAAAAGGACGATGTTCTCAATTCTACTGTATTTTTTTTAAATTCAATGTACTCGAGCAAACTGAGTTCGTTCCCCGGTGAACAACAATAAAATTGTTAATTTTAAGTGCTGAATTATCACTTGCTCTACATAAAACATCGTGAAAAAACCCGCATATATTCGAAATAATAACAAAAAATTGTTACGAAGATATGTGGAGTCCGCCAATGTACAGTGAGGCCGCGTGGCGGACTATGCCCTAATATCCTCAGTACAGGGCCTTTGCCCAGCAGTGGGAGATGTATAGGTTGGTACTGTACTGTACTGAAATGTACCTAGATGTTTTCTGTCTCTTGTCGGCCGCATAAAAATGAGGACTTAATTTGTATCTATATACACTCACGATATATTTTCTTATCACCGAATCGCAAAGTCAATACTAATGATATTAAAATGAGATCACATGGAGTCAATCCGAACCCATCCCAAAAAAGAGATTTCAAAATTGGTTCATAAATGACGGAGTTATGACGTAACAAAACATCAAAATGTAGAACCGAATTCGTAACCTCCTTTTTTGAAGTCGGTTATATAGAATCTATGCCGACGCGCATCGGCTACATTTAAACTGGCGCAATGCACTCATGCAACTCAGCGGGGACTTAGGCATTCCCTTTCTCGGTTATTCTGGTTATTTTACACGGGGCCAACCCCTTGGCCGTCCCGCGGGAGCGCCCGGGCCCCATATCCTGCAACCCGAGACGTCGGTGTCCACTGCGAGATACCGCCTTATCTTAACTGCGCCCCCCCCCCCCCTTCGCCGCCCCTCCTGCGCCAAAACTGACCCCACGGTGCCACCGGGATATCGAATGGGCGATTTCGGTACGCTAAGCGAAGGCACCCTTTTGCCATAGAGTTTTGTCTGCTATAATTGTACGTGCGATATTGGTTGGTATCTCGTACTAAATCTAGGTCTCAAAATTTGATGTTTTTTCTCAGAGTCCTATATTATATTGCTGATAGCTAATCTTACAGGTTTCATTGGTTTGGGTTGCGATGAAAAAACGAAAATTAAAAAAACATAAAAATAAAATAATCAAAAATTTTATAACCATAATAAAAATCTATCTACAGTTACGAGTTAGTTAAAGATGAAATGTTGAGATAAATGTCTCCACAACACAAAAGGTACTGTAACATTTTTGAGACCTCATCAAGCGAGCAAAATTATAAAAAAATATGTTCAAGTTCGAAGGAAGTCGTATAGATTACTGAGAAAATACAAGTAACGTAAACCTCGCAAATAGATTAGCCGATATCTCCCGAACCAACCCTTTAATATCTAGCTAACACAATCGTCCTTTGCAAACGTAAGGTATACTTGGATAATCGGCGACGGGAAGCGAACTCGCGACCCTAGCAAACAACTGTACCCTTTCCGCAAACTCCGCTCAGAGCCTATCGGATGACAAGTATTAATTAACGGGGCTGTTGATAAGCGATATTGTTTTATGAAAACTTGACTGTTTTTATTTATTAACTTATCTCAAATATTCATAAAAAAATGGCATTACTAGCTTAGATGTTAGTTTTCAGACGATGTTTCGATTTTGGATTCGAACCAATGACCTTGCGTTTTCAACTGTTGTGTTCACTTGGAAATGTTTTTTTTAATTGCGGACTGTACAACATGAAGATCCGACATTTTCAACACTTCCAAATATTTAAAATTCAAGGCAGGCAAAGTTTTGACATTTATATTACATTTCTATTCATCATACAGCGAGATGAACAGAGATAATTAAAGGAATTTACGCGCGACCAGGCAACGAGTGCGTTAGAACAGATGGCTTTTGCAAGTAATAAACGCGAAAAACGAAAAATATGTTTACATTCCTAAACTTCAGGTCTGTCGTCGCAGCCTACTCCAAGTCCGGCATCGATGAATTTAAAATCGATTTGTATGCAGCGTAACTCGTAACTTTTCTAAACGTGCTCCGAATTGAATCGAGGAAGCGTTAGCGGTGTGTGTTAAAAACATTTGACGGCAAACGGACCGCCCTGTCCCTCTCTTGTCCGCCGCGCGGCGTCCCTCTCATCTGCACACTCTATTTCCGGCAAATCCGAATTTCCGGCGAGTAGGGGTCCGGCGGCGGCGGGCGTTAAGCGTCTCGCGGACTTAAAAAGTGGGCGGCGCGCGGAAATCTACGCCGCGGAGCAGCGGAAATCATTCCTGTCCCGACACCAGGGCTGCTGATTGTGTCGAAACTAAAAACCGCTTCAATAATGCCGAGCTTTGCCGAAAATATGGCGAATCGAGCAAAAAGACGATTTAACGTTATAAGGACGTTTGGGGGAATCGAACCCACGACCCTTGACGATGCAAGTACGTCTTCTTGATTCTGACCTATTCTTGAAGGGATAATAAACAATAAAAATACTACTAGACTTCATCTGAATTAGAATTAGAATTTAATTTTACAATAATTGATTTTAATATCAAGTGGTATTTAATTTCTCACAACTCAGTTTACTGTAGCAACTTTGGGACTACACGAAACATCCTCGTAATTCTTGAAATGACATTGATCTAAACTTATTTACTCAATCTGAAGAGATTTCATCAAGAGTACCCTAAAACAGGGCATTAGGGACAATTAAATGCGTCCAGTTCTAGAAAATCGCGAGTGCATGCCAAAAAGCAAAACGTCTATCAACCCTAACTGCGACTCAACGGCATGAGCGGCGCAGTGTCCATTTTTAAGGATATTAAATATGATTAAATGCGACACTCCTTGACCGTTAGCAGCCATCGCAGCTAAATCGAAATGGAAAATGTGCCCGACCTTAAATTGTACGACACTTATGGAGGTGTGTGAATATACAGCGGGCTCTTGTTGCGAATATAGAGGACGCGGTGGGTTCGACCGGTAATTGTGAATTATTATTTGGGCTCGGAGTAAAGAAAGACAGTTTCGATACAACGGGCCGAGGTGTGCCTCCGCAGCGGCGCAAGAACTCGTTGCGTTGTCAAATAACTTCGCCGAGGATGCGGGGATGTCGCCGGCGAACGAGTATTTATATTTCTTTGCCAAATAAAAAACCCTCTAGCGCTTAATTCGTCGCAGATTCCCTTCCAGAGCGTAGCGTTCCAATATTAATAAATTCTCATTTCCAGGATTCGTATGCAATTTGCCCCCGACTCCGGCGAGAGAAACTTACGAGCCGCCCTTTCCCAACAGGGCGAGGGTACGCGCAGTTTTTCCCAGCGTTTTAATGCGGCGAGAACGGCGAAAATTGAGTAATATTTCGAAGGGAAGCCCTGTTATTAGATTAATGGTGGGCAAAGTGGGAAAATAAGACATCCGGAGAACCCTGGCTCGGATTAAAAACGTCCGCGCGCTTGTAGGGCTGTAATTGTAAACGTTACTGCGCAAACTTTTTAATGGAGTTTCGCAATATTATTAACAGGAAGCAGGTGGAACTTTCTGTATTATAGTTATTTTTTATTGGCAAAAGACAATCATCGAACTCGGAATTGTGATTATTAAATTTAAATCCTGCGAGGATTTGAAATGTCATTACATACTAGTGAGCTGCGAACGAGCAAGGTTGATGCGGTACACGCACAAGTTGATTCGATTTGAAACAACCGTTAAACGCTAACCGATGCCGATAAATTCACGAGGCACCTGACAAGGCCCCGTAATAACCGTAAAGTACCAGGCGAGCATGACGCGGAGGACAGCGTGGCTGAATAAATAAACGTATAAATTCTTTCGGGGCGATTATTCCGCGATGCTTCTATTCCGCTGCGGTGCCTTTCAAAGCGAACCCGATACTAACGTAACTCAACACCGCACGCCTAGGAATTCCGCATTTCGCAATACCTTCCCCGCTCATGATGTCCTGGTGCCTCTATTAATATTATGTTAAGGCTGTCTCGCAAAATTATGATCACGTCTTTGAAGGGGAAAACACGGAGAGCGATGGCGTGCACCTAGGACCCAGCCTGGCCGTTTTGAATTTCTGGCGCCGGCGGCGAATGACACGAGTAGTACGCCTCCTTCTGATAAATACAAGAATTTTATGAACTCCTAGTAAGTCGGTTCCGATGATGAGTCTATATTACTGCGACTCGTGATGTCAAATTACAATTACAATATTAAGTAAGTATGCTGTGCTAAAACGAGTCGTCTGTCTATTCATTTAAGTTGTGACTTATCGAAACCCGTTGAATTGGAACGTAATACTACAACTTCGTCCGACGCTGACGTTGAATCGACGAGCGTTGACCTTCCTTGGCTTGGTCCTTCACCATCGAACCTAGCATCATCAGACGCTCGCCGCTCCGCCAGCACCGAGACAAAGAAGTCGCGATCGCTTATAAATAGACGCATAAAAATATAGCAGCGCCGTCAGACACATGTAAGCCTGGTGCCGGGGCGGAGCGACGAGCGCGCCGGGGGATTCCGCCGGGGATTACGCAAGCCTTGTAATTATTTTTAGCCCCCGGAAAGGGCTCAAAGTCGCAAGGTGGGATTTGTTGGACGGAGACGTTATTCAATATTATTTCTCGGCGCGTCACGGCGGTACGTGCGCCGCGATTTATTAGTCATTAACGAGATTACGGCGTGGGGAGATGCGTCGGCCGAACGCTGCGGCAGCCTCGCGTGCCTTCGGAAGTTTTACCGATATCCCTCCATCAACGTGGTCTTGTCGCTAACTCGTAAAGTCCCGGATTGGGGCGTGACTGTTCAAAATCAGTGTCTATGTGTTACCTAGTATTATGAAAGTCCAACTTCAAATGTTGCGTAACATAACCATTTTTTACTAACGAAAGACAAAACCGACTACAATTATCTCGCTCTGTATTCATTTTATAATTGATTTTCAGGAGTTCCCTAAGTATCTCCGGAGCCCAAGATCCAAAACCAATGAAATTAATATGGGACCACGTGGGAAGAACCAGCTTTCAAATTAAAAAAAAGAACCATCATAGCTTCATTCAGTCAAAAGTTATGAGGTAACAAACATAAAAAAAAAATACAGTCGAATTGAGAACCTACTCCCTTTGAAGTCAGTTAATAACTTTTTAAATGAGTGCCTACAATTTTTAAGGTGTGTACATTTTAAAATGTGCGAATATCTCTTTCAATTTCCGGGTAATGTGACCGTGAAGCTGAGCGGTCTATATCGTCACCATGGGGCCATCTATTGCGCTTCCTTAACAGCAAACACCCTTTCCCAAATAACATTTTTACAGTGAATACTTGAAAAATAGAAATATGTCCCCTTTATGTCCCCTCACTATTTGTTTGACCCACAGGTAGTTGTTTCGCATCTGTGTGTTTTTCCGCGTGAAATTTATGTATGTAAAACGTCCCTACAAAACAGGTAAATGTTATCCTAAAGTAAGGGCAATGTTTATAAAAAATAAGAAATAAGAAACAATAAGGGAATCGGCGTTCGTCCGTATTCGAATCCGAAATGCATCGTCGCGTGTGAAATTGAGCGCGGTACGCGGGATGGTCGTTGACGGCGTGCGAGCGAATTTAAATAACTCGACGCTTGCGGTGTTGCCAGATGCGGGGTGGTGCTGGCCGCACGTACGCGGCATGGCCGACGAGGTTTTCCAATTGATATGGCACTGGACGTGGCGCTATTTGCCTTCGAGGTTGTCACAAAGCCTCAAACACATAATTTTCTCAAGGTTTAGTAATGTAAAGTTCAGAATTTGTCACAATCGCAGTTCGACGTCCAGCGTGGAGCTTTCAACTTTAAGAACAACTTTTCGCCTCGCACAACTACTCTGTTGTACCGGCTGCCGTGGTCTTTCCAAACCGTTACCATCCGGGAACCTTCAAGAAGAGCATATTCTTTCCTAAAAGGCCGGCAACGCATTTGCAAGCCCTCCGGTGATTTAGATGTTTATGGGCGGCGGTGATCACATTCCATTAGGTAAGCCTGCCAGTTTGCCCCCTTTTCTTCATAAAAAAAAAAAAACGATCGCAGGATATTACCATCTCACATTTCATGGCTTTTGTGTTGTATATATAAAATATGGCTACGTACACTCTAACATACTTAAAAATCTTTTCATTAGAGATCACCATTCAAAACGGAATGTCCTAAACTGGTCTACGTCTGATGGCTTGCCCAGACTCGAGGGCTTGGCAGCCCTGCGACGCTCTCTTGCACACGCAGAGGCACACGTGGCGGCCGAATCCAATCAACAGTCGCTGGCCGTGTCGCGACACCGCCGCGTTTGTAGCAAATTGAAACACGATGGGTAATCGGATTGTCGACGGTTGAAAACCCTGACCGCGCGGTAGACCAGCGAAAGGCATGGAAGAACTTAGTTTCAGCCTCTAAAGAAAGTAAAGCGTCACCAGACACTGCCAAACAATACGGCTCCAAGTGTGTTTTGGCCGAGTTTCGGGACCTATTCCGAAGGCGTTCGGTCCTAACAGACGATGGTCGCGGACCTTGCAGCTGGTTTCCGTCGCTAATGAAAGCACTTAGCGCTGAGCGAAGCAATTATAAGTAATTTGCAGAAGCGTAATGGGCGCGGACGGCAGGCAGAGCCGAAACGCGAAAAGCGCTAAAAGCCCCCTTAATTCGATTGCGGGCGGGCGTCCGCTTTAGAAAAAACCCCGCAAAGTTCCGACGGACGCGTATCGGGCCAAACGCAGTTACTGCCGAATCGATCGAAAATCAGTTGTCGCCAGTGGTATTTCCGGACCGATAAGATTTAGGGACCTTCAAGAAGAGCGCTGTGGTATTGCCACGCAACAGTGTTCGCTGTTCCGACCGGGTAAGTACCACGACCTTACAGAAGACCGGCGTGAAGCAGGAGTCTCGTGTGCGTCTGGTCTGGTGAATGAGGTAGCCGGAGTCCACTTTATTGAAAGGTGACAATGCATCTGCAACCCTATGGATGTTGCAAATGTCAATGGGCCCTGATTATTACTTAACGTCAGGTGAACCGTCAGCTCGTTTGATGTTTGGACACATAAAGAAATGCCTACTCCTCCCTGTGGTGCCCATGGTTGGCAGCGCATCTGTGACTCTTAGGGTGTTTCATGTGCGACGATGAACACTTACCACCAGGTGGCCACCCTTTCCCACAAAAGGAACACAGTTAAGTCGTATCACGGCCGGAGAGTCCGCTCCGATGGAGCAATTGAAACGCGTCCGTGGCAGAATTAGCGTAAGGGCTGCGAGAAGCGCTCAGGGACCCCGCGTCACCTGAACCGAACGCCGAGAGCGGGGGCTCCTTCGGCCCTGGTGATTTATGGCCACGGATCCGGACCGGTAATGAAATTGCGCCCTCCCCCCTCCGCCGCCGCCCGCACGCCCCCCGCACGCCCCCCGCGCGAAGCCATTCTAGAAATTGCCACGCAACGGAGTCGTGCACTCGTCAGCCAGGGCTAACGTCTTATGCTAATGTTTATTTTTCGCGTCATCAATCACGACGATACCGGCAAGGGATGGCACCGGACCTTAATTCGGTCGCCACGGCGATGGTAGCGTCTCTGTAAGGGTCTTCGCAGCGCAGTGGAGTGTTTATCACTCTGTTGGGAATTTTTAATTGGAAATCCGACGGCGAGGCAACGTGCCGCTGCAATTGTCCTGAACTGCGCCGTTTCAGCGTCATGGACAGCCGAATGCCCGTTATCGACTGGTCGCGACACCCATTCTGACCGTATAACAACCTAATACGCAAGTGTCTGCCCTATACGTAACCGTAAATGATAAACTCAATAACTATGAACTACCACTGTAAAGTTTTTATTGATTGGCAGAAAATGGAGCCATAAAAAGTGGTCATCATTGGTACAATGAAGTTAATAAAACCTCCATGTTTATAATTTCAAATGTCAAGTGAAAAATTAATTAATTCATTCATTCAAAAATCTGTAATTTAGACGGCTTAAGACTAAAAACAAGGCAAAGGTACGGATTTGACTTTTTTATGAAGAAAAAAATCAAACTTTATGAAGAAGAAAACGCAGCCATACATATTAAACGGAAAAAAAATATGGCTTTTAAGATATTTGTTAATTTTAAGTAATTTAGAGGGAGAAACAAATCGAATAGTTTTTTTGTTTCGACTTTATTATTCTATTGTTGATATTCTTCTTTACCACTAATTCTTCTGTAAAAAAAAACTAAACATGGCCAACATTCCGCAGCACCGTAAAATCTGGAAGCGGTGTTACGGTTCTGGACCTCCTGCAATGGGTAGTGTGGAGTGCTCTAAGACAAGTGCAAAACTTACAGTACTCACCGTTAAGTGCTGGAAGAGCCAGGCGCGCAGGATGTTCGTGGCCACCTTGGGGAAGATGCCGCGCTTCTTCTGGTTCTTCTTGCCGTTGGTGTCGTCGTCCTCCTCGCCGGTGCCCTCGCCGGAGCCGATGCTGGCGTTGCTGGCGTCACCTGCGGATTCACGGTCAAGTTATATTCTTAGGTTTCATGGTGCCCTAGTACCTGCCTGGAGTACACTAACAATCTTAGGGCCAATTCTTAATTACATAATTGGTTACCTAACGTATTTATGGTGACCTTACGTAGAAACAAGCGTTTCATTATTGGCTCAAATAAATAGTAACATTTCTTGTGGTTCAGCCGAACTGCAGGTAACTTGTTTAAAATTAACGAAATGCGAGTGTTTCAAGTAAACAGGCTAATAGAAAAGAACGAGATTCTACATTAAAATTGAATATAAAAATTAGAATTATTGAATAAATTGATTTCCTTGATTCCTAAAACCACAATATACTTGTAACTGGTGCGGTAACACGAAAACATTGAAAAAAAACCTGTTCGCAAACTTCCTGTAATCCGACCTGCCCATAAAACATTCTAAGAAAACCTCTAACGCTCCTAAAGTATCTAAAACAAAAAGTATCGAATAACCTCGAAATAGACTGGAGGTACTGGAATAGACCATCTGTCGTCAATCATCTGTCGCGAGCGGTTTTAGACCACACAAGCACTTTATAATTAAAACTCGGACGGGGAAACTAACCTGCTTCTTTGATATTGGTTCGTTTAATCAAGTGGCAAATAAACTCTCTAAGAGATTTTTTTTTTAATTTAATAATAGGCGCGTACAAATTATTAGGACATTCCGCTTAAAGAATTACTATCTATTAAACCTATTTGTGCTTATCTTTACTAAATCAAACGAACACCAGCTTGTTATTTAATTCTAAATCGCTGATCTCGAGATCAATATAGTGCGTCCAACATATCTAAGCCGCTATGGACGGTCTAGACAAATATCCCCGGCCAGGTACGCCGACGTGTTAATAGTACCAGGCGAACAGGAATCGCGCGAGATGTCGGGCCGCGAGACGGCCGCTTATCGGCCGTGCGTCTGGCATATTAATTAGAAACGCCAACTAGTATTTATTTAATCACCCGCCACGACGCCGATCCGTATCTTGAGTACGTACGCTCAATTAATTCCGGATACGTCGCGGTCTATGCGTGCCTCGCTGGTTGCTCGCGGATTTGACGGGGCGAACTGTTCGCTCGTCATAAGCGAACTATTCGCCGGTTATGTGCGGCTGTGCGGTTTAAATTTCAGTCTCGAATCACGTACAAGGTATAGAGCGTTATTGGAGATAAAAGGAAATAAACAATTAATACGTTGAATTATAAACGTACATACAACATGTACGTATTCTACGGAGAGGAAAAAGATTACTTTTTTTAAGAAACCGAGACAAAAGGCGACCCGGCGTGCAGCGTGTGCACTGAAGCGTATCAACTTATTCATCGCAACAGGAAAACCAATCGAATCAGCTCAATTTCTGCTATCCCAGTACTGAATAAAGTTCATAAATAACAATGAAAAAAAAAAAAAAAAAAAACGAGAAACGAGTCGAGTTGCCAGTAATTTCTTTATCTTGTAATGATAATTCCGTAAGTGTATTTTTAAAAGCATTAGGATTCGATTGAAACTTTTATGACCAGACGTTTTTTACAGTTTTTTAACTGCTGAATAATTAATGCGAATTTCACTCGGAAAATGTTTTCCATGTGTACCGGGAGATCGTAATCTTACTTCTATTTTCATTTCAATGGGTACCATTTAGGTGTAATTTACATCCAAAAATATTTCTCAATAAGAAGCGATCGGTGTTGAGTTTAATCGTGAAATTTAATTTTGCGAACGAAAATGTGGCCAAAAGTCAAAATTTCTTTATTCAATATAGGCTTATTTTAAGCTCTCATTTTGATAACAAATATATTGTATGTAGTAATAATAAGAGACTAGTTAGCAGGAGGAATGTAGTAAATTTCGGTTTGAATATTCAAACAGAAATCTTTGGCACGACGACGAAGTAACTCTTGATACAAACCAGGCGAATTTGGACGTGAAGAAACTCGATAAAATAGACGGGCTCATCCTGTAGTTATATCGGCGTGCAAAATCAGAGTGCAGTTGCAGAGCGCAGCCGTTGTAATCCCCTAATTCATCTCAGTGCCACGCACACAGGGAGCGACCCCTAATATTCACTAATACAACCCCAAATGGCTGTGTACAAACACAAGGAGGGATGCGTGCGAAAAGTCAAGAGAACGTTTAAATTAACTTAATGCAATCGATGTGCCGTCGGCGTTTGCGATACAGTGGTGCAACACGACGATGGGTCAACGCCCTTTGCTGTTTATGTTGTTATTTTTGAAAGGTTTTTGTTTGTTGTAAATACAACATTGGCTATAGTCACATCGAAGGCGCCCATTCGTCTTTAAGTCAAGTGGACTGTTAAAGATTCAGTACACGACTTTTTTATAACCAGTCCATATAGAAGAAGAAGAAGAAGAAGAAGAAGAAACGTTTATTCGTCTACAAACGTATATACATCTACAACTCCATACGCCTTTATAAAAGTGGGCCCCGGTTACCTCACCTACCAACCGAAACGCGAAGGTATAAAACGTCTACTGTACGCCGGTTTTTTCTGGTTCCGTGGTACATCCCCCGCTGACCCTGCTGTTTAGCGCTACCGCAGGCAGGCTTTCATCATTATCATCATCATTATAGCCTGTTTGAGTCCACTGCTGAACATAGGGCTCCATCACAGACTGTCATGAAGCACGATATTGAGGCACATGCATCCATTGACTTCCCGTACACTTGCACAGGTTGGCCTAGTGGGTCATCCTACACCACGATGGAAAATACGAGACTGCCCCTAAAGAACCTACCTTCCCCACCAGTGATCGGTTCACAAGCTATACGGCCTGCCCACCGCTTCTGCTTACTAATCCTCTCTAGGTATTTCTCTGTATCATAAATTCGCAATGAAGACTTCTGCAGTAGAACAAAATTGGTTACTTTTGTTGTACTGCAAAAGTCTTCACATTCATGCTTAGCTCAGAGGCTTAGAAAGGCTTTAGCAATTTACAATTCATGCGATATTTACGTACAGCTTTTGAAGACTGGTCGTTTATACATACAATAAGACTATCAGGCAATGGGTCGGTAATGGGTATTGTAAGTAAGCAAGCGGCAATTAGTTTACCGAGGGTTAACTTTTCGTCTTTCTTCTAATATCGACGCGTTTGAGAGGCTGACGATGATGTATAAAGGGTAACGACCTCCGAGATCATTTACGTGCAACAGCTCATTAGCTCTAATCCATTAATGGCGTGGCGTTTGCTCCCGTGGCATTTGCAAGAGGATTGCAGTAACCCGACACCGAACCCGCGACCCCAGCGTGAGGGCACGCCGCCTCGACATATAGTCGGAGGGACACCGTGGTCGTACACGTTTTGGAGCGGAATAATTTGGGGTTTCCATTTCGGGGACCCCATAGTGGAAAGTTTGGCGCAAATACACGCGGTAAGCAGCTAAGAGTTTAACTATATATACCCTTCATTAAGGACACGATGAAACGAATAACTATCGTAAAAGGATCGTTTACTTGGCTCCTTGCTCGAATTGCTAATAACACTAGTAAGTATACCTTAGACAAAATCACTTCGTTTTTTATAAATATTGTAAATAATCAGGCAATCTTAGTAATTGTAAGTTCCTATTATAATATTTTATATATACCGTAATAATTTAGCAGTACGAGGAGTACAGAAACCATAACAATCGTCCAGACGTGAAACCTTTATCGAGACAAGTGAAAAATAAGGAAATGGTGGCAGAAAGGGGGCTTTTCAAGAAGTTTTATCGCGTGCCATTGACACCGCTCGCTCTCCTGCGAGATTTATCGTGTTTCCGACATTAGTGCAGGGCGCAAATGAGTGCAGGGCTATCGAGTTACGCCAATCAACTGAAAGCACGCCCCGCTAGTGTTGCGCCGCCGTGGGAAATATCGATACCCTTGATCGCGACTTGATTCGATGTTGTACTTGTGGTAAAATCATTAGAAATTAATCTAACTCTCTAGAGAAGCATTCCTTTTAGTGCTTATCTATCTTTATTAGCCATATCTATTGCGCCTAGACTAGCTGGACTTGTCTGAATGATTCTATCTCGACTTAAAACTCCCGGATCTTACTTCACCATATCGATACCTCCTTACAATATAATGACAAGACAAATATAAGATAAGTGTTAAAAGATCAAGAAATGTTATTCTTATTTTGACAGTAATCTTAATAATTTTTTTTCTTTAAAATATGTAGAAAAAGTGCGAAAAGATTGTCGCCGCTGTGGGAATCGAACCCACGTCTTCGGCATTGAGCTAAACGGCTGATGACCACACCGACGAAAATCTTAACGCATTCCTCTACATTGTTTTCTTAGCATTTGAAGCAATGCTTGCGCCATCTATTGTTACCTTTCCAGGATAATATCGTTTTTTTTTTCTTCTTTTTTTATTTGCCCTCATCCCACTGTTGTAAGATCGTTTTACAAACAATAAATTTCACGCGGCAAACATCCAGATGCGAAACAACTATCTGTGAGTAACACAAGTACTTGTCCCGTGTGAGAATCGAACCCAAGACGCCCGACGCCGAAGCCAATACCTTGGCAACTGCACCACGGCTTTTTAAATGTAACTAAGCTAACGATGAAACCATTGCGTTTAGCGATATCCATTATACGTTTAAGTCATCAAGGCAAAGCTCAAAAATAATCTGGAAATTCATCGATAAGTCGCTCAAACGGGCGCGGCTCAATCCCTAAAGAGCGACAAGCGTGGTGTCGTAATGCGCTCACCGATTTGATGGATTGGCTTCTTTGCAGTCCCTCCTATTTGCAAACACCCTTATCTGGGAGCTGGGGGAGGGGTGCGGGCAGCGTGGTGGCGGAGGGGGTGGTGGGGCTAATTAAAATTGGCACCCGAAACGGAAGAGCCTCCGCAAAGGTACACGCGCAATCGCCGTCGACCTTCCTGCTCCGATACAAGCTCCATTATGCGATGGCAGTGCCTCAACTATGCCTCGCGACAGGGCCGGTTGCATCGGGGCTTTTGTGAGATTATTGGGCAGTGACGTAATAGCGCTAAGCGGTGCCGACGCAGTGCATTCGTTGGGCGCAATTAAGTGATGAATGGAGGACGGGGCGGCTGAGGATTATTCGCGCTATGGCAGCGGGTCTCCAGCACGGCCAGCCAGCTTTACGTGGCTCCTCGCCCGAGCTCGATACATAGGTACCTCAGAATGCCGTGGTCATTTTCCTTCGGTACTAGATGCCTAATCACGAATGCCCGCTATCTATAACATTTCAACTCTTCACCATCGCAAAAACTCAACTGGGGACAAAAGTGTACGAGACAAACAAACGGACAATAATTTTAACGGAATGATATGTATAACAGTCAATACATTAATAGGTTAAGAGAAAACTGTACCCCTTTGTAAGCATATTGCAGCCACAAATTTAGAAATAAGTACGAAAAGGAAGACAAAAATTCAATACATATCGTATCATATACCATAAATAAACTTAATTGTTTAAATTGATACAGCTAATCTCAGAAACATAGTCTCTGGTCAAAACAGTTGCACAGGATAGAGATATTGGAGCCAAAGAATGTTAAAAGATCATAAAAACTGTAGGTATTTTGAAAAAAAAAAACGGTTTACCGATGGTAGGGCCACGCAGCAGCCTCGGCTGTTGCACGAATGGGCAGGCTCGTCCGGGTAAGTACCACGACCTTACAGAAGACCGGCGTTAAGTGGAATTATGATACTTTCGCGTTTCATGGGGTGAGTGAGGTGGCCGGAGCCCAATTTCCAAAAAGTTTGTCAACGCATCTGCAAGCCCACTGGTGTAGCAGATATCCATGGGCGGCGGTATTCATATATATACGCAGCCGTCCGAGTTGTCTCGAAGTGCGGGCGGACTGAAAACCGGCGTCGGGATCAGAACGAATCTTAGTTACTGTATCTCGACTTTTACCGAGTCCCGTCCGTTTCACGGTCTTATGCTGCTACACAGACCTTCACTTATTATTGTTATTTTTTTTAGTTTTTTTGTTATGTTTACATTTATTTTAAGTTATTCTAATATTATTTTACATAATGTGTAGTTACATTATTATTTTTAAGTGTTCTATGTATCTATTGTGCTTAGACCGTGAATAAACGTTTCTTCTTCTTCTTCTTCTTCATTTAACATCAGGTGAACCGTCTGCTCGTTTGGCAACTTTTCGTATAAAAAAAGAGTATTTTGTAATAATTATCCCTCTCCGCGCCGCGATAAACTAATCTAAGCAAAATGTAAATAGTGATGGATATTATAATAATATAACCTGTTTCATATGAGATTATTTTCATTTTTCAAGAATTAACTGTTATTTCTATTTTAAGTCCGCCGTCCAGATCTAGTTTATGTTTTGTATTACTACCTAGGACTCATAAACGTAGGGACTTTCCCGATTTACCAGAAAAGATGCCATTGTTCTATGAGGTATGAAACGATCGCTTAACGCGCAAAACTTTAGTGTGAGAAAGCCCATAACTGAATTGAAAGGGATCGTTTCGCGAAATGTCGACACTTTGCGTCCATCCTTAAAGGGATTTCGTAAACGGCCGGTCTTGAACGGTGCTGGAAGAGTTGGGATGAACTGAAGTTCTCCAATCGACCACTATTTACCGTCACACCGTGTATGGATGGATGTTTGTTAGTCTCTCACGCAAATACTACTGAATGGATTTTAATGAAACTTTACAATAATATAGCTTATACATCAGAATAAGACATAGGCTATAATTTATATACATTTTTATATATATCTGTCTTTCTGTCTGAACGTTACGCCTTCAGCCTATTCTACGCAGACGTAGTCGCGGGCAGCAGCTAGTTACCTCTATGGTCTAGATAGCCACGGCGTTAATGCTATTTTGGAAATCAATCGATGCTTGATAAGATCCTAGAATTTGATGTATAACTGTAAATATTTTTGATTCATCGACGTAATGAATAACCGAATTATCTTATTTATGAAGCAACACAATGTGTACTGGCAGATAATGTTAATGGCATTGAGTCCGGTTTTGAACATAATTATGTTTGAACATAAAAACTAAATAAATAAATCAAGAAACAATATTTTATAGAAACTGTTCCATAGAAGTTTAAGTTTTAAATTTAAATTACCAATTACAAGTCTTTGTTCGTATAACGTTTATGGTGCTTTGCTTTATTAAGAATACGGACTTGACCAAAGGAAATGACTGCAGCCGATATCTTAAGAAAGCCATAAACATTTATGACGCTGCACCATTGCACGCGTTCATTGTCCAAAAGAGTAGGCAGAAATCGCAACTTCGACGTCCAATTAGTTTCATTAAAACTACACTTTACACATGCCAGATACAGGTTAATTGATACAGTGTGTATAGATATATGGGAATTTCCCAGTCGCGAGAGGCCTGGGAAGGGGGAGGGGGAGGGGGCGTTCGCGTAGAGGATGACAAGCTACGCCGTAACCCTTCGGTGGCGGATCACGTCTCCGCGATTATGCGCCATTGAAAATTAGTTTAATATCTCGAATTGACGATTCCGCCCGGAATTGGCAATTAAGAGGGAATAACACCCGGAACGATCCGGCTGATAGCCGAGTTATGGGGTGCCTTTATGGACCATTAAGTGCGCAGTGGCTCAGCGGACGTCGCCCCGCTGCACGGCGGTTGGCGGCCCGCTGCGAGGTTCGTTTCCGGGCGTTGTGCGATCGACGATGGCCGTTTCCTGGTTCGATTTGTGACCATTGTTATGTGTGTGTGTCTGGTGTTGCAACCAGAAATATTTCTTTAATAGAAGCAGATGATGTATACAAGCTTGACTGTTAATGTTAAGTGTCGAGTTTCTCAAATAATAAATGCCACTCTGTCCGAGTTATTCTATTGTGGATTAAACACTTATTTTTGCTGTGACTAAAATAATTAAAAGATGAATTTAAAGTAATTTAAAAAATCTGAAGTAAGATACAAGCTACATCCCTTCGGAATTTCATTCCTTAGGCCTTCCATTATAGCCCACTGCAGGCAAAGGTTTTCCTCAATACAGAGAACAATATGTTTTCATTTATTTTTGAGAACACAATAAGTCAGTAGTCAAAATTAACGATTTTATTGACGCCGGCACCGGGGATCGAACTCGGGTTTCTCCAGTATGTTTCATTAAAAGCGAATGTCCGGACGGTTAGCTATCACGGCTAACGTAAATAAGTAATGTAAGACAATAGATAAAACTCCGCATAGCCTCACCATTCTGTATTAATAACGATTCCCTGAACAGCCATAAGAATTAAGGCAACATTAGCGATGGGCGTAGCGACCGGAGCGTCGAATCCCAAACGGCGTGTTCCCTCCGCCGCGCATCGGTTTCAATTTGAATCTTAATTCCGCAACATTATGCGAAATTACATTGCTTAATATTCACCCGGGGCGTTGATTTTTGCATACACCCGGGCCCCGCCGCCCCGGACGGGTGGGCGCTGATAAAAATCGCATACATTATCCGGCGGGGGCCGGATCTCGCGAGATTCGGGCGGTTTTCATTAAACCCGATACGGCCGATAAGCGGCCGTATTTTACGGCGGGCCGGCCGCGACTCCTCTCGCGGCGACATCTTAAAATGCGAATAACGCAATCCTAATCCTCACTGAGATCAACGGGAACGATTGCGAAATCGCTTTTACGAGCACCTATCGCCGTGAACACTCAACCGAGAGCCGTGTCGACTTTTTGGCTTAACTCCGCATAAAATAACTCGATAAAACATCGACCTAAATACGCCGTAAAATAAGGTTATCGCAACTTGAAAGCATATTTTAAAAGCATAAAATGGCATGTATTAATTTAATGTTCCCCGTTTAATTTGATTCCGAGTAACAAGAATACAAAATCGGAACGGCACCACGAAATAACGAGAGCCGTTGGAAACGCTCTAAAGAAAAAGCGGGAAAAAAGGCCGCGACCCATTCTAGCGCACGCACATTAATCAAGATGGCTGACGGCTAAATATGCATTGGCTTTCGTCGGTGCATGCATTCGTTTAAATAGGGTTAAACTGTCAACGGGGGCTGTTGTTTGCAGCCGATGATGAACTCTCGCCGGTTCTGCGTCTGCTTTAAATGCAAATACGATTTTGAGCCGACATCCTCGTTCGGCTCCCTTAGATCGGGATTTAATTCAACGCAGTCGACTTGCGGGACTCGAATCGGTTTATTTAATTTATGTCATTCATTATAATCGGAACTTTGCATTACATTCAATATGGCGGGAGATTTTTATTCAATTTATGATATCTTTAAAAATAAAAAGTTACCAAGTCATTGCAGCAAAATTTGGCAATAGGTCTTGTAAAGTTGGTTTTTTACCACGCAATAGGTGGGTAGAGATGATCGTAAAAGAAACATAAATAAAATCATATTTTTGAGTAAATAGAACAGCCAACAAGATGTGGCACTTTCTTAAGTGGTGTGTATTCGGTGCGCGAGTGCGTCGCCTACGCAGGCTGGTAGCGGCCGACCGGTCGGTACCAGGCGCGCATTAATCCCGCGCCGTGTGCGGCCGCTCATATCGCGTATTTATGAACACCGCCCGGCTCATGATAGCCTGGTACACGCCGTAACATTATACCGACTTGTCGGGTGATTAATTCGCGGTTTTGTCCGTTTGTACGCCTGACGGGGCCATCTTTTATACGTTCCTGGTCGGCGTATCCGTTACTCCTCTCGATTTCCCTGCGCGCAGGCCCTAATAACAAAACCGAACGAACATACGGAAATATCATTAAATACGCGTCTGAGCGCGAGCGAATATAAAACGAGCGAACATTTTATTAGCCACATAAACCTCCTTTTTGTGCCAATCTCACGGAGGCCCGGTCGCGGTTTAAACGAATCAGGTGAGGGGTACTGTAATATGGACCCTATCACCGGGCGGCTCGTCAAACTAACAGTCCCCACCGCGGCGACCTCGTTCACATTTCGGTTTCGAGTAGCCCCGAGAGCATCTGATACCCCTAACAAAGTAGACACGGCCCCGGCGGCCGTATCATCCCTGTATCGCCGGGCGAAAATTAATACTCGAAAACAAAAAGTCGGCCGACCGTCGTTATCGAGAAACCGCCCGATGTCATCGTCCTATATACTGATCACTCGATACGGCGGCGAGTGTACCCCTCCGATAGCATCGCATTCCCCGCCGACTCGGGCCCGAACCTGGCCCTTATTACCAGGGCCGCAAGGCTCCCGGCGGACGCTCACGAAAACCGGACGCTGCTACGTGGAAATGCGAGTTTTAATTAGGGCCCCCGAGCACTCCGCCAATCAGTCAAGGTACGACACATCAGAATGTTTCGAATGGCCGCCGATGCGACCCGATAGCCGCGATGGTATGGTGACGTTGGTCCGAGCGGATCGATTTCGGCCATTTGGCAGTCGCGGCGCGCTCTCTTCCCGATCTAGAATTTATTGGGTTGGGAACTGGCAGCCGAGTCGGCGCACGAGAGCCGACGACGGGGCATAAATCTGCGCGCACGTCGGCCGCGGCTAATTGCGATTCGTCGCGCGGCGCCCGGTGTTCTAGCGGCTCCTCAAATTCCTCGCCCCCTCCCCCGCGGCTAACGTATTCCGAGTGAGCTCCCGGTAAACGGCGAGCGCGCCGATCGCGATGTCGATGGCGTATGAACTAAGTCACGAGGCGCGAACGGAGGAAGGAGCCTCCAGTTCCTGCTATCGTCCACAGGGCCACTGCTGAATGCGTTTAGCCCGTAACTAATTGTTATTTGAATTGGACGTGCGCGGAATTTTACGAGGCGATCGACGCGCCGCGGTACGCAGCCCGAATATAAAGGTTATTATAACAAAATAATGGCACTGTAAAGTTTTACGACCACTTAATTATCCGCCAGCCGAGCCAGCGGACTCCCGCCACGAGACAATGCATGATTTATCGGCGGTGAGTTTTACGCACTCGTCATTTGGATTTACACCGTATCGTATTCTTGTGTTTATTTATGGGTGTTTTGGCGAAAGCGGTGTTTGTTTTTTGCTCCCGCCGTAAATTGGCGTTTGGCAGCGACGAGAATGTCGCGGCGATGGCGCGGAGTAGTTGGCTGGCGCTTCTGCCAATGCGCCGCCGACGACGCGAATGTCACGTGATACACAGATCAGACAGTCATAGAATATATAGCATATGCATAATTTAATAACGCTCGTAAAGTGCGCATTTTATGACAGACCACTCAATGAATCGCAATGCCCAAAGGTGCCGGATAAATCAGGCGCAGCGCAGATATAGTTGTCAGCGAACGCTAAAGATGTCGACTCTCTCCGTTGAGAAAGGCAAACCATTTTGCGAAATGTTTGTAGCTATGGCAACAGGCGCGATGTAACTAACTATAAGGGTTAAATTGAAAATTAAAGCGAGGTAAATATTGTCTGGCAGTTTGAAAGTGGCTCATGAAAATCCTGCAGAATCCCCCGAGCCAGCGACCTTAGCGACCAGGGCGTCATAAACGGGCCGTAGGTATGCCGCGATCATTTGCATCGACCGAAATAAACGCTGCGCGCGCGGCGTCGCCTCGTTAAATGCAGTTTCGCTCATTTCGCAAATAATCCGGGGATTAGCGAGGGGATTGATGCCGGCGCGCGGTTTTGGTGCGCGTCTCGCGCGCATAAATAAGCGGGCGCATTTGCCGCGTAATAAGCCGCTCGGCGGCCGCCAATGCTTATGCCGCCCCGGCACTTGTTTACTGGATACTTGATTGAGACTAATTTTAGACGGACAGAACGCCCGACGCGGTCGTCACCTCGGCCACATACAACGCTAACAACAAAAAGCACTTAGCCGTTTTCGGTTTTGTGCTGTCGGACTCGTCGAGTGCGAATAATGTATCGCGTCAATGTAAAAATAGGTCCACAAAGGGTGGGTAGGTGCTGGTGCTTGCTCTCCAGGCGTTGTGCGAGCTATCGCGGGCGGGATGCGCCTCAAAAAGGCACTTTAGGTGCATTAAAGCCGCGTGGGCGGGTAATGCGAGAGATACAAAGCGATATGGCCACCTACGTCTACGCAGCAATGACAAATAACGCGAATTATTCCCTAAAGCTAAGGCACGGTGTCGGCGAGAAAAAATCAACGCGCACGCTTGTAATTTATTAATATGACAGAGCGTTGTGTATTGTTGTGAAAATTGATATTGTTATAGGATAACACTCGGAGGTGAAAGTGATAAACTAACTAATAATTCTCTTAAGTGGAGATACTTATTTCATAGATAAAGTCAAACTTAAAAGATAGATTAAGTTGAATCTGAGAACATTATTGACTACGGCTCAACCATACATAACTCCGTGTAGGTATCGTCCCGTTTATCTACAATTAAGCGTTCTATTGCTTATACTAGCGGGTGTATACTAAAAGTCGGTTCAGAAGCAATTCATCTCTCTGCCTCGAGCCGCCCACCTTGTTACGCAGCGGAGAAACATGCGCGCGCGCATAAATATAGACGCGACAATCTGGTCGCGGCGGTCTTGTTGCGTACCTAGCCCCGCATAGGGCACCAGCGGTTCATTAATGAATCGGATGGACATTTCGTTCAGTTCTTTGCAATCGCTTTGGTGCGGCGCGAAATAGAATGTGAGCGGCGCGCCTCCCGGTGCTTATGCTCGCCTGGTATTTACCATTGACTGTATTAGTTAAGAAGAATGGAATTTTTAAGGTTGTGAATGAGGGTATAATGCATTATACTGGTGGGGTGAATCGTTGTTTTCAACCAGTCCAATGTGGAGTAAAAGGAGTTCACAAGAATGTAAGGAGATATCTCGGAGGAGTAAATGATTAATAACGAGCAGAGCAGCTGATATTTTTGTTAGACATCGTGATCAATACAACAAATATTGGGCCCCACTAATTACTTGTGAAAAATGTATGTAACAATAAGTACGAATAGCCATCAAGTGTAGAACCATTGGCGATAGACATACTATTGAGAAGCATGTTTGTTTTGAAATCCAAGTAAGGCTTTACAAGCCAAGGCGAATGACTTCTGTTATAAAGGGGAAGACTGTACGATTTGAGCTATTTTGACACGGCTCGGAAGATGTCGATTGTTTACGACGTAACAAAAACTCTGTTTTATTCATCAGCCGAGTGGCAACAGTTGGCGCAGATTTGTCATAAGCCATTACAGCTGTCCGCGGCGATCCGACGAGAGCATTCTCTAGGCGGCCGCTTCCGAGAAATGATTAGTTAAATAGGTGACTCAGAGTTATATAAGCAACGGTTCAGTGGAAATCAGACACAATGGCCTGTTGTAACTGTTTTGTGCACGGGGAGATTTGTCTCAATCAATACCAATTGGCGATACCGTATGAAACTGTTGGAATAACAGCGCGTGGACCACTTAAGCTGAACATCTGACGGTGACTGCAATTTTTTAGGTCAAAACACTTCATCGGTGAAATATTTGATACTCGTAACTGTTTCCCTCATTTATTTAAAATTTTTATCTTATTGTATCTTCGATCCAAAAATATTCCGATATATAGAAATGGCTTACAACTTCTGTTCAAATTGTGATAGAAACGTTATTTTGTAATTAAAAAGAAACTACTTTTTTACAAGGGACTAAGAAGTCAGTAATAAGGGTATAATAATATATATATAAAATACCTCCGAGTGTAACAAAAGTGAGAATATTATAGCTTTTTCATTTATTTCTGAGCTAATACTTCATACTTTAATATTTCAAAGATTTAGCTCCTCAGACAGTTTAAATGCACCACATAAGTGCCAGATAAGTTGAAGAAATACGAAATTACTAAAGGGAAATGTTAGAACAAATAAATAGTTTCTAGTTTAGGAACATTTAAAAAAGTTATTTTTCTCTGTAAAACCAAACCATTTCAGATTGAAAAAATCTAATTAACTCACCGTTAACATTTAAAATCGTATGTGCACTACTGGTAATTGTTATCGGTCACAAAGCCGATGGACATCCAGAAGAAAAAAAAGACGGGCGTTTAAAATTGCCACCTAAACTAGACTTGGAAGGCGTTTCCGTCGGCTGCGGCGAAATGATATATGAAATCGGCTGGCTGCGGACTCTCGGGGCTTTTGTTCTAATTTAGCCGAGTGCCAAACGTGGTCCGGACGAGTGCCGGGCGAGCGTCGCTTTAAGGAGCCGGAGATTTATACGACAACGCCGAATTGTCGGTGTGTCAATTGCACCGAATATCGACATTATTGCATGGCTCCGAACGCGTGTTGTTTCCGCCGTGCGATTTGTGCTCCTAAGAAACTCTATCGAAGTGAAGGTATACGGAAGAAGCGTACATGAGGTTAGATTATAAATTATAAAGGTAAATTAGAAAATCAACCAGATTAATTAGTAAAGAATATAATTAAAAAAAAAAGTCGATTTAAAACCCCGACTGCGTTTCTGTGTAATTTTTTATTTTGTTATACCCGGTGTGACTCTCATAGTAAATACGAATCTAACGACACCTAAAATCTAAAATCCACCAAGCCGTTCAGGCTGCAGAGCGAGTCACACAATTATACATACATACATTGTACATACTCTCAAAAAACATAACCCTCCTTCTGTCGCAAGCGGTTGAAAAATAATATTTATTAATGACATTAAAAACAAATGACAGTACAAGTATAAATATCTTCAATTGTTTTTACCATAGTTATTAATAAGTTATTACTGTTATGAACATTTTAGTTTTATTAACATTTTACTCAGACTATAGATAATATTTATTTTAATTAAGTTATATGTATAAGTTAAGAAAGATTTTTTTTTCACCTGTAATTGTTAGAACATTTAAGAGTTTTTACTTTTTTTAAATATTGTTATGTGCCCAATGTTGGCGAATCTTAAGAAAATAAATAAATAAAAGAATAAGTTAAGAATTAAAATTTGTAGAAAATGTGCAAAGATCAGCACTATAAATATTTTAATTATTTAACCAGCCCGCGACAGTTTGTGCTTAAGTTATTAATAAGTTAAGCAAAAACTGTCGCTGGCTGGTAAGACTAGTACCTAATTCAATAGCGACCGAATTAAAAATCGGCCAAAGTGACGAAACTAAACTTTACTTAAACGCTGGACAAAGGTTACTTACAATAAAATAAAACATCGGGTTACCGATACCAAAAGCAATAAAACGGCGTTAAATTGGTATAACATAAAACACTCATTCTTTTAGTGTTTTTATGACTCAAACTTGTTCCGAAGGGTTATATTGATAAAACAAAACGATAAAAGCGTATCAAGAAGACAAACAGTATAAAAATAAATAGAAGACCCTCCTCCACCTGCTACGAAAGTACTAGGGCACCATAAATATTAAAGAGACGGCGAACTCGCGCCGCATTTGCATGTGATGTTCAATTACGGATCCGGAATATGAAACGTATTATAATCTGCATCGTTATGCTTTTTTGGGCGAGGCCGCCATATTGTTTTCGCATTGCCTTTCCCCCGTTTTGTTTCTTTTTCTCGCGACGCTGTGACATAGGAGAATGCTAATCACACATTTCCATCTCACAACACGCCTGCTCCCAATGATTACGTGTAATAAAGTGCTGCATTAAAAGAGTACGATCACAATAATGGTGTGAATTAATTTTTATTCATGCATCATGGGAGGAGTCGGGGAGTTCTCAACTGACAGGTGGTATTTTGTTACGTGTCGGATGGGTTGTTTTTCACCATTATAACCAGCGCCATCTAGCAGCGAGTAGCGTAATTACTTCGGGAAAATCGATCACGCCAAATTAATTCAATTACAGAAAACTGCCCTGGCCCAGAGCTAGATATAAGCGCCGCGGGCGGTGTAATTTAAATGAGGAACGTTCAGTGGTCGCTCAACAGAACCTTCCTGAGGCTAGTTCTGTTCGTGCGGATGACAAGGCGGCCTGTGGTCTCGCATTGTTGGGCCCAACCGCAGCTCTTAGCATGCCCGACGCATATTATTACCCATTGCTAGCTCTCGTTAGTATCTGTTTTATTTCGCCTTTGTCATTTTTACTTGTCCCTTTCCCAACGACCCTTCGGCAGACGGACCGCAAATAGCCGTGCGCCCGACTGTGTTTAAGCTTTACTGATCGTATTTCACACGTTATTACGAAAGCGTAAATGTCAATCAACCGAATAACGTAGGAACGCGCGCGGAGTTCGAAAATCACGCCAAATTAAATTTCCGTCCGGATTTGTTCGGATTAAACCGGCGAGGCGATTGATATTCGCTCGGACAATGTACGCGGCCTAATGTCAGTACACATATTAATTAAATGGCAACGCATCCGCTTGTCCGTAATCTGTGCGTGATTATTTCAAATCACCGACACATTACATTAGAGGTAATCTCCGGTAATGGCGGCCGTGATCGCCTCTATGATGCGTGTTGCCAGCTTACGCGTCCGATACGACCCAAATATGGGAAAACCTGAATGTTATCTAGCTATAAGCTCATTCTCATAGAAGTAACAATGGAAACACTAAGTTTGTAAATGGATTAATTGAAAGCAGTAAGATGATTATTCTTCACATTATTATCATTTACAACCATTAATCAACATTTTTATTTAGAATTGAGATTTAATGAAGTTCTAATGTATTTGTTTTAAAAACTGTCTAAACAGTCACGTCACATAAAGAACAATGCCCATTTTTGACCTGATTGTGTATAGAGATGAAATAAATATTCAAATTTAGCTAATTTCATTTTATAGTAATTACACTAATCACAATGTTAAAAGAAGGTCGGGAAAAAAATATTTTTTGATATTTCTTTACGCTTATTTTACTTCAAGGGTAAACATATTACCATGTTTTGAACGCACCTTAACAATCCTTTGCATAGGCCGTTCCATTTTTCACACTACCTACTTGACTGTATTCAACTTTTTTCTGAGTTTTGTACGTGTTTTTACGTGTTAGAGAAGTGAGTAAGCACGTAATTAACAGTATTTGTATAAAAATTAAGATCAATCTTATTAGTAGTATAGATTTATTAAAAATAAAATAATAAATTATTAATGCAGCATGTAATAAAGTTCGCACGGCTCTCGTAAATGGATTTTTTTGACATTTGACAGTTCTGCGAGTGACTCATACTCATCGGTATTCGCCAGTAATTGTGAGTATTTATGTTTATTATTTTTAATCTAAAAATTTCAATCATGTCATAATCAAACTAACAAAGCTCCTATAAATTATACCTGTGACATAACACAAACAACTGTTCAAAAGATCTATATATCCAAAATATGTATTATAAACTCAATATATGTTTTTTATTTCAGATTACTGAGGAAGATTATATTTGTAAATCTTGTAATGAACTCTTTATGAGAATAATAAACCAGAAATTAACAAGCTGTGATGTTGCTCAAGCTTCAGGATTATCTCAACCAGGTCGAAGAACAGTTTTTGATAATCCTTCAGAAAAGCAAAGACAGATAAATGCTATTATACAAACAAGTTCACAACATCACAAATTGATGTTTCTACATTGTTAATCATTTGCTAATATAAAACTTGATACTATTACTCTAGATTATTTCTCTTTTGTATTTTAGATGTAAATTAATCTGTTATTAATTGACTGATGTTGTAATAATTTTAACCACAAATAAATACATAATTGATTTTTTTTTAAAATATATTTTTAAGATGAATAATAATTATTGCTTTATTTGCTTATAGATAGTTTTCTTTTGTAGATAATCATCATCTGATAGAATATGCCATTCATGCTGGATGAGTTGTAAGAGTGCTGCCACACATATCAGGCATGTTGCTGAAGTTTGTGGTGTTTCTTCTAATGAAGATAATTTATTTTTTATGTTTCTGAGATTAAGTTATTAGTGAACTTATACTATTTGCATTAGATACCAAATAAGGCAAGCCAAATCCTATTATGGCGAACATATTCGCTTTCATGGATCATATAGAATAGAAATATGTAGGGACACAGGAGTTTTCTAGGAATAATCTGAGAGGAAGTGGTTACATAACAGTAATAAGAGGAAAAATTAAGTCCTGGCACATTTAAAGAAAACAATATTGTCTACATTTTAATAGAAAATAATGTGTCTGGCAGAGCTAGTATAGTCAAATACTGTTGTAATTGTTTAGTTGGTTGGCGAACCATAGGATGTTGCACTCATGTTATGACTAGGTGGTACTTCGGATGAACTATCAAGAAAATATCTCTGTTATAGCAGAATTTCTGGATAACATAGTTATAAGACATTTAAGTGAAGATGATGATAATTAATCAGGTATTATAATTATCGATTATTGTGTATTGTAGGGCAGGCCAATGAAATGTGTAGGGCAGATAAATGATCACTTTTAACTTACTTTTTTTTAGTAAGTACTTATGTGAGCTGTTGAAATAGCAGATAATGCTCTTCACTCAATTTATAGTGACAATAATCGAGTCTAAGCAGTGACGTAAGGGCTGTCGGTTTTTAGGAATTCACAAGTAAAAAAGACGTTTTAGACTAGATAGGCTAATATTATTATTTTAGAATAAACTTGAGCGTAAATAGTTAGTTCTAGCACATTTATTTCGTTATATTAAGTAACTGCAAATCCTAACCTAAAAAGTAACATTTTTTTATAATTTTTGGACTTCGTAGACCAGCAATCGTAAAAATGACTATATGATATTAATTTACTAACTTAAAGGTAGTCTTTCTGCTATACCTTGTAACTATACATACACTTTCATTATCAGGTTTTTAAATGTATGGGAAGTGGGCATTGTTCTTTTGGTATAAAATAAGATAGAATATTGAATGTTTATAACATATCGTATGTTTAATTTCCGTTAAATCTTAGCCCTTCCGCATAAACAATCAAAGAACGACACTAAAACAATCCGTCATGTCACTCACGAAACATTAATCGTTAGACATGACAACACTAGTCATAATATAGTGTCAGTTTTCTTACGTAAAACCCGTACACGCATATAAACAAATTTTATAAAAGTTTGGGCAATAAGTGATATCCAAGGTTTTCAATTAATCACGTCATTTTGTACAATGTTTTATTAAAAAGCGTAATATGTAAACATATTTTAAATTTGATCGCGTCGTGGACCGAAGGATATTGACAGCGAGGCGGGAAGGCGGCCATGACACTTTTTTCCCGTGTCATCGACTGACGTCGGAGCGCGTTTTATGCCTTTGTCAGTGCATTTTTAAACGCCTACACATATCGCTCGTGTCATAATGATTATATTCATGGATTTATTTAATGGGCACGCTCAATTTTCTCCCTGAAAGTGAGCAAGAATAAGAATGGTTTCACCAAACAACTGTTATTTGCTTGGGTGAGGATTTAAAAATTTAAACGCAACTAACAAGAGAATTTTATATCTAAATATTTTGGTATCCCTCACCACTACAAACCTTTATGCAGTTTGCAGAGGTGCAAAGTGAGACGCGACACATATATGCTGGGGATTAAAAAAACTCATTTCGATAATTGCTAAGACGGTGACATATTCCTGAATTATAAACACGTTTAAATCGCGTCCCGGCCCCCGTTAACTGGACAATCCGTACCGTCACATAAATCGAGGCTTACGACACCGGCAGCCTTATCGGGCCCCCGTTGCCCGTCTCGTTATTAATATCGGGCCGAGTTTAACTTAGTCGAATTTTAATTCGTCGATCTTTCTCTCGATTTATACGCGTCCGGGGCCGGATTACGGCCGCGACCGGACAATGAGGGACCGAAGACCGGACCCGTAGCGAGATGGCACTGAGACGGACCTGCAGCGGCTTGAATTACAATTTTAATCTTGTCAAATCCCCGTTTTTATTGTCACCGACGGGTGAGGGGGCGTCGGTCGCATGAGTTACCAAGTTTTCAAGTTTATTTAACAAGCGCGCCCGGCTCGGAGGTATTCCGCAGAGCCGATCGAGGGCTAAGGCCTCGCATAAATTCGCCATTTTTACAACCGGCTCATTATTATCTGCGGCCGCTCGGAGTGGACGCTTATGAATAAAAAGCCGTCTTTATTTCGATGCGGGGGAAAAAAGATACCGTCACATGACAAAAAGCGCCCGGCGCGAGCGCCCGACGGAACCCGCTAAAAAATCCCATAAATAACGGACGCATATCGAAACGTCACTTTAAGCGGGAAAACGGGATTCGTAAGGGTATAACAACTCTGGTGAAATTCAGCCCGTTTTGAATTATGCACTAGTACCGATTTAATCCGATTTTACTGAGATTTTAATTAGAAATGTCCCCATGCGATTGCTTCAGTCGAGTCGATGCCGTAACGTATCTCAAGATTTACATTATCGTGTCGAGCTATGTACTGGAACAGAGTAAAACGGCATGAGAGTGTAACGAACACCATAATTGAAGGTGATCCAACCCGAACAATAGACATTAACAGCATTCCCGGCATACCAACGTCTATTGCTCCGAACTCTTCAGGCCTTTTTTTTTTTTTTTTTTTTTTCACAAAAGGTTTCATTCTAAGTAGATGGATATTTTATCAAATTACTATAATTTCGTCGGGGCGAAACTATGAGCTGTCAGATCTGACGTCGGTAAATCATCCACTTTACCTTTTGCTCTCTCCCTCCTATCCTATATCTGTTTCACTCCTATTTTAACAATTTCGTTAAGGGCTTTTTAAACGAACCGCATATTCGGAATAGCTGCCGGTAGTTTATGATTCGAACCGATTTTAGAAGAATTTAAATACGACGATTTACTTTTTGATGGTGTATGTTAATAGGTTTCAAATATACTTAATTTCAGATGTTTCGCTGGATGCTGTGATGAATACAGACTCAATTTGTTAAAAACACTTTCGGCGTTTAGATGAACGATAGTTTGGTATAAGTGGACTTTGTATACAGTTATTATTAATTTACATATCAGCCCCAGGTAAGAATTATCGACTTTGAAATATTAAACGGAATCAGGACTTTAGCCGACCTAATTTAAAAAATAAACCTTCACGGTCATCAATTCTTCAGTATGTATGAGCGTTAACATCTGGAAGCTACTTGAATACATCAGTCACATTTTGAGGGATTATCGAACTATAGCTGCCTCAAGTTGGGGTGGAATTCATTCAATGGGAATTTACATCTAATGAATTTACAGTTCAAGGCAAAATTCTGGAGCTGGGATAAGTAATTTGATTTTTTTTTAAATGATTCAACTAGGAGCATGGACCGGTAAATTGTCAACTGCAACAAAGATCCCATCATCGATCCAGTGAATGAAAGGCAAATGTTAGGGTCAATACAAAATCTAGTCGTCAATACATTCGACGGCGTAAAACCAACCGACACTGCCGCGTGGAGAATAAAAACGGAAACTATAAGACGAACGTCGGGAAGCGTCGGGTCGAGCCGATAGCGGGACGAGATTTATCATCGCTCCTCATTATTCATATCTCAACAAAGAGGGGCATAAATTACGCGGAGCCCCGAAAATATCTAAATCCTAATTCCGTTCGGCCCGCCTGTCCCCGATCCGGCTCGGGGCCGATTCCGGAGATATTTATGAAAAGGCGGCGGTCCGGGGGAAAAAAAAAAACGCGACGATACAAGACGGGATTAAAAAAGGACTCGGCCGGCCCGCCCGGGAAAAAGCTCCGATGCCCACGGACGGACAGCGCGCGGCGTGGGCGCTGCTTTTTTACTTGTACCCGATTTCATTAGGCGCGTTTCAATTGTGGCCTGTGTTACTCCGGAATCTCCATTGCCCCATCTTCCATTTGGCATACTCCAACTTGGTTGCAGAAGTTTTCACTTGCAGGTCGTCGCTTACTCTCAACTTAACTCGAGCTCGAGGATTGTAAACCTTACGCCTCAAGTAGTTTAAAAAATGGGTTCATACTTCTGTTTTTGCGCTTTCTAATCTACTCTACTTTCTAATCTATTTAGATTATCATATTATGGCTTTAAGTTGAGCGCTCATCATGTTTTATGTCCATCGCGTCAAAACCTCAACCGAAAACTCCAAACGAAAGGACAAACTACAAGCGATCGCGATCCTATCCCTCCGTTATAATTAAGCTACAAATTAATGGACGTTGACTAGAATGCACACATGCAAACAGACGATTATTTTTCTGCCGTTCTCTGGTCCGCCCCGGGGGGAGTCCCCCGTTGCAGCCGTGTCCCAGTTCTGCTGGTGACAGGCGCGCCACGTGGCCCTAATAGACGGGGCCCCCGGCCGCCGCTTGTTCCCGACGCCTGGTGGCCATCGATCCACTCGTCAACGGCTCGCTGCCTGCGACCCTCGACGGCCCGCTTAGGGCGACGGGAATAGGTAATGTGCGTTATATACGGAATCTAATTCCTTTCGAATGCGGTAAAAGCACGGTGTGAGGGCAGCTTGGTCTGAATGCGCTAACCCAGTTTGTGCGTGCCGAAATTGAAGGCTTCTTCTCCCTAGACTATGTCCATGAGTCTAAAGTCTTCATTGGACGTGGATACGAGTAGGTTATTAACAGAGTTCATGCTTTCTTTTCTTAGCTTGACCCAATTTTCAAGTCAGCCGCAGTATCGTCTGTAAGTTGCTTGATCACATCAATTACATTTTGAGTCAATTACAAGTTCGATTTTAATGCATTCAGAGGATATACCTAATTTAATTCAAGGTTCAAGGCAAAAGTCATATTCTGAATCTAATTTTATGTAATCATCAACCGGACTCAATTCAGTTTATCACTTTTACGATTGCAAAGTGTAACTAGATACTAAGCAAAAGTAAGTAAAGAAAGTTTCAACGCATGAAGGAAAATTTAATAGTATTAAACATTGTGCAACATTACCAAAACAAGCGTTCTTTGAAAATGTATAAACAACATTTTCGGATCATATATGACAAAAATGAAGGCAACGTTATTTCTTTCAGAGATTTAGCCCACAATATACCAGCTATGTAATGAGATAAGTTACCAAAATTATATAATACATAATAATATAAACTCCGCTGGGAACAATTATGCGGACCGCTATATCCATCTCAGCGAAAAACATCTATGCACGACTATTTAAGTAAAGAGCAACTAACTGCTATCGATATAATATGTTATAACAATGAATTTCATTATAATGTAGGTATATTATGTATGTATGTGGAATTTCTCGTGGTAGCTACGATATTTTAGTGCGTATCCTTGTAAGGAACAGGCCAATATAAGGACGAGAGGCGATCAGTGGCATCCGAGGTCCCGCTCTAAGCGTCCACTCCATCCGGCGTCCCGGGGCGCACTGCCCGCGCCTGTCCGAGCGCTCCGCCACGCCGCCTGATTGGGCCATCCATCAACCCCACCCCCCTCCCTGGCTACACACCCTTCGGCGGAGATGGCCCCGCGTGTGCCAATCTGGGCTCTACGTGTACGCGATTCAGTTGAATGTTCAACGTTTCCCTTAGTGTCTGTTTCCATTGCACTAATACGTCCGCTGTACTGGTAAGACATGTCATTACTCCGGGTCGACGTACCGCTTCGGTTATGATAGCGTGTAGTGACTTTTTGATTGAGCCCTCGTTTGAAGCCTTCGTCGCAGCTGGCAAAGGTCGTCTTAAAGTGACTAAATATATTATTTTATAATTAAAATACAAATAACTTTCTCCGCGTAGCTCTTAGTCGTTTCCTAATTCATTCCGTGCCTCTCTGCTCGCCCACGCTGCACTTTACTCGTGTATCTCTGCGCCATTAGAAATGACACTTCCCCCAGATGCATTATCTTGACAGTCCGCGTCAACTTGTCCAACAATGAGAGTAGGTACGCGATCGTTGTCTAGCAATTATTATCGCACTTGACACAGCGAGGCAGTTGTAACCGTAAATTTTTTCCTAGTCCACTCCGTTATTTGGAGCGGCGTAGGCGTTTGACAGATTGATATAGAAAACTACACGGTTAATGCAATTGTTATCGTCTAAAATCTACTGAGAGCGTTTGGACTTGCGACGACTTTAGACATTTGAGCCCCATCGTCAATTACTATATTTTAGGGAAAGAATACATTAACTCGGTTTTAATTAGATGTAAAAAATTTTGATACGATAAGAGAAAATATCGTAAATCCGATTGAAACTTTGAAACGTTGATTGAGTCATTTATTTTCGAATAATAAGAAATGTAAATATGCCTATAATGGGCGTGACAAAACGGGAATGGCACTTTCTTAAATAACCAACCATCAGTTCTGTAGAATATTAATCAAAAACTTGTTGTGTAAGATTGTAAAATGTATACATGTACGCGTTTAACTCGTCTACGGATAACCTAACCAGACTAAATACTACTCACGGCTTCGCCTGATCCGATTTAGGCGACGTAAATAATTCCCGGGCTTACAATCATGGCCTACGATTATGTTCCAGAAAGATATTGTATTATATCGAAACAAAATTTTCAAGAATAAGAAGCGATCTTTGTAATTAAGCCTTAATATCTGTATATTCTAAAATTGTATCAATTAATACGTGTTTATCTTAACAGAAAGACTAACAAACACTTTACCTGGGCTAAGTGTTGGAAGGTATGTCTCCAGGTGATTTTACAACTGCAATAGCACTGGTGCAAAGTGTGGGAACTGAAGTTGATTTTATCGGGCGGTGATGTTTTCGCTATTAGCATATAATCGGCGCCCGTAGGTCTCCTGGGGTCAGGGCCTCGGGGTCGGGACGAGCAAATTGCCCTCCCTGGCCACGGCGCAACAAACAATGCCCGCCAGCGAGTGGTGCCGGGGTGTGGAATGCGAGACAATGCTGCCCTGGATGCTGTTAAGGATGCGGGGCGAAATGTCAGGTGCATCCAAATTCATAGAATTCATAGTCGGTACGGTGGTAAACAGGTTGAGAGAAAAACCGGCCAAGTGCGAGTCGGACTCGCGCACTAAGGGTTCTGTACCAATATATACAAAAACGGCAAAAAAAATCATGTCTGTTGTATGGGAGCCCCAGTTAAATATTTTTTATTCTGTATTTGCTGTTATAGCGGCAACAGAAATACATCATCCGTGAAAATTTCAACTAACTATCACGGTTCATGAGCTACAGCCTGGTAACGGACGGACAGACAGACAGACAGTGGAGTCTTAGTAATGGGTCCCTTTGGATACCGAACGCTAAAAATACGGCCAATGGCAATTAACAACATTTGATCTAGTTTACAGAATTAATTACTTGGGATTTAAGATGACTGAACGTTCACGAATAATCTAGAAAGGTAACAGTTGGCTAAGCACCAAGAGCTTAGAAACATCTGACGTGTTTGATGGCTAAGTAGCTAATCTTGAGTCTATAATGTTCTATTGACAAGCTATCGCCGAATGAGCAAGTTCTTTATCGTTTCATATCTCGGCCGAAGATTTATAATCCCTAAGAATATGTTTATTAAGTAATCGATTTACTTCCTTTAATCATTAATAACCACGGTGATAAAACTCACCATAAAAATCTTTGATACTTCTATTAAAACTGTCACCATTAACATTGGCTTTTACGATAGGTCTGACGCGACATTCCCGTCACGACTGCAACCTATGGATTTACCGCTACATCTCCCCACGCAGTACGCAAGTAATTTCACACGAAACGTTGAACTGTTGCATTATCGAAAAGCGAGCGAACTGGTTTTTTGTTTACGCTGTTTTGGATTTAAAAAAAAAATCGCTCCCACGCCCATCAAAGGAGGTGGGCGATGATTGAGAACTTCAATCGCCTAAGCTCACTTTTTGCTACGTTTCGTTGTAAATATCGTTCGGTTTGTTTAAATCCTCAATTGGTATAAGAGCTTCGGCGTCTAGTGACTTCGACACAAGATTCTCAAGTCCTTAGCTGAAGATGAATGGTCGTAGGAATACATTTTGAACGTTTCGTAATGTTGAAATTCGTTTAAATCCTGAGAAGTTCATTTTATATAATTTTTGAGCGACAGATATGATGAAAAGAATGGTCGTATCGTTTAGTTTCAAGGTCGCTCCTAGTAAACAAATAGCAATTGCAGATATGTGGTACTGTATCCGTACTGTAGGTCTAATACAGAACCTTCTCACACTCCGTATCCACGTCCAGACACCGCAAACTACCGCAATTTGCTGCGGCGTATGCACGCGGCTCTAATGGCGTTCTCCGTCCGATATAAAGTGCATGAGCGGCCGCTCGCTGCGAGAGCAATTTTCGCGCGTGACCTCCGAACGGAATCTTCAGCATCTCCGAGGGCCAAGCGAAATGGGTTCCACAAGAGCGGTTATGCTAAAATGCAGCCCCGTATTCTCAGCGGTTCCCTTTGAGCCGCTCGCGAAGCTTGATTAAGGCCACCCGGCGCACGCGACTATCGCCCCAACGCCCTGGGCGCAGAGACCGGATTCCGTCGGCCCGCCGCCGCCGCTAAAGCCTTCCCGCGCGCGCGCCCGACTAACGAACAACGATTCCCGCTCTAATTTGCGGACATGGCGAGCGATCGATCTCATTGGGTTTTTGAAAAAGGAACCCGAGGGCACCTCGCGGGCCGCGGCACAAATTGAGCAATTGAGCGCCCTCCCGCTCGCGCCCGCGCGCCGCCCGCTCGCCGTCCCGCTCGCGCGCTAATTCCGAGGCCCGAGCGTGAATTCGAAAAGAGAATATTAAAAATGTGCCCGCGCTCCGCTCCGGCGCGAAGGCGAGCCGCCCGTAATTATGTGGGCGAGCGGCAGCGGCGGACCCCGCGGACGAGTGGGCTCCTATGTAACCTTCTCGACGATCAGACGGCCATCATGTATGCCGCTCTGGTACATAAGCGAGCCATATACTCTACTGAGCGATACGAGGACGATGGAGGCCCTGTATAGGGCACGTTACGTTACTATTAACAGTTTTCATTAATAAGGAAGTATAAAAACTATCAAGGCCGCTGTTAACGTCTCAACGAACTTGCCGGTAGCACCATTAGACTGACAACAACTCGATTATTACATATTAAAATAAACATTATCGTTATTAGCAATTAAATTAATGGTAAAGATCAAATAAAACGGGCAGCCCCGTAGTACGGTACCTACTCCGTGCGCCGCCTGCCTAAACATTCCAACGCCTGTAACCATAGCAACCGCCGGTGCACATCCAGCCTATCCTGCGCCGCTCGCCCCGCGCCCGACGAACGACCTTATTCCAAACGACATAAGAATGTTATCACGTACGTCGTACAATGAAGTTGTAACGTTCCATTGCAGCACGCCACAATCGTCAATATGCAATCATAACAATGAAACTGCGACCTTAATGTCGGGCGGTAAAGTGCCATTTCGAATGCGCAAATGACTTAAGAATAGCGACATAAGGAATTGTTTTATCTCTTTCACACGTCGTAAAGACGGGCTCGTGCTCGCTCTTTCGCGTCGGGGCGATCCTTTCTTACTGAGGACGGAATCGATTTCTTCGCAGCGTCCCTCTCTATCGGAGTTTTTGTCCGTCTCCGCTCTCCGTCCACTGTAATCCGTCTTCGACGGCATTCATTCGGGACGTTAGATAAAAATCGGAATTGTAACGAAGCTCCGAATAAATTGACTTCGACTTCGCCGATTCCATTTCTGATTTTAGGTGCTCCATTATTATTTCCACGGCTCACTTTCCTCAATATAGAAGATGTAGAAGGAGGGAACGCGACCGGAGTGTGTACAAAATGCAACGGACGCGGCCGCGTCCGCCGGTAATTGATTTAGTGTAATGAAAACGGTCACCGATGCCGACGAATTTTTACAAGAGAGAGAGAGGGAAGATCGCCACGGGCGCACATAAGCGAAACGGATATATCACTCGTTCGTACGGTTGTGACGCCGCTTACATGTTGCGCCGTCGCGTTAATTGAAACTATAACACGCGCGAATAAGGCTTAAATCGCGCTAATGACACGTCCGTGTGTCGCGGCCGCGCCGGTAGATGGCGGCGCCGTATCGTTCGCGCTGTGCTCGAGCTCGGTGCGTTCGTTTTTTTCGCTCCCAATTTCACCAAGAGAGCCGGTTTCGGCCATGATCGCCTGGTAGATAATCGCGCGAGATTAACAAGACGGATCATATTTTCGAGTAAGTCTGTTTGTAATTAGTGATGTCTTTGGAGGCTGATTAATGTAAACTAGGTTTCGTTCGCCGAATGGCTAGTATGGGAAACCGGGTGCGGTGAGCGTAGCCGCGGAGCGCTAATCAAGCGGTAATTGTGCCCCAATTGTCCACGAGTGTACAGTGTCATCTACATAAATATATAAAACTCACGCCGTTTTAAATATAATGCTCGCCTCACTCGCCTGGGGCTTTATTCGTTGATAAACACTCCGTTGTCCTCGTATACAAAACAAGTTGCAAACAAATGTTGCAAGAATATTGATTTGGACTCATCTGAGACTTTTAGTCATGTTCTCTCTTTCTTAGTATAGAAGATTCGTTCTGGTTTAACCCCTGAGTTCTACTTTCGATTAAGCTTTCGGATTGCTTTAAACAGAAGACTAGCGACCCACCCCGGCTCGCACGGGTGCAATATTATACATATAAACCTTCCTCTTGAATCACTCTATCTAGTAAAAAAACCGCATCACGATCCGTTGCGTAGTTTTAAAGATCTAAGCATACATAGGGACAGACAGACAGCGGGACGACTTTGTTTTAAACTATGTAGCTAGAGTCAATGACGCTATTACAAAGGTCCCAACGCCGTTTGATACCGCTCCAAGTATATCTTCTAGATTATTCAATTGGCTATCATGCATTTTATTTGCCCACAACAAGTTATATGTACATTTAAAAACTGTCATAATGGACGGGAACGTGTCGAGGCGCCGCTTTCGCCGGATCGTTAGGGAATAGACGTGACTGTCAGCGGCGGCACGTCTCCCGGCGTGATTTTCGGCTGACCGCGCCGGGTTCGGTGCTAGTTTTATTGCTTTCTTGTCTGCTGACACGTTACACGCGGCGCCAATCAATAAATGGCCCTTAAACGAACGATACTACTTCGGAATGTAAACATAGGCACTTTGCTCAAAGTTATTGGACCTCTTTTATTTATTCTCATTTAAAAGTAGTCAAATAAAGTAGAACTAATAATTAAAAAAAGTTGTATTTGTGTCCACATAGGTTATAAATAAAAGTTACATGATGTGATTAAATCAATTTTTGCAACTTTGTCTGGTAACCAAATATTTGTATCAATGATGACGTGTTAAAAATAGACTGATAGACGGATTGACTTGCTTGCTATTTAATGTCATTATAAAACTTTATCGCATATTCGTTATTTCAACGGCAAACGTTTCAATTCTGCATATTTTGTAAAATTTTTAAATACATGTTTTATAAGGTAAGTTAGTATAAGTTAAGTGAAATAGTGAGCTTTTCGATTTTGATTGACTAGATGTCGTCTATATTAATGACATCATTTATGTTAACGTGTATCACATTTACTTTTACTTTATTAAATTTAATGAAAAACTTAAGGGCCCTGGTGGAAAGCCACAAAAGTGAACGACTTATATTTAATCTGTAATCTTTTACCTAACGGAATGTAATTCAAGTATTTTGCAATTCTGCAGACTGTTGTTAAAATAATTTAAAAAAAATGAGCCGTCACGGGACGCCTGGCAGATGTGAAACATCGACATTATTTTGTAAAAGTAATATGCAGAAAAGAACAAATTGTGATAGGAACTAAATATGTCATAATGATAAAATAAAATATTACGATTTTTTTTTTCAGATAACGATGACTATTTATTGAATAAACATTTATTTTCATTAACTGCAAAAATTTACTAATTTATTTCAAATCGTGACTACTTAGGCTGTATATATATACTATCATATATCGTGGCGACGCGTCGCCACGGCATGCGTTGCCACGCCAGAAATCGGTTTTACGTGCGGTTATAGATGTTTCACATCAAAAATCTTAGTCCTTAACTGGTGATCAGCCGAACTGCAGCCATCAGGCTGAACATGAAGAATACATGAAGAGATACACTGGTCAATAACACGGATGATAGTTTCGCTTCGTAAATACTCCGTAATCCTTAGACAGTCTTGTTTAACTTCTCGCTTAAGTCTAGAGCCGATATAAAAAAATGTGATACGTTGCATATTTACCTGGGTACTCACCCGGGCTACCCAGGAACACGGAGGAGTAGACCCGCCGCGCCACGTCCGGGGGCGAGGACCATTCGCGCCGCGATGGACACCATTTTCCTGCAAAGACCACCACAATTAGTATACAGCAAGTTAAAATTTAAGCTTAATAGAACATGTACTTTATACGAAATTAAAACTAGCGTGACAGTTCAGTGTCTTGGCGCTCGTTTTTAATTCAATACACTAATCTGTGTTGAAATGCTGGTGCCAGTCCTAATGAAATTGTTAATTGCCATTTTGAGTGATGCTAATCGTGAGGAAACCTTCCTAATTACCAAATAATACTAAAATGAATGAAATATTTCCCAGAAGTATTCTGTGAAATCCGAGGAAGGGTCGTGGTGGACGATGCCCTAATGTATACAGTGTACCCTGTACACAGAGGGGGCCCTTGCCCAGCAGTGAGACATACAAACTCTTACTTAACTGTACTTAAAGTGTTGCCAAGGTTAGCTTCAGATTTCGTTTCGGTATGTCTTAATTAAAAAATCTCACGCGCCTTTTAACTCTCAGGGGGTGAACAGAGATACATATTAGTGTTCTCGTCATGTTACGCCTAATATTTAAATGATAACTCACTTTGGAAAGGAATTGATCGCTTCGGCCTCTTCCAAGTGGACTATATATAGTAAACATATTTTATTGTCAAATCGTTGGTAATATAAAAAAAATTGTCTCGCTGTCTTTCTTTCTCCGGTTCTTCTCAGGCATTCCTTTTCCGAACCGGTAGTAGTATTTTGACAATTAATAAGTAAGTGTAATGCTTCTATATTGAATAAAGATATTTAATTTAGTTTATAATATGGTACTCAATTTGTTATATTTAATTGTGATTTTAGTCAAAAACAAAATGGCGTTTAAAAATGTTGACGACTGTCTGTATCGGATTTCAGAGGTAGAGCCAAAATTCCATGCGCGGGTTGAATTTACGATATAAATACTTACAGCTGTAATAAATATACTATCTAGCGTCGTGCAGTAATTGTTATAATCTCAAAAATGATACTTTTCTAGCTTTATAATAATATTAATTTCTTTGCTTTATATTAATTTCTAGCTTTATAGCCAAAGAACGTAACACAATTTAATATTTAAACTACTACATCCGATAACATTCCCAAAACTTTCAAAACACAAAGGAAATCGTTTCATTATCATATATCAGTGATGTAAAGCATATCAATGTTCTTACGTTTCATAAATAATTGTGGTATTTTTCATGAAATGATTTTCAGATCACTCTTTTCCACTGTAATATTAGTATCTTGGACTGTTATTTCATTAGTGAGTTAACTAATAAACTGATCACTGCATTAGATAATAAGTGTGGTATTATGGAATCTCGCTTAAATTCTCGTGACTAATGTTGACTAGGGTTGTCAAATGTTGCTTTCGACTGCGTCAATTTGATCCGCGACCTGTTGGTCTGTTGACAACCGTTATATCCTTCGCGCGACACTAGCAAGACAAGGGGACTCCCCGCGCCCCACAGCGCCACCTACCGAAATAAGAAGCCATTACGGGCTCCGCTAATGCCCTCCTGGGCGACACACGCGCCTTCTACGGCGGCACCGAGCGCGTGAAAAAAAACCGCTGCATTAAGCCGCGCCCGCCTATCTAATGGATTCGTCCAACTCTCCCAGGACCTCGGCGTCATTACGCGGCGAAAAAAACAGCCGTCGGAAAATACAAGAAACGGCTCGCCCCGGCGAAAAAGAAGCCCTCGGGAGAGCGAAGGTGTCGCCACCCCTAGTCCTCTCGCCCCGCAAACGAGGGGAGGCAATATCATACACCATTAGCAATTTTCTCTACTTTTTTAACGGTGTCACACTCTGCGAGCGTATTATTTGGTAGCCGACAGAGGGCCGTTCGCGCGACACTTAACGAGGCGGTGTTAAGGACGGAAGCCTACCAATATCAAATGTAGGAGTACACGCAATATATGCAATGGAAAGATATGACTGTTTGCTGTGGACTCATTTCTAGGCATACAAAAGTCTAGCTACTAGTATGAGACCAGAAAGTCAAACGATCGTTTTGTATGTAATACAATCTAGGACGTCAAGCTACACCTAATGAAATAAATGAAATTACTTTGTATTTTTTCAAAATTTCTATATCTGGCAACCGTGCGGACGCGTTTGACGTTATCTGCATAAAAGAATAAAGAGGTTTCCCGAAGCGTGTTGAGCGGTACTGATTGATCTCTCGATGAGAACAAACAAAGATAATGCATGGAGTTTCAGCTTGCGGGAGTTTCGAACCGTGTACGAACGAGATGCCCCAAGCTCGCGTACGTTTTGGCGGAGGTCAGAACAAAGCGCACGATATGATTGATGGCGCGTCGAGATGCGACCCCAAGCCCGAAACGGGCACCGAGTAAGGACCCTTGGCCACGAGTCACGTTCGTTACCTCCGCATTATCTTTTATCGCGCCCCGCTCGTATTGCACAGCTAATTTACGCGACGGAGCCAATCCCACCCGCCCGTAAACGTAAGGTCCCGTACCTTGTACCCGAAAAAGTAAGGTCTAAACAAGAATTAAAGCGGAACCGTTGAGGTGCGCCCCCTAGCCGCGGGGAGGCCGCGGCGATATTCATAACGCGAAAAATTGCAATAACCGAATGTCGCGGGGGCGGTGTTGTTTACAGGGGGCGAGGACCCGCCGGGTGCCGACGCTAGCTCGTGACGACGACGCACGAGAAACGCCGCCGCTCATGGCAATGACGCCGGCGCGAAGACCGGAAACAAACAATCTCTGACAATCGGGAGCTATGATAGTGAGACCCGTGATAGCTCAGTGTCCAGGCACTCGCCTTTAATTCAATGTACACGAGCAACCTGAGTTCGATCCCCGGTGCCGGCACCAATGAAACTGTTAATTTTAAGTGCTGACTTATGACGTGCTCCACGGTGAAGGTGAACATCGTGAGGAAACATGCATATTTTCGAAATATTAACATTTAAAATAAATGAATAAACTTTATTGCACACCAAAAATAAAACAAACAAAAATTAAAACTTAACGTAGAAGTGATGGGTACAATGGGCGGCCTTATTACTAAGAGTAATTGCTTCCAGGCAACCTTAGATTGATGAAGAGTGCGGCCGCGTGGTGGACTATGCCCTGAAACCCTCTGTATAGGAGGCCTTTGACCAGCAGTGGGACATGTACACTTTACTTTTTACTTTTTTTCTTAAACTCGCACAAGAGTTGTAGGTAGTTGTTAGTATTTTTGCGCAAAACTTTCAGGAACGTCATATGCCATATTTATCAAACGACACGCAGAACATAACACTTAGCTGTTGGCCCAGAGTACCTTTAGTAAAAAAACTTCATCGATGATTTCCATCGGGCGGTTGTTAGGAAATACGTAAGCTATAATTGTTCATGAGGGCGGTATAAAATATTGTGACGGTGCGCAGTTGTTAGTGGAACGTTCCCGAACACTGGTGTTTGATTCGTCGATACGGATCTGACCAATTACGGCGCGTGTTATGCGCGAGAATTGAAAAGAGAGACCAGAGAATACAATGCAACGTTTTCGTGGTCAGTTATTACGTATTCGTAATTCTTTTTTTTTTTTATCTCCTGTTTCCCGTATTAAAACAATCGTTGCGTCGGAGAGCTGTTTTGATAGGCATCGCCTTCGACCGCCGCCTGATCCGAAGTTTAATAACAGTGATTATACGAATCGTGGAATTAGATCTGGCGAGGGGCATTATTTGAGGGACCGGCAATTATTTTTACTCGATAATCGCCATTAATTATTGTTTTTACAGTAACCCTCGCAACGGTGCAATCGTTTCCATTTTAATTCCTCCGCCCCGAGGAAGCGACGCGGACGCCCCAATGTTTCTATTCTGGCGCCATTTTCATTTCGTTTACCGCCTTAGTTTGCATAACACATCTACAAGACTCACCTGTACCGTAAAGGTGTATATGTAAACATACGTTAAAACGTGTCGCGAGAAACGCTCGAGTATAATTCAACGGTTAACGCGGTCATTACCGGATTACGTGAACGGTATGTGGAATAGCAAAAAACTCGTTATATCCCCAATGCCTTGGGAACATGTGACAATATACAATGGCGGTAATGTCGTTTTAATGCCCTGAGTGTAGCCAGTGGAGTGGAGGTGCATAACCCTAGCCAAGTGGCGTATATTATCCCGGGACCAGCCCTACGCCGCTCTGCCGCCCACACTCCGCCAAAAAGGTGTGATTGTGACAGCTGCCAGTTGCTATAATGTTTTTTTTTTCTTATTCCCCGCCGAGTTCAATTACGAACGGACTCGGCGCGTAACTTAGACGTTGCGCGGAATTACAATAATCGACGACCTGTTACGTATAAATTATATGTTATAGTGTATTCTACTTTTAGAGCAATGCTTAATTCACTCTGTAACATTTAAAGCCTCCGTTGATGCAGTAAGGTTCGCTTTATAAGCTGTCGGAGAGACAACATATTATTTTTAATCTGCTTTTATGGAGCTCTCTCATTGTGTTGAATACTTCTCTTCGATAATTATAGTCTGAATAGAATGGGTTGATTATTTTATTATAAACAAACCGTAACAAATGTGGAGAATATTCTGAATTAGATAAAAGGTACTAGGCGCGCAGCACCTGCCAGGGTATACCTGACGCATGCACCCGAAACATAATGGAAGGCCCGAAGATGTCCCTCTTCTCACGATAAATCACTCGGCTTTTTCTCCTCCGAGACACCCCGTGTTTTATATGGCCCTGGTGAGCTCCGGCTGTCGGGAGCTTTTTTCTTGCGCTCCTTTATTGTATTTTTACGTTTTGTGAATGCCATCCGACCGAGAAGATATATTTCTTTCTTACCAATCCCCGTCTTATAAAAACTATTCAAAAATATCTCTATTTGTTATATTGTAAACTTAAATTTTGTCTTCGTAGTCAATGTTTTTCCTTAATTATATGCAAATTATAATCTCGACGCAGCGAACCGGATATGACGAACAAGGTAAATTCAAGCCAGAGTTATCTCACTCATACTATGCGCGCGAGGCTTGTTAGGAAAATATTA